AATATCGTCGATGGATAGTCTTGTCTCATACGACTCACACAGATGAGAGTCGCATCCAGCTCAAGATCATGCGATGTGGAAGCGGAAGACCGAGCGAGGTGAGAGACTTGGAGTGTTGGAAGGATTGAAATGCAAGGAAGAACACGATGGAGAGTCAGAAGACTGATGGGTAGGTATTGAGAGATGTATGCACACCACAATCATCGCCGTAGCACCAGTTTGCCTGCTCCCAGGATCAAGGGCACCCAACCTTTTTCGGCCCGCACGGCCCAAGATCAGTAAGCTACTCTTGTTCGCATATCCTGCAGATCCGTCAACGTTTGTGGGTCCGTGGATGTAGATAGGGTAGGACTCACAGATATCTTGCGCTCGATCTCTCGTACCGACCTGTCCAGCTCTCCAGCAATCATCTGCTTCTTGTCGCTGGGCAGCAACGCGTACCGCTCGCATAAGTCTCCGTCGATCATTCCCTTGACCGGCGCATAATATCCCCGATAGATGAGATGATCTCGACCGGCCAGGGGTGCGTCTTCACTTCTCAAATGTTGCTCCAGTGTCTGGAAAAAGTCCACGTCTTCTCGGCTGACGAATGGCACAAAAATACCCAAAGTCCCTTGCAAGCCCGTCCAAACAAGGACATCCCGTCCTCCAGCCACCAGCTGCGTCTTTTGTATACTTGTAGGCACATCTTGCGCAAAAAAGTGACACATCAAGGAAATGCGATTGGGCGCGCCTTGAAGGTACTGCCTTTCGTGAATGAGATGAGCGCCCGAGCCATCCTCGTCAGCTTCTTCGGAGGCCTTTTGAGGGCAGCGTAGCAGCCAAATGTTTCCAAACTTATCGCCACCAGCAACGGTCTCATAGTCGACCATGGTACTGCATGTCGTCCATCTTGCAATCACGTCATCCACGAAGGCTATCAAGCGATTTTCTTGAAATTTGTAGACAACGTAAACAACACTCTCCTGCACGTCGCTGACGATGATGCGGCTGCCTTGGGTTTGTAGACCAACGACAAGATTAGGCACCACTTGGGCTTGGCATTTTCGTAGCAGCTGTTTGAGACCTAGGTCGTATATGCGAAGCTCATTGCCAACCCCGGCTAAAAGACGACCTTGAAAACCAAGCAGTGCTTGCGGTGGTTCCTCAATTTTGGTTTTGTGGATGAATTCTAGCTCTTTGCCATCTTCGAGGAAGCGGTAGACATAGATGAAGCCGGCAGTAAATGATCGCGGAGCTACCACTACGTCTTTTCCGGTACCAACTATAAGGAATGTTTCATCATCCTGACTCGAGAATGAAACAGCCGCTATACTGACAGCAACCTCGTTGTCTTCTAGATCGATCTGCTGAAGAACCGCTTTGGCGATTACGGGATCAATGATATGTATACACGACGCCCAATGGCCTTGAGCACGAGGATAGCCAAATTCGTCGGGTGGGAGCTCAGCGGCGTCACCATTAGTAAGGTTGGAATCATTCAAAAGTCGTTGCTTAGTGGATGGGGAAAGGGTATTGTTATCGGCTTCAATGGTATAGAACAGAGGTTGGTCTGGATGGCGAACAAACTTTCGCGGGGTGTACGTAAGGGGAATCGACTGTTGGAGAAGATTATTGCCCAGCTTGTCGATGGAGAAGATTCTAGGTAGAGTTGCATTAGCCCCAACGGAGTAAAACCGCACGTTGTTCGTATAAGATGGGAGAGAGCCATAGTTCAGAAGGAACAATTGGAAGTATTAAAGGATTTTTCCTCATTGTCGCAATTGACATCGGAGGAAACCGCTTATGCATCATCATATCTGGCAAATTTGAATGAAGGCACAACAATGACGAGGGGCTCACCTCAAGCTCTTCCCCTCGATTCCGACCATCCCCTCCGGACACTGCTCACTGCTGAAGTTCGAAGCGTATTCTAATCCAACGTAGTCTAAAGGCGTGAGCATGAAGCCTTTCGTCTGGGGATCAGAATATCCAAGCCATGGCCGAGAGCTCAAGGCAAGAACAGATGCCTGCCCTTTGACAGACACTCGAAACAGCTTGGCAGGTTTAGGACCGAGGAAGCGCGTTCGCGTGTCTGAGAGCTCACCAGTGACTTCATCGAGGACTGTGCGAAGATAAACGCCGGAATAGAGACCTATATGCAAATAAAGCGTGGATCCACCGGATGTTGAATCTGCCATTGCCATGACTGCAAGCGCGCTCGGCGCGGAAGTCAAGGCTTGAACAGACTTGTTCTCTAATGTAGAGTCCGGATCCAGACTCAATATTCGTACGGTGGAGTCATCGCAGCCGACAGCGAGGAACTGGCTTCGGACACGGCCTTCTGGAACTTCACCGAGACTCAAGCATGTTACAGTACCGCTCATCTCTCGCTTTTCGTCGTACTCTGCTAGAGATCCATCTTGATCCATCTCGAAGTATACAATCTCCCCAGAACTCAAGGCCACCGCAACTTGTCGCTCATTTGTTGTTGCTGCAACAATAGATCGATGTTGAGGTGCTGGCCATTCGTTGACTCGCCGATCTGCTCTGATATGCCTGATCCCTTTCGGGTGTACTTGAATCAAAGCATCTTCGCCAAGCTGTTGGACTGCGAGTGTTGGAGCAGATGAAAGAAATCCGGTGTCGGTGACTTCTTCTACTGTCTCACCAATGCTCAAGACCAAGGTCCCATTGTTGAAAGAGAGCACAATGTAAGCATCGTATTCGTCGCCGCGGGTGATCTTGGTAGTCCAGACAGCGGACGGAACATAGGGTAATTCCGAATCCACAATGTCGTTGACCTCCAAGCCATGTTTGAGCGTCCGAAAAGAACTTCGTGCCCCACTCCCACAAATAGAGTATATTTGAGGCGCGTCCTCTTCCGTAAGATTTGCAACTTTGCAGTCCAGCTGAGGATTCATCGAATCAATGCTTTCTACCAGGTTGACATTTTCCGCTCCTCGCGGATGGAAGTAAATTGCTTCGTACTTTTCGGTCGGGTCCACGGGAAACAAGTCGCTATCGAACTCGGTCTCTTCATCGTCGTCCCCGAGCTTCTCAAACTGGTAAAAATGATGGTTGCCTGTTTCGCTTGCAACGAAAAGAAACCCGCTTTTGAGGATGCAAAGGTTGGTGGCTATAGGAACAGTGTCGAAGTACTTGATCTTCAGCTTTTTCACTTCACCAGTTGGTTGGCCGGCTTCATCTTCTACCATTTCAAGCGTGACTTTGAACATATCTCCGTCCTCGCTCTGCAGCAGGAAGAAGAAAGCTCCTCGCATTTTGTGCATGACACCAGCGATAATGTACCTTTTGCGCTCAGGGTTTTCTGTGGCTCCTCTTCGCCTTGGAATGGCCACTCGAAATGGGTCTTGGTTGGAATGCCTGTAGGTGATGTTGTCCAGACCGCACACAAGGACTCCACTGGGACCATCTGCACCCCCAGGAACCTGGAATAACATGGTTGCTGTCCGATCCACAGGATCAGTCCATTTCCGGACGACATGATTAAGTCCTAGATCAAGCTCGTAGTAGACCAAGTGTTTCTCCAAGTCATCAAAAGCTTGACCTGTTGAATCTTGATCACATTCTGTGTAGTCGACTTCCAGAGCCGCGAAAACAGGGTTTTCGTATCCAACGTCAAGTCCAACAAGTGCGAACACCAATGTCTGTGCTTTATGGGCCTCGAGTGGAGAAGATATCGTTAATTCAGCCTGTGCGTCTCGATTTAGAACGTAGACGAGTTTGTTTTTTTCGACCGACGCTATGAGGCATGCCCTACCCTTGGGGTCCACTGCAAGATACTGTCCTGGTATTACCCGCCGGATACCTGATTTGCCAAATGTCTCGAGGTGTAATCGGTTGAAACGATTTTGGGAAGGGACGTATTCGATTATGGTGATACGTCCGGAGTCGGATCCTATGATGATATAATCTAGAGACACCAAGCTCAGCCTAATTCTCCGAGATATATTCCGCATCTAGAGGCAGCACAGCCGTCATGGCTGCTGGGTCCGGTCGAGCTGCCTCTCCGAACTTCAAGAATCACTAAATGAAGCTTCAAATGCCAACGGGAAGTTACATACCTTTGTTACTACCCGCTAGTCTGAATGCTGCCAGTGTCCGTATGATGCCAAACAAGTCTTGAGATAGGATTGTTGTGATTTTGCCCTGGGCAGGGTCTGGCCGGTGGATGGTGAGTCGAGAGCCAGAGGCCGTCACTATCTGTTGCTCTTTGGTACCCGCAAACTGCCCGAGTATCGTCTGTGTTATGGAGGAAGGGGGCTGGATCGTAAGAGAATACATGAACATGCTCGACGTCGCTGCCATTTTCTCGGTGTTTCTCAGCCCGCAGGCTATGAACCCAATTGTGAGACGACACCAACCTTGGGTTTACTCTGCACGAGGATGTCTGCTCACAGTCGAAGAGAAGAACGCAGATGGCTTTGAAGCAAGATCTAGCGAAGCGGAATTTTCGCGGACCAAAGGCCTCCATCCAAGTTGACTAGCGCGGATCTCGATTTTGGTAGGGCTGAATAGGGCTGACCTATTGATGACGCTGATAGGTTCAAGAAGATACACATTCTTACCTCTCAGCAGCAATAGTAGCGATGCAACCCGGATACACCTGCTCAAGGTGCTTGCATAGTCTAAAGAAATTCACTAATACCAGAACTAAAACTCAAGGATACAGCTCAATTCTTCAGCGCAGATGGGGATCTTTAAGTACGAGACCGAGCATACAAAATGCAACAATTCCCAGTTCTCCAATTCACCGGCGTGCTGTCACCTCTCAAAATTATCAAGGACAAACCTCGATAGATGAGCCGCCGGAAATAGCTACACCTCCTGGACGGGCAAAACTGCCTTCAGCCACCACTCTCTCCGGCAATGTCCTCCTCGAACCCGACAACCTCTTTCACCACTTCTCGGACTCGCCATCACCAGACATACGGCGAAGAGCTGCTTTCATGAAGACTCACGCCTATTGTTCTCATCCCTCCCATCACCAGACTCGAATGCCGCTGTCTCCCCACGACCCAGAAGCAAGAAAAGGAGCACAGTCAACGCAACCCCCAGCTTTCGTCCGCTTCGAATGTCCTGATTGTGGAACACCAGTGTCATGTTCAGAAGAACATTGGGCTGATGATTATGAGTCCCATACGGAGATATGTGACGTCCTTCGAGAGATCAACGAGGATGACCACGATCTGCGCTCCGGACGTTTCTTCCCTGAATTTGAGTACCCGGGCCCACAGATGGAGGAGGCATTGGTCAATATGACCAATTGGGATACGTACCTATACACGCGTGAATACAGGGCTATCAACGAAGAAAGACCCTTACGTCAAGTAACCAAGCTCCTCACCTACCCAGTCACTATTGGCAGTATACTCTCCGAACTCAGCCCGTACAATATCCGCCGAAACGGCCGTATCACAACCGAAGGACTGAAGTCTCTCAGCGCTCTCCGCTACACCCTACACCCTCCCCGCACCGGCGCCGACGGCACTATAAAAGGTCTCCGTCTCAATCCCCCTCCCGTTCGTATCTTTATTCTCGGAGCCCGCGCCGAATCCTCTCTTCCTCGCGAGGTGTGGCAACAATTATCTTTCATCTTTCCCCGCGTTGCTTTCCATCTAATCTTCATCGGCCCAGAATCGATGACAAATCGAGACGCTGAATTTCCACTCCCGGAGCGAACGCCCGGGAACCCATTCGGTGCCGTGGTCGAAGATCGCATAAGTCATGAGATGAAAATCAGTACCTTTGTCGAATACTACCATACACTGCACCAAGCCGGGCTATTCCACCCTTACGACCCCTACTTTGACTGCTTCGTTCTTTTTCACCCTGGTTTGGGCCATCCGGCCAGTTCGCACGAGTGGGCAGATACGCTCCCCCAATTATTGGAAACCAAAGTCCCTATCATCTCCACCGGTTACACAGAGTGGGACATGGAACGAGACCGAAAATGGGTAGAAGATAAGGTGGGTGGAGAGATGGACATATTGATGGAGCCCGGAGAGAATAAATTTCGGAGCTTGAGGTGGGATTTAAACGAGTTTGACCCAACGGATGTAAGTTGTGGAAATTGGGGTGTTTGGGCTTTCAGGGGGAAGAGGTATGCTCCTTTCATTCCCCTCCCGAGATTGAACATCATGCTGAACAAGTAATGCAGGTATGAAACTACGATGAAGGATTAGAGTTGTACATAGCATTGCGAGGGAGCATAATTTCTATTTAGTCAGAAGCAAGCTTTTGCACAGCCTAAAACCGCTCTTGTATAACCGATATCTTGACTACGAGAGGCCGCATACCTACGCGCTGTCCATACCAGGCTCTACACACCTCAGTTATGCGCAAGGACATGGTCATGGTGCTGGAACACGACAGCGATAATGGCTGCTTACCCTCATCCTCTCCGGTCAACAAGAGTCTCTGCCTAAGTAGTTGCACAAGAACATGCCCGCCGTTCCTAGCAGTGACCAGTGACTCATTTCCTACATATATCCTGGCTTTCTACGAAAATTTTCGAGATTGCAGTTGTGATTTCGCTATCTATTGGAGGATCACAATACCTGAGCTGGCAAGACCAGTGAGCTTGCGAAAGCTGTGGGGTTGAGCACAGGACTGCAAATAGTAAGTGTCAAAGCTACTGGCAGCGAACCAAAAGAAGCAATCAGGACGCGGAATGAGAGGACTTTTGGAGAGCAGCTAGTTTGGCTCCCTGTACGATGTTAAGTATGGATTCCTTTGAATGTTCTGTTCTATCTATTTTCGATGAACCTCCATCTTTCGAGCCGCAAAGAGTATCATACACTCATCTTAGCCAGCTCATGAACCTATCATACGGCGTTTTCCCAGTACGCCATCACCAGCTCTGTTTACATCCAACAGGGCATGTGATCCAATACAGGCACACAGCTGATTTCTTGGCCTCATTCCTTTCTCTATCCTGTCGATCGCCTTACTAGCTCCTGCCATGTGCCCTCTAGAGCCCCTTTCAACTCCTTGTACGAAACCACGATCACGGACTGCTCATCCCTTGATGTCAAAGCAATCCGCTCCTCAATGCCTGCATCTAGCTTGTTCAGGCAAGACAGGATGTGACCTAGATCCACTACAGGATTTGCTTGGGCATCGACCTGATGAAAGACGTAGTCGCGGAACAGGCCCAGCACTGCGCGAGACCCTTGTGTGGTATATGTCCGATCATTTTCATACTCAGGTCGCTCATTCAAGCAGCTGAGTTTCGTCATTAGGCGCACAAGGCGAGAATTCTCGATCTCCTTGTTAAGGGAGAAGTATAGGTGATCATTAGAATGAAGCGACTTGTCGAAAGTATCGATAGCATTAGAGCTGATCAACTTGATCAGAACGTCGATCCCCTCATGATTTTCCGGTCTGTCATGGTCCAGAAGCCATTCAACAACGATTTTGAGCTGAGGGCTAGTTTTGGAGTAATTCTGTGCAAAGACATCGGGCGTTCGTGCCCTAGAGGAAGAATTGGACATGTTATTTGTACCCACCGCTAGGATGAAGTTGCCAAATTTGTGAAAATCCAGTCGCTGTAGGTCAGCAATATCGTGTATTTCACTAACCAGCAAGTCCTCCAATGCACAGCCGTTGAGGCGAATGCGGTTTTCGTCGGTCACAATCACTTTACTTGGTTCGATGACTCGAACAGCCAGTTGTGCAGAGTGAACAGCTTTGAGAGCGTTGGTAATCTGGACGATGTAGCTCCACAGAGTTTGTTCGGAGATGAGAGGAGGAGCATTGCGGTTAGGGCGGCTAGGAGTCTGGTTGAAGTGCTTTTCAGCAACCGTTTTTGAATCAGGATGATAGTCCGAAACAATGACTAGGGAGCTACTGTCAAAGTTTGTGGTTGTGAAGGCAAAATGGAGCGATACGACGTTGCTATTTCTAACAGCTGCCCACTTTTGGCGGACCGCGAAGATGGCGTTCTCATTGAGGTTCGTGGCTCGAAAATCTAGGTTGTATAGGTATCAGCGGCCAAACATTTGTCCTGCTCAGTGGCCAGGTACCGACCATGTATGCGCCTTAGGCAGTAAGTTCTGCCGTCCTTAGCAGATACGGCTTTATAGATGGTGCTAGAGTATCCACGCAATGTCTGACTTTGTTGTTGATTGACGCTTGTCAACGGCGTAAGGGTGTGGTAGTGTTCAACGGTGGGCGTGTTCGAAACTGAAATATCTAGATAAGCTATCTTCCACACTACAATAGATACGAAGTCCGGTATCAAAGAGCCTACCAGCAAAAACCCTCAAAGTCGCTTCAGTCCTGGCGTGAAGCTTCAGCCTTAGATCTTCTGGGATGAACAGTTCTTTCGCAGTTCTCTGATTGGGTTTCGAGGGTTCTCGATGAGGTTCCAAGGGAGTGTAGAGATTTTGGTTGAGCTAAGTCTTTGTGAGCCCTGCATAGTCTATGCGAAGCGGGCAGAAAAATACCTGGTGTGAGGGGTCTGTATGATTGGAATAGTATCTTGGACCATAGCCATTTGTATCTTGGGTATACATGTTTCCGTTCTGGTGAAGATCGGCGGCATTTGGAACAGCATTTGCAACTTGAGAAGGGGGGTAAGAGTCGAAGTGATTGGATTGGGAGTATTCAGCGTTTTGTTCGCCCTGTCCATAAACCTGAGCATTGTAATGAATCATATTGTTGTTACAAGAATGGATTGAAGAAGGAAAAGGAGGTATGTTTGGGCCGAGAGAATGGCAAGATTGGGTTGGCATTTGGGACGTCATTAGTACTGGGATATCGAAATACTGTCCTTGCCCTCCCGGAGTGTGCTGTTGTGGCTCCGGGTAATGAGGGTCGCTAAACGATTGGGATCCTCCTCCCGAATCTTGGAAGGCACTTGATTCAACTGGGACGGATGGCGTTCCTGAACTAGTTTGTCTGGGAGGCCAGAGGCTTCGTTGCCCGAACCGCGTGTTCGGCATGACTGATACATAGCCAGTGTTGGGATGCCCATTTCCAAAGCTGACTGACTTTCCATCGCCATTGCCATAAGACCTCGTCGGTGTAGTGGGTGACCTTGAGGGCAGCCTAGGGTGGAATGCTGCAGCCTCTGCGCTGAGTGACTTCGGATGCCGAATCCTGGGATTCCTTGTGGGAGTGATGGGTGTAACGGACTGAGGCTTGGGGAAGTGTGGGGTAGCCTTAGCGCTGGACGATTCGTCGTGTTTGGGTACTTGAGATGGCTTTGGCGGTGTAAACGGTTGCTTTTGGAGAGACAGTCCTGAGCCCCAGCCTCGACTAGAGTAAACGCTGGTACTAAGCGCTGGGTCCGTGAGTATGGCATGCTTGGTTTCTCCATCCTCAATCTCCACATGGGACATGACTGTACTGCCTGAACGTCCCGCGTGCAATGACATAGCGTCAGCGCCCTTTGATGCATCATATTCCTTGCCGCCACAAGACTTTGTGGGAGACTTCGATCCCCTTGCCGAAATGATACTGGGAAGCGTCTGGGCTTTAAGTTCTGACGGTTGGTCACTCGCTCCAACGTCAGGAGCCGCAGTCCCCATGAACTTCCCTGGCGAAGGACGGAGTGGCTCATGTTTGTATTCGGGAATCTCGTCAAACACGGCGACGGGAGAATCTGGCACTGGTCGAGCTAGATGATCCACTCCAGATGGGGGCGCAGAAATGGCGTCGGACTCCACGAAAGACTGAACTCCAGAGCGAGGTAACTGATCTCTCGAGTGGGTCGGTGCGAACCCGGCGGTATCTCTGGCCGTAGGAGGATTGCTAGGCTCTTTTATGAGAGCGGTCGAATTGCTATTTTTTTTACTGCCATTTGAACGGGTCTGGAGCGCTCTCCAGTTTGCGACTCCCTGACTCCAGAAACCGAGAGCAAGGTCAGAGGGTGGCCCGGGTTTTTGATCGTTGCCTGAGAGCCTTGGGAAACCATCTGGGGAGCGACGCTGACTTGGTGAATGCAAGAAGGGATCATACTCGGATCTACGAACGTCTCCAGAAGAGCTGTTCTTGTTGCCGCTTCTGCGCTTAGTACCATTGTGAAGGTTTCGAATCCTATCGCTCTCGTTGATGCCTCTGTCTGGGTTTCCATCCATGGCCGTGGCGGTATAGGAGTGATTGAAGAGAAAGGAACATGAAAAAGAGGACCCAAATAATCATTGCTTACCGAGTTGTATGCTTGAGGAAGGAACTCCTGGGCGTCCGGCGCTATCCAATCAGGCGCATTAGGATTATACTGTTTCAATGATGCAGTCGTAGAGGAGACAGATGAGGAAGCAACGCTGGGAGCTACAACTGCTCAGCATGGATGTCTTTGCTAGGACATGAGTACGATGTTACCTGGGGTAAGGGTTCTGGGTTTGAAAGGTGCAGCATTGGCTGCTTTGGGGGAAAGACCTAGGGTCTTTGGTGTAGCATGGTTGCCATTCACAGCAAGTGACGAAGGTGTAAAGCTCGGTGAAGCAATATTAAAGCGCTTCTTGATGCTATACAAAAGCTAGTGAGTGATTCCATGAAAGACAGGAAGTCGCGGGCATGCACCTTTCCACTTGACTGTTAGGCTGTGATTTGACTGGATCATGATTGAAAGCACATCCTTAACGCTGCGTCAGTCGTGTATTTCTAATAAACCTGATCCAGGGAAGCGGCCACCTTTATCCTCATAGCGGCAGTGGCCATATATCGTCACATTCCTACAGAGCGTGTCTTTTGCATTCTCTTTTTCTCAGCATCTGAATTAGCCAAGGTCTTCCGCCTAGTCTCGTACTGCAGCTTGCATTTCGAGTAGAGTAGGTTCCAACTCTTACCACGCCCCTTGGGTCTGGGAGATGACTCAGGCCGCCGCGCATCCTCCACCGTGCCCTTTGTCAACGTTGCCATTCTGCCGTATGCGTGCTCTACTGTTCAGGCATTCTGAGTGAGGACGTATAAAAGCACTGTCAACCCGGTCAGTAACAAGTAATAGTATCTCAGAAAAGTCATGTACCTCATCCCAGTGGATCTGTGAGACCTGGCTCCAAGCTGATTATATGATTGGTAAGATTGCGCAGTTGATAGGAAGCAAATGAAAAATGATGGGCGAAGAGGACATAGACAGATATGAAAAGCTCGAAGCCCAGCTTCAACAGGGGGGGTAAAGAGCTATTACAATGAGCAAATGTCAAGGACAAAGCGTGGGGAATTGGAAAATGAATCTGGAGCTGAATGTCCCGCATCGGTGCACGGACCAAACCAAGCAATCCTCTTGCCCAGCTTCCTCGCATCACTCAACACCAACACCAACTGGTGCCAACATCAGCACCATATCCACCTACCTTCTGTCTTTCAACATAACAACTTAATGTCATTGTACGCTACCATGTCCAATCAAGATTTCGATCCCATGCAGCTCAATGAGAGCCAGCAGCTTGCCTTAGGAACTTACACATCCGTCACGAACCAGGAACCTTCTGCTGCTGTCCCCCTCCTGCGAAGATCCGAGTGGAACGTTCAGGTACGTCATACTCTATATCGTGCGACAGACAGCTGTAAAGGGCTAAGGCTGATGAGTTGATCAGATCGCTATCGCCAAATTCTTCGATGGCGAAGCCCCAGACCCAGTCGCCGAAGCTCGCGCTTCTTTGCCATCCTCCACTCCTCCACCGCAGTCCATAAGGCGCGAAACCTTGCTGAATGGCTCCTCGTCTTTCCCAAGGTCTCCGGTGTCTCCGCCTCGAGAGCCTGCACCACGGATAGTACCCCAACCTGAAAGTCAGAAGAATTACCGACCTCCACTACTGCTCTCCATTCTCTTCACCCCATTCAATTTTATCTTTCGGTTACTCACCGGATCACTATCATTATTCCGATACTTATTTCCATTCCTTCCACGACTTCTCCCAGCTATATCCGGCGGAAGTACTCCAGCGAGGTCCCGGACTGGTCGAAGACCACTGAACCCTAGGGATACAGCAGCCCGATTTGCAAGAGAGTTCGAAGAGGAATACGGTGCTCATGAATTGCCGTTCCATGAGGGTGGATACGCTCAAGCATACGACTTGGCAAAGAAAGATTTAAGATTTCTGATGGTTATGCTCTTTTCTCCAGAACATGACGACACCTCGACATTTGTGCGGGAAACGCTGCTATCGCAAGATGTGGTTGATTACGTAAAGGATCCTCAGAATAAGATCATACTGTGGGCAGGGAATGTCCAGGACTCCGAGGCTTATCAAGTATCAAATGCTCTCAATTGTAGCAAGTTCCCCTTCGCAGCATTAATTGTACATACCCCCCAGGATTCATCAACATCAATGTCAACTATCGCTCGAGTCACAGGTCTCCAGCCAGCGTCCGCATTTGTTGCTAAGTTGCGAACAGCCATCGCTCAACATTCTGCTACTTTAGACCGAGTGCGAGCCGCAAGGAATGAGCAGCAAGCTACACGAAACATACGGGAAGAGCAGAACAGCGCATACGAGCGATCTTTAGCCCAAGACCGAGAACGTGCAAGGCAGAGACGTGAAGCTGAAGCGGCACAGACTAGGGCTGAGCAGGAAGCAAGAGCAAAGGCGGATGCGGAAGAACGAGAAGTTCAAAAAGCAGAGCAATGGAAGCAATGGAGGGCGCAATCAATATTAGCAGAACCAGGTCCGGGTGTCGAGGATGCCACCCGAGTCAGCATACGGCTAACGTCTGGTGAGCGGGTCATTCGCAAATTTACCAAGAACGCGGAGATGGAAGAGCTTTACGCATTCGTTGAATGCTACGATGTCCTCAGGGCGCAAGAAGACCTCTCCGCGGCCATGAAACCTACAGGGTACAAGCACAGTTACAAATTCCGTCTCGTGTCCCCGATGCCTAGAACTGTGTACGATGTCGAGGGTGGTGGCACGGTGGCGGGCAAATTGGAAAGAAGTGGTAACCTGATTGTGGAGCCAATCAACGATGAAGACGATGAGGCATGATTCTGGACATTTCTGCATAGCTAGGGATGTGAACTGCATTTTAGCGAATGACAGTTCAGAGTATTCGGGCTTTTTTTGAGGCCGAGGAAGTCAGTATCAATTTGGGTTTGTATACTAGACTAGACAAATACAAAGACGTGTTCTAGATCAACCAAATGACACGACATGACAACAGCGCTCATATCTCGGATGGAGAAAACACGGGCATTGACATCCTTGGGTGAGATTCTTGGTTCTGGGTTGAGAGTAGACAGTATTTTTGTAAAGTTTGTATGGTTGTTCAGTAAGCCAGCATTGCTCTTCAACGTCTCGAACACTCCATCAAGGGGAAATGTAATATCGGCTTTGTATGACGTTACGACTTCCATCTTAAGATTTGGCAATCCTGCCACGTCTGAGTGCGGTCGTTGCAAATCAGCTGTTGAGGAGAGACCAAAGCAACCAAACCACTGTATGACACTGGCATGGTCTGATCCTGTCTTCTTTTATAGTTGTTGTGTTCCACGAGGTTTGAGTCTTTCAGTCTTTCAGCCCTGCGATACCTGATGTGCAGCATCGCGGCGATTGACGTTTGGACCAACCACAATAGAGAGGCTTTGCCAAGCTGAAAGGCAAAAACTGACACCAATCAAAGTACCAGCAGTCCATTCGAGGATTGATTGGTTCCAATTTCCTTGTTAGATCCGTGGTATACTCCCGAAAAAGCGAACCTACTTCTTCAAGCCTGTACCGGGCGTGTAGACAGATGTCGATACTAAATCAGTAACAGCAAGCAAGCTGCCAGGGAAAGCGACACCTGAGGCATTAGGACACTCTCTTTTCATGTATCGATCTCGGATATGAGACCGGGAGAATATGTCGTTCGGAATTGAATCTTCGGAAGAACCTCAAACAACGGAAAGAACTCCTCTGATGCTGTTCTTGCTGATAATCCAGGGATGTGTACCGTTTCAACCATCCCATTTTCTGGCATCTTACGCGCCTGCATTCAGGCTACGAGCCGTGGTGGTTCGCAGTGCCTTACAGGGCGCGGTTAGCGAGCTTTGGGTTCAATGAATCTCAGACCTGCTAGCCATGGTAAGGGTTTGGTGGATTGAAATTCCGCATAGGCGAGAAAATCTTTGATCATAGAACGGATTTAAGCATTTGAAGTTAGGCAATCTCATTGATACACGTCCGCGCTGACGAATGCATTGTGGAAGGCAACGGACCCTAATAGTATATAGATGAGGCTGTGCTCTTAGCACCCATTAACAGACACTTCGTCTTCTTCCCATTATTGACCATCAGCCTCGGGCGCCTTTCGGTCTTCTTCTCTTGCAATATATAGGTTTTCGACGCAGTGTATTCGGAAAGACCGCGGATACGCTAGTCATTGCCGCCAAGAGACACGCGCCAAGAAGACACGCTGCCGTTGGTAAGGCTGAACCCTGAGCTTCAGCTTACATACAGCACGCAAATACTCACACACTAAGAAACAAGAACCTGTTACAACATGCACAAGCGTTTTCTGAGCTCTATCGGCAGACGTCCGAGTAGGTTGACACTGCCAGGATTTTCGTGTGAGCCAAGAATAGCTGCTAACCGGCAACAAGGCCAGGAGTCCGAAAAGGCGATCCCTGACGGAGACTCACCGGAAGCCAGTGTTTCTAGAGGTGTAGTCAGTTTTGTCAGTATTGTGAATGAAGGCTCTCGCCATGCTAACATCTCCAAGAGACTATTTTGCGAGTCTGGAGGGCCAAATAACCAGGTACGACCTTGCAGTCTTTACGCAACAGTGCGCTTGCTAACGCTGCAATAAGGGAGAAGAAGTGCTGCACCTACCCGTAATCGTCGAAGCCGCAGAGTCAAGTCCAAGCGCCGCATCAGAAGCCGCCCTTCGGATACGAAAGTTTCTGTCCAAGGAGAATTACCCGCGAGCCTACGTGCAATACAATGCGATCATGCTGGTACGGATTCTGGCAGACAATCCGGGGAAAAGTTTCACCAAAAATATCGATCAAAAGTTCGTCGGCACGGTGAAGGAGCTGTTGCGAGATGGAAGGGATATGAGCGTTCAGCAGATTTTGAGGGAGACTTTGGATACTTTCGAGGAACACAAAGCTAACGATGAGACACTGGCTCTGTTGACGGAGATGTGGAAGAAAGAGAAAGCGAAGATGGGCAAACGATTGGGCTCAGCAGCGCGTATAGGGGAGCCTAGACGCGGCCCGGGTTTCCAGCATGCATTACAGCAGCCAGTACAACAGAACATGATGGCGCCTAGAAACCCCAAAACCCAAAATCAGCAGAACTACTTCGCCCGAAATCATAGACCACGAGGTCTACCTTCGCCAGCAGAACTGGCACAGAGGGTCGAAGAAGCCAAAACCTCCGCCAAGCTCCTTTCACAAGTCGTCCAGTCAACACCATCGAATGAAGTCCCAGGAAACGAGCTTATAAAGGAATTCGTGGAGCGGTGCCAATCAGCAACACGCTCTATGCAGGACTATATCCACTCGGATAACCCAGCGCCGGATGAGGACACCCTCCTGACTCTCATCGAGACAAACGACCTGCTAGCAACAACTATGTCAAAACATCAACGGGCATTGCTCCAAGCGAGGCGTGCCACGGGTGTTTCGCCCTTGTCCACAGCCACGGGGCCATACGAGACGCCAGCTGCGCCTGTGACTTTTTCGAGTGAATCCAGAGACGGGCTTTTCACGCCTCCACCAGGCCCTCCACCTCGAAACCAAAAACCGCAATCGGAGGATCGGAACCCCTTTGGTGATCAACACCAAGCGCAAGGCTCCTCGAATGATGCTCAGGCGCCCGTTGCTCCACCAAGCTTCGGTCTCCCGCCACCGAATATGCCGCCAGAGAAACAGCAGCCAAGCTATACAAATCGGCAGGATGCGTCAGCGAACAATGTGACTATTTACGGACCAGGCGCGGACGATGGAGCGTTGGAGCATCAGCCGACTAGGCAGCCAGTGCAGTACCGCTTTTGAGTGTAATGAATATAGGGGCAGTGTTAGTCATTGGCATGGACGTGGAAATGAGAGAGGGAATTTGACGACTAGATACCATCTTTGCGTTGTTCATATCATGATGATACCCAGGAACCTCATCATATCAATAGTGAATGATCAATTTGTACATGAAAATTCATTCTGAATAGCCGAACTTCCCACACTTCCATTCAACAATTAGCATTACTAGAAAATGGAATTCCAGTCCATTAATAATCTCTTACACCTTCCCACCCATCCGGCCTGAGCTCCTGTGCAACTTGAAGGCTATCTTTGCTAGGCTCCACAGTATAACAGTGCCAACAAATCTACCTCCATGAACCCATCCATTGACTTTATATGGAGGATGCTTGAGGCCTGGTAGTGAGCACCATCGATTAACACGCATCCCAGTTTCAGCCTCTCAATAACACGCAACACATCTCCATCCTTTGATACGCTGTTCCGTTTTTTTTATGTTCCTTCGAATATCTAACATTTCTCGTGTCTCAAATAAGCCAGTCGTCCCCTACAGATGCCAACAAGCAGTATCTCCACGCCTATCGAGAGAGAAGTCTCTGGAATGGCGGTTGTGTCCCATCGTGAACCCTCGTTTGAAGAGGAAGTTCCATTCCTGGCTCAGGTGGCTTCTCGCGTCCAAGAGACCTCCCCAACGCCCCGGATTCTTCCCCGCGGCCGTTCCCAGATCCACCGCTTCGAGGTCATCAACCTTCCCGAAATTCCGAAACAGTCGGATATCAATCGTCGACTTTACGTTTCCCACTTCCTTTCTACATGGAATTCTCGGGTTTTCGAATTTGGTGCCGTACTGTTTCTGGCACGTATCTTCCCAGGTACTCTTTTACCATCGTCAGTATATGCTCTTGTACGTGCTGCATCTGCCATTTGCTTTGCACCGTTGGTTGGGCGATACGTCGATCAAAGAGATCGTCTGAAGGTTGTAAGAATCTCAATTGTTGGTCAACGAGGGGCTGTAATATTATCATGTCTGGGCTTTTGGGCTCTAGCTACCGATATCCTAGGCATTCCGGGCTTCAGACCTTTGCTCATAGCTATGCTGGTTCTTCTGGCTTGTGTGGAGAAGCTCGGCTCGATCATGAACATCATAGCGATCGAGCGAGACTGGGTCGTTGTGGTAGCGGAGACTTCTCAGTGCGGGCTCGAAGTCCTGAACTCTCAAATGCGGCGCATCGACCTAGTGTGCAAGCTCGTCGGTCCTCTCGCTGTAGCTTTGGTGGATGGATACTCTACAACGATAGCGATCGCAGCTGTCCTAGGCATGGATGCTTCATCCGTGCTAATAGAATACTTCGCTATCGCAAGGGTCTACTACATGGTACCAGCACTCCAGGCACGTTCTGCCGTCGGGAACAATACCGATAAAATCTCGTCCGCCGTGTCAGAAGTGCCTTCAATATGGCGGCTTGGAACATTTTGTGTGGCGCAAACTCGGTCTTTCTACAAGGCTATCTCAAGTTACATCCGCGACACGGTCTTCCTTCCTTCGATGGCGCTCTGTCTCCTCTATTTCACCGTCCTCTCTTTTTCTGGCCAAATGGTGACATATCTCCTCTCCGTAGGTCTCTCCTCCGCGCAAATTGGCGTTCTGAGAACATTATCAACTGCAGTTGAGCTTTCTGCAACATGGCTCGCGCCAACAGCTATGAACAGAGTCGGTCCGCTACGAGGAGGTCTGTGGTTCATCAATTGGCAGATCACATGCCTCGTGGGAGCATTTGGCTTCTTCTGGGTCATGCGTACACCTTCAGTGGCCGCATTCGGGTTGGTAATCGGGGTAATAGCGAGCCGTGTTGGACTGTGGGGATTTGATCTGTGCGTACAAATCATCATCCAGGAGGTATCGGTCGCAGTAATCGCCCAAAATTGAAGGCTATACTGATGGCATATCTCTCTAGGGAGTCGACGCTGATTCAAGAGGATCCTTCTCCTCTCTTGAAGCTTCTTTTCAGAATTTCTTTGAGCTCTGCTCGTACGCAACGACAATCGCATTCTTTCGTCCCGAACAATTCCAGTATCCGGCGGCAATAAGCGCTGTAGCAGTCCTCGTAGCGGGTGGTCTGTACGCGAAATTTGTACGAGACAACAGAGGGCATTTGATTCATCTATCAAAGTGTATTGAGGGAAAGGGGAGCGCGAGACAACGAAAGCGGAGGCAGAGAGGAGACGCGAGTATGCACGAACTTCCATGAGAGATGAATGTTCGACATACCAGCCAAAGAACCTTACTTTGGAAGACAGACCGTAAGCTCTGATATGTGAACTTGCAAGAAATTAGACCCTTCCAGAGCCGTATCTCAACTCAAACGCTCATAGCCAACAGCGATAGTGGATTTCCGCCCAGATGGGTCGAAAGTTGTTTATGAGAAGGGGGGACAAGGCAAGTAAATGCAAAGCACCGCAGATCAGTTCAGTTCAACATTCAAAATCATCGCTATGTTTGACTAGACAATGAAGGGATTGCTATGCGGAAATGTGAATGAAAAAGGGGCTCCGTAGCAGACCAAATTTAGCCGAACCCTGAACCACAAAAGTAAATCAAATAAAATGACCCCTTCATGAGCCTGTCATCCAGAAATCCAGAAAGCAAAATAGGATAAAAAAAAACAAAAATGATTTTTTATGCCCCCAGACCTTCACATCAGTTAGCCAAAGAAAGATGTTGATTTACGAAGAGGATAAATTTACAGATTTGAACTATCGGCCTTTGCATAGAATGTCACAATACAAGTGCAACGCTCTACCCCTCTAGGGAGGGTCAGCATTTGGATATGAATAACTTTAGAGGAGAAGACTAACGAGCTATAGGGGCATCTGATCGGAGGCCTCCTATTACTAATAATATTCCTAAAACATTCCTGCAAGAGATACGCTTTCTGTTGGTGGGGTCTTTGGTGGGGATAACTACCTTATGCTTCAGTCCCCATAATCTTCTGGCCTTTAATCTTCACGCAACTCCATGTACCTTACCACACACCAGATCTATATCATGTATACACTTGAACCAATATTACAGTCTGGGAATTCTCTCTGAATGGTTTAGATATCATGCCCCTGAGCCCCGTGACCAATGTACGAAAGCCAGGCGTGAGACCCAGGCCGTATTAACTGTAACTTACTCGTACTCGTACGTCACGTCTCTCAGCATTTAATTGAATATTGATACAGTAGCAGTGACTACGAATACGAAGCATAATGTTACATGCGTATGTCAATCATGCTCTCACTCAGGGACCTGTCATGATGTTCCATCTCCTACGTCAGTGACTATTATGTACTTTCGTCATCACTTTGGCCAAAGCCTCATTCTCGTACTCGTGATCCTGCATTTCATTTCACCTCTCCATTTTGATATAAACCCATTCAATACTTCCGAATCCCTTCGTCAGACCATCACCCTATGCTCCCCTCCTGCGTCCGCATCCATCAGCGTACCTTCTTTCCCACTTCAAAACTCCTCACCCCTTGTCTCAACCAAGCTCGCGCGAATTTGCGACCCTTCACCACCACCACCTCCACAATGTCTGCAAACAGCAAGATGGAATCCGCCTCCCTTCCCGCCTCCGCCCCTGGCGAGAACTACGAGCCCCGCCAAACCCACCCTTCGGAAGACTATACGCCAGACCCCTCCAAATCCCTTCCCATCTCCAAAGAGCGCCAAGCTCTCGTCGACGACATTCTCGACCTCTACAGCTGCAAGCCTACCGTCCAGAAGGTCAAGCGGTATACATCTGATTGCGTGTACGACGATCAGTTCGTGTATGCAAATGATCGGTACAAGATGGCCGGGCAGTGGTTTGCTCTGCCGAAGCTGTTTAAGGATAGCAAGACCGAGAAGTATCAGATTGTGAAAAATGAGCCCGGGTTGATTCAATTCAGAAATGAGCAGGTCTGTGTCCTCCTCTCCTCCAGTTGTTGGCAATGTCATGCTGACTCGCTGGTATAGTCATGGACATTCAAAATCATCCCCAAAACCGCCACCATCAACGCCCTCGTCTCCCTATCTCTCGACCCATCCACCATCGACAGTGACTTTATCCAGGTCAAGTACCACAAGGATCAGGCCAATGACAAGGACTACTCACACGAAGGTCTGGGGTTCAGCTTCAAGAAATGGCAGGCAGATCAGGTTATGAAGCACATGGACAGCCCTGAGGTGAAGGAGTTCGAGGCGGATAAAGGGGCGGGCAAGGAGCACATTAGGGAGTACGGTAGTGGCGCTGCTGAGGGCAACGCGCCTACTCAGGAGTTGTAGAGGAAGACTCCAGCTAGCCGTAATGATGTATGGTCCATCACTGTAGCAAATGCAATCATAAATGATAGCTTTCATCTCTTTCTATTGTTCGAAAGCCAGTCTCTTGTTTCTAGCGACAGAACACTCGGCCAAGCCTTAGAAAGCCGTCGAGGAAATGGCCCAGTACAATGCGTGCCATCTTTCAAATTGGATGGTACAGCGGCTTGATCGGAGAGGATTTGTCTGCCAGCAGAAACCTTCGCTTGATGCAAAGGCAGCCGTGGAAGCTTGGTAACTTTGACGTTGTTGTCCACGAAAGATGGACGTGCCCGCCAGAAATACGTTGCCCTACCGGGCGCTGTCGCTGGATTGGTGTAGCATCCTCGAATTCTTCGCGCACAAGTCTAGACCATCTTCCTTTTATCAAAGCCCATGCAATGCTTCGAACGTTGACAAGACCATCTATGGTTGGGTCGTATTTCCAGTCCCACTCACAACCAGTATTACACTCCCGAACTGTCTTCTCAAATCCTCTTTGTCCACATCATGACTATCTTCCACCTCTCCCCACCGCCCGGTCTGCCAGATAACCTCTTGACTACACGCCTTGGCGGCCTCTTCGATGCCGAATCTTTCCGCTGCCTCTCCTTGCATGTCTCCTAGCTTCAGATATTCGCTCCATTCGCAGACCAATCGAGCTGCAACGCACAAACTCTTGCCAGCTAATGCCGCTCTCTCAAGCCCCACAAGCTCCCATGCTGGCAAACCGGCCATCCATCCTTTTATGACTGCGCGCGTGGCTGCAGGCTGTGAGGTGGGTAGTATAGATCCATTGTCAAGTGTAGGTTTCAACTCAACACCGGGCCATACATTTTGCGTAAGATATGACAGGATCGGGGTCGCAGTCCGGACTTGCAGGTCTCTCAATGATTCCCCTCTGACATCCTTATCCGACGGATTCGTTAGGGTAGATGCAGGAGCCCAACAAAGTAGTGTATCAGTATCGAGATATCGTAGCAGCGTATTCACAATGTCGTAGCGTATTCCTGACCCAGAAGATGCGGCGTGCTGATTCTCTCTATCTTCGAGGCCAAGGACGTGGGCGCGGGCGCTGATTGAGGTCAGTGGGATGAGGTGGGAGCGGGTAGCTTGCTGGGCGGAGACAAGGAGGTCCCATTCTAGAGCTAGCGCTGTTGCGAGATACGGTTTTGAATGGGGAATGCTCATGGGCTTTTTGGTCGTAGGATTGCGAAGAGCGCGAGTGTCGAGGTTGACTAGATAGTTTTCCTCTATAGGAATTTAGACATGTCAGCAAAGTATTTTCTGTAGACATGATAGAGGAGACACAGGTGCAATTAAGGGCACCGAGATTGAATCATACCAGCATCCGTCTGCACACTCACATCTTTCCAAAATCGCTTTTTGATGGCGGTCCCAGGCTTCATATGGCTAGCTCGCATGTCTTGTCCGCGCTTGAGCAGCTCAGCTTGCCGCCGGCGTCGATCGACTCTTTCGCCATATTGGGATGCTGCGGGTTGTGGAGCTGCTGGGGGAGGACCAGTGGCAGTGATGGGCAGAGGAGTGGCGACTCGAGGGGAGGTGGTATGGAGGCAATGTAGGAGCGCTGGACGATAGGGGAATGACACGGTCCTGTAAGATTTGTAACAAAGGGGCGAAGATGCCAGTGTTGCAATGCGCTTCATCATCGTCCTCACTCTGTTATATGCTAAGTAAAGTATCCTGTTCGTCGCCTGCTGCGGGATAGAAATCTAAGTGGTCTACATACTAGTTTTTGAAAGTGATATGACTACTCCGACTTCCCAAGGGTTTCACTTGAAAGTGAGGAGCTCGTCTGCACGCGATATTCCAACAGCTACATGGGTATTTTCGATTTACCGCCCCAATCTTCGTCAAAAAAACTTCAAGCGTCAAGAAGCCTAACATGCTAAAGCGAAAACACAGCACCGATGGTCCGTCTAATATGGCCGACGAACATCAAGCTACCCGCGCAGGCCCAGTAACGCTCGTGATCGATCCTGAAGGTGATCTGTACATGCTGTTCGATAGTGGAAGTCTTCTGGTTTCCCGCAAAGCTCTCTCGCTCAGCTCCCCGGTCTTTCTTGCCATGCTCGGGGCGAATTCGAAGTTCAGAGAGGGAACAGACATGACTCTCGCTCATAATGGTGTTCAAATTGTCTCATTCGAAGATGACAACTTCGAAGCCATGACTACTATAGCCAGAATAATCCACCTTCAAAGCGACAATGTCCCAGCCACAGTGACATTCAAGCAGCTCTATCAGGTGGCAGTAATGTGTGATAAGTACGATCTGAAGAGATGTCTCGGGCCTTGGACAAAGATTTGGGCGACCCCGTACCTCGACTGCTATGCGAGGCAAGGATACGAAGAATGGCTCTTCATGTCCATAGTCTTCCAGTACGATGGTCTCTTCAAGGAGGTCACGCGACATCTTGTCATCAACTCAGAAATGTCTGAGCAAGGCACGCTCGTCACCACGACTGGTTTCGACATTGGCGAAGGCGTATCTTCGACCATCTTAGGTGAGTGAATTCCGAAAAGTCGAAGCTCTGAGCACTGATTACGAACAGAGCGAATCACCAAGTCTAGAGCAGAAACGATGTTCGAGGTCCAGGACCTTTACTGGCAGGAATTCTGCAAGTTGCGAGCCAGTAATACGGCACGCGTCTGCAAGGTCGGTGGTTTAAATGTGGCAAAATGCGATGCTCTCAACCTTGGAAGCCTATATCAGCAATTTCCAGAACTTCAGGATCCTCGACAAACCTCCGGCGCCTGCCGTAAGACTGTCAAAAGCATGATTGAGGCTCACGCAGGCATTTTGGAATTGAGCGGGGCGCTGATCTTCAAATTCGGCGACCATAGGCCTTGCGCTGTGGGTTCACGTCTCGCAGCTGACGCGAGGAAGTTGCTTGACGCTGTGCAAGGGCTGGACTTAAGTGACATTGTCTGCTAGCAAGATAGACGGCGGCCTGCTCCCAGTACGTCATGACCACTTGGGATCAACGAAGGTTGCACTGGGGATCTGCTGACAGTGTCTAGGATGATACGCGGCCGGCTTTCATGTCTTGATGTAGCATAGTATTTTCTTTCCTCGGTCGGCTCGCAGGGTGGATTACTCGTTGTGTTGGGCTCCGCAATGTTGAACGGCGACGCGTCACTGCACACATAATCTCTGCGGCTGCTCTCGATGTACATGACCAAAATCAGCGTTCTTGAAATGACATCCTAGTCATGAGTAGTAGATCCGACAACAAAGGCCTGGTCAATGAGACGGTTGTGCTACGCGGGACTCACGTCCATTGCCAGCTAGATGTTACCATTCGTCCAAGGTCCCCCTTTTTGCTGACACCATTCATATATACAGTCTCACAGATACAGTCTCCCACCACTTTATAGAATACTGCTCCGATCCTAGCACCATGATTCATTACATTTGCGGGTCCTGGGCCATGGCCCAGTCAGGGCAGCTATTTTCATTGGATCCCGAACCAGCGTGGATGGGTATCTTGATGTGTCTTCATCCGCGTATGTTTATCACTGCTCGCCCAGTCTTAGATTTCAGGGTTCGAAAAAAAGTGATTGTTGTTCGCATACTATGACGCCTTTTTTCGAGTCGACGTCGCTATCTTTAGCGTGCTGGATTCTCCGCGGGGCATTATGGTCCTCTTCCGCGCGGCCTCTTCCTCAAGCTCATGTCATTATGTCGTGAACAGTAATATCGTAAAAGTGTTCTCGACATCTTCAAAGCAGTGGTCTGTCTAGACACAGGATGCATACCAACCAGGGTAGGTTGCTGTAATCGATTCTGAATTAGTCTCCTCCCCAATTACTCCGTTTCTTTGCAGCTGTGAGGCACGATGGCAAAGCCATTGCAGGTCATTGTTGTAGGTATCACCCTTTCTAAGGATCCTGTCCTTGTTCTTTTTCCAATTCTTGTCCGAATCACTAGAGAACTTTCGCCTCTATGTCTCTCGATTTTAGTCCTCTGCTGCATTAAAGTTATTACCCCAGTAGAGGCTTGCCTTGTGCCCACGGGGTGACGGTCTCATTACTGAATGTTACTTGGACAGGTCGGAGGCTCGTTGGGAGGACTCTTTGCCGCCATCGTACTGAAGCGTCTCGGTCACGTTGTGCGCATATTCGAGCGCAACCCTAGCCCACTATTACAAAATCAGGGCGCAGGGGTAGTCGCAGGAGGTGATACACAGACCTTCTTCAACAAGTATGACGCTACAAGGCGGCCGATTGCCGTTACAAGCAAACTACGACAGTACCTGGATCAGCAGGGAAACCAAATCCATGAAGAGGACACCGTTCAGAAGATGACTAGTTGGGACCTGCTTTATTATCTACTGAGAGCGAACTTCGATGGCGTCGAGAGTGGCTATTGCAAAGTTCCTGAGCCGTTTGAAACTGATGGTCAATGCGCGTACGAGTACGACCATATGGTGAAGAATGTCAAAGATATTGGTGAGCAGGTTGAATTGGAATACGAAGACAAAAGGGGCCAGGTCGATAAGACCACGGCAGACTTGATCATCGGCGCGGATGGACCCAGCTCGACTTTACGCAAGATCCTACTACCAGATGTGAAAAGGGATTATGCAGGCTACGTAGCGTGGCGAGGAACAGTACCCGAACAAAAGGCATCGCCTTCGGCCAAAGGGACGTTTGTCGATAAATTTACTTTCTACCATTCCCGAGGCACGCAGATATTAGCCTATGTTATACCAGGAGAGAATGGAACCCTTGAACCAGGCGAGCGACTGATCAACTGGGTCTGGTATTGCAACTATCCGGAAGACTCGACAGAATACAAGGAAGTCATGACGGACTCTGATGGGAAGACTCATCATGTTACAGTACCAATCGGGAAAATGAGGAATGAGGTACTAGAGCACCAAAGGCAGTGTGCCAAAAAAATGCTACCACCCCAATTTGCAGAGATCGTCTGCGACACGAAGCAGCCGTTTATCCAAGCTATCACAGATGCGATTTCACCGAGGAACTCCTTCTTTGACGGGAAGCTTTTGCTGATCGGAGATGCCGTTGCAGGCTTCCGACCGCATACAGCTGCCAGCACGAGCCAAGCTGCATTCGATGCGCAGAAGATGCATGAGCTGATGAACGGTGAAATCGGACTGGACCAGTAAGTGCACACTAGCAAATCCTACCCAAACGTACGCTTTGTTTTGAGCCTCAAGACATGTTTCGCGAGCAGTGGTGGCATTGGGCTCATTAAACCCCCCCATTTCCTAGTAGGTGAGTCTTTTGCAATGTTATGCTGACTCCGAAGTGTGCAGGTGGGAGGTGGAGACGATGAATTTCGCGAAACACATGCAAGGGCGAGGGGTGGAGATGGGTCAGAGGAGTCAATTTGGGCATCACCCTCTAGCTCAGACGTTGGAAGGTATGGCAAGATCATGATGGACTTCATGCTGCTTGTGATGTACTTACGAGTGGAGAGGAATTGGTGGGAGAGGTTGTTCGAAATCTCAATTGTAGGCTAGAAATCATAGAGCGCACAGCTCATGTTGAAGTCCACCCTTATTTTCAGATGTAAAGAACTTGGCTACGGTCAGGAGGAGAGCTTGGAGGCTGGTACCCAGAAGGTTTCATCCGTCCCCTACAAATCCCGTGGGATTGCTTCATTTCTTCACTACCCCTATATTCTTAATCATTGGGAAACAAAAAAGTTCCCGCAAGCACCCCCCTCCCGATAATTGAAAAACGAAACTTCTGGAATAACTTTACAACAATAAATTATAATTTTCTAAAAACTTTATAACTATTAGAAAATGTAATAAAGACTACGATATTTAATTTTTAGAATATTCTAATTATCTACTATATAGTAAAATAAAAATCTATTAAATTCTTAAGATTTTTCGATAAGTCTTGGCGATTATAGAATAGCCGAGGTAACTTTTCAACGTCAAGCGTATATTCTTAATTTATACTATATCTTACGATATCTAAATTAAAATCTTCTAAAATTTTTAAAATTAATTATTTAGTATTATAAGAAAAGATTATAAAAATTATAGATTATAAAGACTGGTGGTTGTAAAGATATTCAAGAATTTTCAATTTTTGGTTTTCGATGGGGGGTGCTTGCGGGAACTTTTTTGTTTCCCAATGATTAAGAATATAGGGGTAAGCGATCCAATCCACGCCCAGGAAATGCCGTCATTCATCCCGCCCCGCCCCGTACCGGCCGAGAAGCTTCGATTCTCGATCCCTGGAACTCGAGAGTCCACCAACCTAAGGTATATGTTTATTTTTCTGAGGTACTCTAGAGGTTTGACCCCATCCCTTGAATAAACACCCCCTATCAAATCTATTATTATCTACGACCTACAGCCTATTAAAGGATCGGCAAATTTGTTGCTGGTCACACAACAATAATAATGTCCGACAAAGGTGCAGAGGGGTAAGTCCTCCCTCACAGCATTCCAGCACAACATATTTTGCAGCCAAGTTGGACTGACCGAACCTCGACTCAGCCATAAGCGCTCCAAATCTGCTCTGGCCAGGTCGCTGCTTCACCGAGACAAATCGAAGAGTATCGACACCGACGGCGAGTCTAGTATTGCAGGTTCCGAGGCCGGCTCCGAACCCCCCTCTCCTACGATAGGCGCCCCGTCAAGCCACCACTCCTTTGGAGGCCTTCGATCTTCTCGTCACAAAGCGAAGACATCGAGCGGTGTTGCTGGTATGGACATCTCAAGTCCCAGCACCGCTGCTTTGACTCGAGACGCTGCTGCTAAACAACAAGACACTGGCCCTACGATCCAGCAATCCGTCCGAATGTTCAAGTTGTTTGAGATTCTACGAAGTGGAGACAGTGCAGCAATTGCCAAAGCTGTCACCGAAACATCTACTATGCCCACCATCAGCGAGGATGCTGAGAAGGGTGCAGCAGCTGGGACAGGGACCTTGGATGGTACAACGATCCTACACTTAGCCATCCAGTGTGCCGATCCCCCTGTGGTTGAGCAGATATTATCTGTTGCCAAGACTACGCCAGGAGCTAGCATAGATATCAATGCCCGAGATCGCGATGGGAACACCCCACTTCATCTCGCTTCTATGCTTGGACGGCCTACCACTGTACGCCTACTACTAGACCAAGCAGATGTCAATGATTCTCTCCTGAACTACCAAAGCCGCTCTGCTTTAGACCTTGCTAAGACACCAGACATCTTTCAGCAGTTACAACTTTCTCGCTCATTGTTCGTCGATACCACTGTCAAAGACATCCAGAAGCTCGTCAGCAAGCAAAACTATGATCAGCTCCAAGCTACCCTTCAGGACTCACGTGTTGAGACTGTCCTTGACGTCAATGGTGGAGAGCTTGCAACAGATCCCAGTACTGTTGAAAGTGGAGGCACACTACTACATGAAGCCGCGCGCAAAAGGGATACCACGCTGATACAGTTGCTGCTAATGCACGGAGCCGACCCTTTTCGTCGAGACCGCAGGGGCAAACTCCCTCAAGACGTCACAAAAGATGACAGGACACGAAGTATCCTAAGAAAGTCGCCTGCTGCAGCTGCAGCTCAGAGAGGCATCCAAGAGAAAGCAATCCTAGGTAGCGGTTCGGCTCAAACCCCAGATAACGCGCCTGGCGGGAAGGACGCTCGAGAGATGAAAGGCTACTTGAAGAAGTGGACAAATTACACAAGTGGATATAAGTTGAGATGGTTCGTCTTGGAGGATGGGGTGCTAAGTTATTATAAGCATCAGGATGACGCTGGCTCAGCGTGTCGTGGAGCCATCAACATGCGCATTGCCAAACTCTATATGGACCCCAAAGACAAGACCAATTTTGAGATACAGGGGAAATCATCCGTTAAGTATCATCTCAAAGCAAACCATGTCGTGGAAGCCAAGAGGTGGTTTTGGGCACTGAATAATGCGATTCAGTGGACCAAAGACGAAGCTAAAGAGTCTGAGAGGCAGAAACAACGAAAGGAAGGGATGCTACGCCAAGCTAAAGCGGGACAATTGCCACAGCTCGCGGATGAATCGAAGGAGCTCGGAACAACAGATGCATCTAGGCTTAGCGGCAAAGGTCTTGCCCCTGCCACCGCAGTGGGTGTTCCTCTTACAGCGTCTTCATCACGATTATCATTCCAAGAGTCCACGTACGGGGATGAAGAGGGCTCAATGTACGATTCGTACGAACCCGGCGCTGCGGACAGGGAACTAGCCCGTTCAGTAAGGGGGGCACAGACCACCACAATCGCGGGTGACCTGGACGACGAGGAAGAATATGGAGATGACGCGAGTGATCACGAGATCCAACCTCTTAGCAAGGACGCGTTCAATATCACTGCCCACTCAGCCAGTCTCCAGCTAAGGCTTCTTGCCCAAGTTTCGGCAGCGCTGCAAGCGGAAGGCTCTAAAGACCACGCCGTTTCGATCTCTGATTCTACGGTCAAACAGGCTCTTTCGACCTATGAATCTGCAGTTGCTAGTCTCCAAGGCCTGGTTGGTGACCTGCTTAAGATCTCTCGTGACCGGGATGCGTACTGGCAATACAGGTTAGATCGGGAAGCAGATGTGCGAAGGCTATGGGAAGATAGTATGGTACGTAAATATCAAAGCAAACTCTTCGTGATAGAGCCTGCTTGGGTCGCAATGCATTTTAGGAGCAGAATTAAGGGACCTCGCTCCTTCGCGCTCCTTGAGGTTGGAGTCTTTTATGCGAAGTGAAACGCTGACCCTGTAATCTTCACAGGCCCGGGTCGCAAAGGAGCAGGAAGAGCTTGAGGGCCGCATTGGCGAGTCAGAAGAGAAACGAAAACGAACAAAGCGAGCCCTGAAAGAGGCTTTGGAAGGGACTTCAGACTCTGTTGCGCCAAGCAGAGGCATGTCTCAAGACGAAGGTCAAATTTCAGCAACCCTCGAAAATATTCAACTCGACCAACGAAGCCCTGCTCGTCCTCGTACAAAATCGATTGGCTTCAGAGATCAAGGGAGGAGGAAGTCTACAATTGCAGATCTCACGAATCTCTCCGATTCAGATTCCGATGAAGACGAGGAATTTTTCGATGCTGTAGATGCAGGGGAGGTGGAAGTCATAGATGTGATGCCACCGTCGAGTCCGCTAGCCCTTCCTGAGGACGATGCAACAGATCAGAAAACTTCCGAAGATGGAGATCTGCGTGAGAAAAAGTTGGCAGATATCAAGGCCTCGTTCAAAGGATACGAAGATCCCATCCGCAAACGATTCAAGATGGAAGCTGACAATAGACCAAAAATCTCTCTCTGGGTGGGTACATCTTGAGACTGTCATTTCATGAGCCACTGACATCAAGCTAGGGCATTCTCAAATCCATGATTGGAAAAGACATGACCAAAATGACACTACCGGTGTCCTTCAACGAGCCAACTTCCTTATTGCAACGGGTGACAGAAGATATGGTCTGTCCCTTCCTTTCCCTTTCATCTCGAAATCCTTCATGACCGCCACGGTATGGGCAGCAAGACCACGTTTTGGCTGCAGAACCAGGGATCCTACCCTTTTTACACATTTCTCGTGAGCCTGATCATTGTCTTGAAAATGGATATGCTGACCTTTAGATCTTCGCAGGAATACACCGATCTATTGGACACAGCAGCTGATCGAGCCGACTCGACCGAGCGCATGGTCTACGTTGCAGCGTTCGCTGCGAGTGAATATGCATCAACCATTGGCCGTGTTGCCAAACCTTTCAATCCGTTGCTCGGTGAGACTTACGAATATGTGAGACCAGACAAGGGCTACCGCTTCTTCATCGAACAAGTCAGCCATCATCCACCCATTGGCGCAGCGTGGGCTGAAGCGCCGAAATGGGACTACTATGGCGAATCAGCAGTCAAGTCCAAATTCTACGGCAAGTCCTTTGATATCAACCCCCTCGGCACCTGGTTCCTCAAACTCCGCCCTACAACTGGTGGTGAAGAGCTTTACACCTGGAAAAAGGTTACCTCCTCCGTGATCGGCATCATCACCGGCTCACCCACAGTCGACAACTACGGCCCCATGGAAATCAAGAACTGGAGCACCGGCGAAGTCTGCACGCTCGATTTTAAGCCTCGGGGCTGGAAAACATCATCGGCGTATCAGGTCAACGGCAAAGTGACAGGCAAGGATGGCAAGACAAAGTGGAGCATCGGTGGTCGGTGGAACGACAAGATCTATGCTCGCTTGACCCCAGGCTTCGAAGATTCAGAGCTCAAACCTGGCAAGTCCCACGAACCAGGCTCCAATCAAGCCTTCCTGGTCTGGGAAGCCCACCCGCGTCCCCCAAATATCCCATTCAACCTAACCCCCTTCGTCGTAACATTCCAAAACCTCCCTCCCAACCTCCGGCCCTACCTCCCGCCCACCGATACCCGTCTTCGCCCCGATCAGCGCGCTATGGAAGACGGCGAGTACGACGTCGCTGCTACCGAGAAGAATCGGGTAGAAGAGAAGCAGAGGGCTAAGAGGAGGGAGAGAGAGGCTAGGGGAGAGGAATTTGTGCCGAAGTGGTTCAGTAAGGGGAGGTGTGAGGTTACTGGGGAGGAATATTGGGTCACTAATGGGCGATATTGGAGGGTGAGGGATGAGGTGGGGAGTGGCAGTGGGAGGTGGGAGCAGGTAGGGGTTGACGATATCTTTGGGAAGGATGAGGAGGAGAAGGAGAGGTAAGGATTTAATGATGGATGAACAGTTGTCGTGAACCAAGGGTGGTTAACGATAGCATAGCGGAGCATTTTTTAGTCATTCCTTGATGGACTATCGGTACAAGAATATGTTCACTGTCAATGCATGCTTTACAATCTCAAAGCAATTTATTGACGGTTCCTTATTTCCATGTCAGAATGCCTACATTCCTTCATGTACAGTATGGCACCTCGGCATTCTCACCCACTTTCTTCTCGGCAGTCTGATCCCTCACACCCTCTTCTTCCCTCTCTCTTTACTGATCCATCATCCATCATCACACCCGCCCCGGCGCACTAATGTCCCTTCTCAACTCTGCAACCTCCACCATCCTCTTCCTCGGCGTCCCATTCCCTGCAGCTATACTCCTTGCCCTACCTCTCCTCTGTCGAATCTGCTCCAAGGCGTCCTCTCTGCTGATTCCTCCTGGCGTAGCTGGCGCAGGGGTGAAAGGTAGGTCATCTTTCAGAGGTATGGTGACTGTTTTGGTGTAGCTGATGGTTCGTGGTGGAGGGATGGGAAGCGGACGAGGCGTATGGGGGAAGGTGAAAGAGGGTGTTGGTTCGATGGGAGATGTGTGGAGGCTCGGGAGGTTGGTCGCTTGTGGTGTTGACTGGGGAGCTTGTATAGAGGGTTTGGGTGTCTCTTGGGTGGGAGGAGAGAAGGAGGGTTTGATCGGTGACGGCACTTTGTAGAACGTACCTGTAGTTGGGGAGAAGTTGAGAAGATCTTGGTCCGTATTTTCACGCTGTAAAGAGGGTTGTCGCGGTGGTGTGGATGGTGGTTGATCTTGTGCTGATGCTGGGATTGGTTGAACAATCTGTTCTGGAAGTGATTCTGTGACCGGTTGTGGTGCAGGCTTTTCATGTTCCCCTGCGATCTTAGATGCTATCTCCACCATTTGCGTAGCCAAAGTATCGTCGTGGACGTATTGGATTCCCTGTCTCTGAGCAATGCGGCAGGAGCAGCATTGGAATTGGCATTCCATTTTCATGAAGTTGATTTGGTCGTCTGCTCGAAGCCTCATCCGCTTCTCCATCCTCAGCTGGTCCTTCACTGATTCAAGCTGGTCCTGTGATCGAGCGGCTTCCGGATCCACATTCTCCTTCATGCTCTCGCTTCTTCGGCTTCGCTTTCTTGGTGAGGCAAAGTTCTCTCCATCTGTGGACAGCGGCAGAGCGATCGCTCCCTCAACTACTGGCCTAGCGACCTCCTCATCTATTAGGCTAGTCTTCAATGTGTCCCGCTCCTTCTCAATTATCTTGTCCTGCTGCTTCTGCTTCTCCATCTCTTCTTGCAGCTCAACAAGCTGGTGTTGGGCAGCAAAAGTCTCTTGCTCTCTTGTATTGACCTTCCGTCTCTGCACATCGACCTCTTCCCTCATCAAGGTGTATTTGTTTCTGGTAGACTTCAATTCTTCTTGCAGCTTCACCAGTGCGCTGGATGACTTGAAAGCTTCTTTTCTCGCCCTTCGAACTTCCTTTTCGTAGATTGTTTGTGCATGGGCCTGCGTCTCTTTGGATCCTTGTAGCTCCTCCTGTTGTCTCGATCAGCGGAATCTTTCCGTAATGGTCGACTACCCTACCATCACACCCTCCAGCCTCTCGCCGACCTTCCTTTCTCTCGCTCTCCCTTCTTCCACATCCTGTCTCAATAGCCTGTTCTCCTCTCTCAGCCTTCTTGTCTCACTTTCAGCTTCCTCGCGCCCTAAGACAGCCCGTTTAAGGGCAGCCTCACTATCCTTTCTTCTTTGTGCAGCCTCCTTGCTCAAATTGTTGAACTGTGCAACTTTGCCTTGAACATCTGAGTTGCCGCGCGAGTGTACGATAAAAGGATCATTCTGTATGTTGGAGATGGAAGGTAGCGATGGCGATTGCGGGAGTTGTAGTCTGTTTGCGCGCTCTGGCGAGACGGGAAAAAGAGGAGTACCAGGGGAGGCTGGGAACCTGAAGACTGGGTCCATGCGATTCGATTGGCAAGTTCGGATCCTTGTGTACTGTAGACTGAAATGCAAGTCGCGGGAGAAGGAGAGAAACAAATAAGGCGTGCCGGACCTAGCCCTAGCCCTAGTATAATCCTAGAGTGCGTTGCCCAGGGCAGCGCCCGCTTCACGCTAATGCACTGCGCCTAATTCGGCAATAATCTTTTTCATCTTGGGACGTGATACCTACATGTACTTAGACACGATCCCCGCCCCCACCACACGTTTAAACTGGGGGCATGTCTAAGGCACAGCTTCCAGGTACTGTCTCTGGGCTTGCGCAGTCGAGGGTGTTTCAGTGCCTGTGTATCTTGCAAGCTACCTCTACCTTCATAGTGCGTTATTCGTGAACAGGATCCTCCCTCCCTTCGGGCGCCTTAGGGGGTAGAATGTCTTCACCTATCGTACCCAGAAGATGAGAGTGGTGTACATGTATCAGGGTCCCTTCAGTTTGACATTTTCAATTTTATGTGAGATGGTGAGACGTTGAATGTATAGATTGAAATACCTGAAGCCCTAAAGATATTCCAAAAGTATAGAAATATGACCAGAGAAAATGAAAGCCCGAACCCACCCTCCAAATCAAGGACCAACTCCAGTGGCATGAGGCTTTCCATTGCAATCCCCTGATTCAACCCACGCGCGTCCGGTCAGACTGCAAGTATCATGCCTTCAGCCATTTTTCCCTTCGGTCAGTCCAATCTTTATCATCATCCCCCTCGTCTCTAGCTCTCTTTTCTTTATTCGCCTTCTGAAGCTTGAGCTTCCTGAACCTACCCTTTTTCTCTTTGTCTTTCGCATCTTCTATCTCCAATGACCTCGTTCTTCTTTGCGCTGCCAGAACTTTCAGATCGATCTCTCCCTCGCTTTCATCCTCCGATGTCATCGACGGTTGACCATTGATAGACGCGGATCGGCCATCTTGAGGTGGACTCGTGGTCGTCGTTTGCAGTTGCGAGTGCGTCCGCCGAGACCTGGGAGCGAGCGTGGTACGAGGTGATGTTCCTGGCGTATCTGCCATGCAGACGTCTTGATTACGGTACTTACCATCTACCGTTCCCTCAAACCCCTCAATTCCAAATCTAAACCTCCTCGATCGGTCCAAGTTCCACTCCGGTATCTTTAACTCAGGACCCTGGCGTCGAGATTTCTTGTGCGCCTGTACAATGTCCTGACCGAGACTCTGACCATCGTCGGGGTCGTCTCTGTTTCTTTTCGTCCCATGAGCCTGGTGTGGACTAGATACCGCTGACGGTTGATGCGTTTGCGGAAGACTGGGCTCGGATGGACTACAATCCGGCTGCTCATCCTCTTCGATCACGTCCACAAAATCAGCACGATAAGACCTTCCAGTCTTGGGATTGGGCTTGAGCTGATTCTGGTTTCTGTGCCTCCTCGAAAATTCTCTCAACTCAGCCTCCTTGCTGAGGTCAAATAGATGCCGGGTGAGATTCGCGCCCTCGTATCCTGCTCTATCCTCCCTATTTTTCCGAAGATTTATGCGGCCTCGTCCCCCGTAGTGCAATTTTGTGACGGCGAGCTGGTGGCCCAAAGTTCCCTTATATGGAAGACTCTGTGGATCGTAGTGAGAGCAGCCACTCGTTTGCTGGTCTGGACAGCGTGCAACCCACGGATTCCCACCAACTCCGCGTCTAGCATTCGCGCAACATTGACTTACGAAATCTTCAATTACCCTTATCTCTTCGTTAAGAGTAAAAACAAATCTGTTCCTTCTCCCTTTCTCTTTCCGTGTATCGCGACCTTTGGCGGAGACGTTCAACTTCGCGCATATCTCTGCGAAATTGCAGTAGCGCTCGATGCAGTATAGATGATAATAAGCCGCATTCAGAAATGGGTCGTGGTCGGGATACTGTACGGAAAGCTCGTCTACTACGATGAGTAGCTGACCTTGATTGATTGTACGCATCGGGCAACCTTGGAAGCGACACTTCAATCCGCTTGGGAACCTCTTGGCAGATGAGGCTGGAGTTTTATGAACCCTAAGCCTCAGGGGGCTCTCCTTCAGATTGCGCTGACCTTGATGTAGGACGTGAGTGAATAAGTAGCGATTGATCTCCTCTGCGGAGTAAAGCTTGGACGGGTCCAACTCACCGTCTTTCGTATACTCGAAGATGCTCCACGTTTCTGGCGCTTGGTTTAAAGGCGTGTATAGGCTATTCTCATTGTATTTTTTGTTTCGTTGGACCGGAGATCTATCAGACTGCTCTTGGGTTGCACCTTCCTGATAGCCTTTAAGGGGTCTGCGCGGGTTCGTCAGTACTGCTCGACTCTCGTTTTCAGGGTCCGGCTCACTGCTTCCTGTTAATGCCACGCGGCTTGCGCTAGAAGCTCCGTCCCAAGCAAGTCGTCTTGCCCTGTAATCCTGAATTGCACTGTTACCTGTTGAATGAGGTAGTTGTTGGGTATTGTACCCTACATCAGGAATCATAGCCGGTTGTATTCCCCTACCGATTAGCTGCAGACTCTGAAGAAAGTCCAAGCCCGGTGGACTATCTGGAAGCTCGAAATTACCTGGCGAAGAGATATGCGAAGAACGGTCCTCCGACTGTGTGGCTGATGTGGCTGATCCAGCCAACATTTCATCCAAATTTTGCTCTGCGGCAGCGTCGTCATCGAAGTTGAATGGAAAGCCTGGCAGAGAATGGCTCTCGGGCTGTACAGCCGGTGCACCGAACACGGGTTCAAAAGATTTCTCCTCAGGATTCTCGTCATCGAAGTCGTTCAGCTCCTGAGAGGCTTTCGCAGCATTGTCATTTACCGCGAAAGGAAAGTAACTGTCCCAGTCGATATGGTCAGGATCATCGTCAAATTTGGGGTGGTCGACTAGATGATCAAGGTCAAGTCCAAATTCTAACGCGATAGCGGGGTTTAACTCGTCTTGCAAGCTGGCCTGAAACGGCATTTCTTTCGTACAATTTGTCCCGCTCTCCTGATGAACATCGACATCTGATGTTGTGGAGACTACGTTCTGAGTACGCGCTGGATCCAGATCAGAGGTATGGCCTGCCATGGTCGTACTGATTGCTGATATGGTGCTCTCTGCCATCTCGGATCTAATCATCGACCGAGGTTGGGGTTCTTCGTGGTGATGCCCTTTAGATGATGCAAGCGTTGCAGTCGTCAGATTGGTAGGTTGATAATGGCTTCGTCTGCAACATTGGCTTATTGTGTAGGAAGACCAGGAAGGTATACAGGCTGGAGAAACCAGAGGAGCCGGGGAGGTTACAGGACATCAGCAAATGCTCTTTTTGTGTCCACAATCGACAAAGAAAGTCGATAATTGCATTGTACTTTGGAACAAAAGATACGAACAGGGGCTTCCGGCACGCGGTTGTGTGCTGAGATCAAAGCAGAGCTAGACAAAGATATGAAAGTAGAGCAACAAGGAACTATTCAATGGTTTCATTTCTACCAAGGGAGATGTCTCACTGCCATCATCGCTGCTAAAGATGTCCGTCCCAAAGCACTCACGTTATCTTTTCTAATGGTCTCGAGATCGTTGAACGTAGCTTGACATATTAAAATAAAGGGTCAAAAGACATGTATAGGGGGAACCTCGAAGGCTTCAAGTCTCAATACGGCGAGGTTGTTGGCAGGCGATGTGTCAACAGAAGTGACAGTCGAAGTGGTATGAACCCTTATAACATCGACAAATCCACACCGACGAGGAGGATTGTTTGCTGTTGAACGCTCATACCGGAGTAAGTTTCATCTGCGAATGACACCCTCTTTAGAGATGAAGCCTAAAATCGGCGTAGGAATATAAAAACACAAAATTCCAACGCCTCAAGGTGGAAGTTTTTCTGACGAGTTGCCTGCCAAATAGACCAGCGTTAAGACCGCCAATTCAAAATAGATGTTAGATGTCAGAACTTTGAGACAGGCAGTCCAGAAAGGGTCTATTTCTCAACATCTCAGTCGCTCTCCTGTTGATGCTTCAGGGGATGTGACCTGCGTTTAGAGGCGTCGCGGAGCCGCCATCGGAATTTGGAGTCCATGATACTTGGAGGCAGCCAGTCTCATCCCATGTTGGCTGAGTGTTTGCCTATAAAGAATCTGGGATCAGCATTTCTTCTCCAAAACAAAAATTCGAGCAACGGACGGCTCGAGGGGCAATGAAAGCTTCTTTTGCCCCCGGGACAAGTCTCGCTCGTAGAAATCGTCCGGAATAATGAGGAGTCGCTCCAAACGTACCGCGCTTTCGAAGAGATTTTCCAAAGACAAAGAACAAATAAGGTATCGGAATCAGGAGTACCCCAAAGAAGGCGATGACACTTGAGACCCATGGAATGCCGAGATGGTGATACATGGGATTGACGAACAGTGGGAACGATGCCGCGAAGACCGATCGAAGGAAGGTGTTTGCCGCCACAGCACTCGCGGCATATTTCTGGAAAGTGTCTATCAAATAGTTCAGAGCGCTCTGAAAAATAGTGAAGAAGCCGAACCCCATCATGGCGGCAGCAATACATGGGGCTACCCAAGTGGTATATCGACTAGATGTCCATCCGAAAAAGAAGAGACCTGTGGAGATTTACGAGTCAGCATTTCTTCAAAGCAAACTCATAAGGATACAGACGACTCCGAGGTGCTTCAAGAGTCTTCTGCTACCGAAACAGGTGCAACCCGAAACACGATCCGAAATAGGAAGAACAGGCTCCGAAACGTACATACCACCCGCAAAGAAGATGGATCGGAACATCATCGGAGGTAGGCGAGCTTCGGGGACAGCTTTGTTGCCGGCCGCGATAAAGCGGCGATTGTAGTAGCTCTGATTCAGCACATTCGCAGCCCCCCCCCCCAGGAGGATACCAACGAAAAGGGCAAGGAAAGGCAGCGCGCCCACGAGCAGTTTCTAGCCGCGTTCCTCCTCGAACTCAGTGGGGAATGCTGCAAGATTGGTATACAGAATACCGTAAACGAAGGAAGCGTACAATGCCACAGAGAAGCAAATCGGTGTCAACAGCACTTGGAAGGGTCGTACACCTGCGCATATTTCGGAGTCAGCATTGCTTTCCAAGGCAAAACCCAGACTCGCAAGATAGGGCTCGGGAGTAGCAAAAGCCTTCTGCTCCGGGAATTTGTTTTGCAACTCCGAATTCGGCATTGAAAAGGAAGAAATTTCTCCGAAATGTACGAACCAAATTTTAGGGCCATCTCTTTCAAGGAGACACTGGACCAATTTCGCAGTCAGTGTTGCCTTTTTGAGCGGGTATATCGAGCCTTGGAACATGTATGGAGGACACAGACTCCCAAGACATGTCCCAAGACTCAAACCAAAAGAGAAGAGATGGACTCCGAAAATATGTACACCATTCTTCGAATTCTGCATGCAATGCCCAATTCCCAGTTTTTATTCGTAGTCTTCTTGCTTTGTAGACCAGAAGCCTTGATGGGTAGCTCTCGTCGAGTGTAAGACCATCCAGGGTGAGAATAGCCAGCATGAAGATACCAGTGAGGGACTCTGTCCAGCGCCAACGAAGATAGCTCTGGAAACAGCGCCACCAACGATAGGTCCTACAATTGGGCCTCCCACCACCGCGAATGCATACCCGACTATAGCTGTTCCACGCTGCGTTGGATCCCAGATGTCCCCTAGCACGCCACCTGTGTTTGTTACGGGCGCCGATCCGAAAAGGCCTGCAAAGAATCGAGTGATGATGATGGTCTGAATGTCCTTGGCCGTGGCTCTTCCGAATGAGAAGACCGCTGCAAAGAAGTACGGAATCAAGACTGCCGGCTTGCGGCCAAACATTTCGCTCAATGGGGCTCAAAGTAAAGGTCCAATAGCAAAACCACAGAGTAGTACACTCAATCCGAGTAGAGACACTTCGGTCCCAACATGGAACTGTTCCGAAATTTGATCGATTGCAGGAGAGTATACGCTGCTCGCCCATGTGCTACCCATCTTAGAGTTTTCTACGTCAGTCTCTATCATCGGGGAAAGCAAAACGAGTCGTCAAACGCTTTGGTAGTCAGTCTACTTCGCGGCTTGCCTTACGCCTCAGAGATTGTACCAATAATAGAGAGGGGAAGTAGGGAGAAGAAACTTGCCGTGGTGAAGGCATATAATACTGTCGTGATCACCTTCTTCCTAAAAGGCCAGTTGATCGGTCTGTATGGGTCGTCTGGGCCATCGAAGTCAACGAGGACATCTGCGGATGTTTTGACGTGCGACAGAGCATGATCAAAGAATGCACGTCTCTGTGCCAGGCTTGAATGCGAGATATTCGACCGCTGCTGGTCGCTCTAAATGCCCCGGTGCTATTGCCCCTTTGGGTATCTTCAGCAGTCTCTGCTCTTTCCAGATTGAAAGGTCTATATGGACGTGAGCTGAAACTGGCCTCGCCAGCATCATGGAGGCTGGATTGGCGGGTAGTCTGGCGCTGGAAGAGACTGGGAAGGGTATGTGCTGGGTAGTCCAAAGGGGCCGACATGGCCAATGCCGCAATTGACGCCGGAGGATTTCGATCCAGCTGTAGCAAAGTTGTACGTATTTGAAGTGGACAGGAGAAAAGCTGGGAGAGCAAATGGAGTGGCCATGATACCAACACCACCAACAAGTCAATAACAAAAAGTGGTAAATGAAATGACGGAGGTGTTGGACCCGAAGGAAAATAAAAAGTTCGGCAGTTCTGATAAGATACTTCGTGTTAATATCTGTTTTCTACAAATCCGTTCCCTCACCTTTCTTTTGCAATGAATTTTTCACCCAGCAGACCTACTGTTGTACCACAAAGACGGGCAGGTTTGCTTGCTTGTTTGGATCTGCTTTGATCTTGATTTTGGGATGTTTATGACACTGACCGGCTCAGATTGAGACTGGGTCACTGGTCACTGACGGAATCCTGAAATCTTGAGAAGCAATCGTGGCCCCACCGTTCGTTATGAGTAGTAGTGTCAAATATCGTCGCATGCAAAATTCGTAAAATTCGTATTTATATGGATTTTATTCTTCAAAAAGCTGGAGTAACAAGCGACTATGTTTGGTAGGAGAATGCTGAACGCTAGGTGTTTTATAATATAATTGTGATGGTGAAATAAGACTGTACGATATTCAGATTTGTATGTAAATCTGATGCGTCTTCGAGTGAGATAGGGACCACTACAGAGTATGAGCGTAGCGAATACCGATTAGGGTGCGGATATAAAGACCCAAATTCCGCGGTTGCCAAGAATACTCAAAGCTTGATTCGTCTCTCTTCAAAGTACAAGTAAGCGCAGGCACGCTTCATTTGAGAGGAGAGCTCTAGAGTACGTTCAAGGCCATTTCGCTCGTTCTTTGCCTTGATTGATGCGCTACACATTAAAGCCAATGCCGTTCGACTGCTCGATGCTTTGCGAGACGAACAAACCCAGCTTGAGGCCTCACTGTCTTTCCGGAACTTTCTAGCTGGCCAGGCGCAAACACAATGGCAGAGGAGAATCCAGAGTTGCAGGGGAAATTGAGGGAGCTAGATGTCGAGCTTGAAGAGGGGGAAATCACACAGAAGGGGTACCAGAAGAGGCGAACTCTCATCCTTTCCCAGTACCTCGCGCCACCTGGTGAATCCGCCCGAGGCCTGCGCTTGCACTCCCCGGACGATACTGCTCATCCCGCCAATGATGGATCGCGTGCTGCCTCTTTCGCTGCGCTTACCCAGCGCTCACTTTCACCTCTGCCTGCTGTGGCCCAGCCGAGCGCAAGGATGGGTGGTTCGGAGGCGGCAATGGATGGCCAAAACAGCTACCCAGGAGGACAACTGGGAGTCAGAAATCCGAGCCCAGGGCCATCATCGAGTGGACAAGGCTCATACAGTTCACGACCAAGCCAGGAACAAGGCCGAAGTGACGGCCAATACGTATTCAATCCTGCAAACGACGACGCTTACGGTGGGCAACAAGGGGGGGACTACGGGAGTGGCAGTCAAACCAGGCAGTCAACCATGCTAGATCAAGCCTACTTTTCAGACTTCGCAGGCGATCAGCATGAAGCTCAGCGCGATAGCTATGGAGGTGGACCACAACGATACTCCACTGCCGATACATTCTCCCCAACAGCGAACATTGCACCTCCAATGTTGAGTAACAGTGATCTACCCCTGCTTGGTACTTTGAACCACCAACTACCCTTGGAGCCGAGAGAAGTTCCGTTCGCTGTTTATGACCCCCATAACAGCAACATACCAATGTCAAAGTTCGACAATATAGCCACCGTCTTACGCCATAGAGCTCGCACAAACCCTAAACAGCCTGCATACTGGGTGCTGGACCAAAAAGGCAAAGAATTCTCGTCTATTACTTGGGAGAAATTGGCGAGCAGGGCGGAAAAGGTCGCACAAGTTATTCGAGACAAGAGTAACTTATACAGAGGAGACCGCGTTGCTCTGATATATCGCGATTCCGAAATTATAGACTTCGCTGTCGCCTTCATGGGCTGTTTTATTGCTGGCGTTGTGGCTGTTCCAATTAATGATTTCGACGTCTCGACTACCAACCTCTCAGATTATCATAGACTGAATGTGATTCTCACGACGACGCAAGCGCACCTAGCGCTCACCACTGATGTGAATCTGAAAACTTTCCAACGAGATATAACAGCTAATAAGCTGAATTGGCCTAGAGGAGTAGAGTGGTGGAAAACGAATGAATTTGGAAGCTTCCACCCAAAGAAAAAGGACGAAATACCACCTCTGATCGTTCCCGATCTCGCATACATCGAATTCTCTAGAGCTCCTACAGGCGACCTTCGAGGTGTTGTAATGAGCCATAGGACCATCATGCACCAGATGGCTTGCCTCAGCTCCATGCTTCAGACCATACCTACCAACGGCAACGATACCTTCAATCCAAATCTTCGCGACAAGGCAGGACGGCCCATGACGGGATCAAACGTGGGGGAGATCTTGTTGAGCTACCTCGATCCTCGACAAAGCATCGGTCTAATATTGGGTCTGCTCTTCACCATTTATGGCGGCCACACTACCGTTTGGATGGAGGCTCGGGCGGTTGAGACCCCTGGTCTTTACGCGAATTTAATCACCAAGTACAAAGCAACGTTGATGATTGCGGACTATCCAGGTCTGAAACGTGCAGCATACAATTATCAGGCAGACCCCATGACGACACGCAATTATATGAAAAAATTTGAGCCCAACTTCTCGAGTGTTAAATTATGTTTGATTGACACCCTGACAGTCGACAGCGAGTTTCATGAAATTTTAGCAGACAGGTGGCTTCGACCTTTGAGGAATACAAGAGCGCGTGAACTTGTGGCTCCCATGCTCTGTCTTCCAGAACACGGTGGTATGGTAATAAGCGTACGTGATTGGCTCGGTGGCGAAGAGCGGATGGGTTGTTCACTGGGAACGCATTCTTCTGACGATGATGAGAGTCATGACGAGAAAAAAGATGCCAAGGTGGTTGTACCAGGGAACGCATACGGTAGTCTGATTGGTGGAGGTCCGAAGAAGCCGGCGGGCCCGAAAGCACGAACAGAGCTGAGTGAAGTCCTATTGGACAAAGAGTCGTTAAAGACAAATGAGGTGGTGGTGGTGGCCATGGGTGATGAAGCCAGACGACGAGCAGGCAACGAGCCGGGTACGGTCCGAGTTGGAGCTTTTGGATACCCGATACCGGACGCGACTTTGGCAGTTGTAGACCCTGAAACGAGCCTACTTTGTACTCCCTATGTCATCGGAGAGATCTGGGTTGACTCTCCCTCCCTGTCAGGTGGTTTCTGGGCATTGCCTAAGCACACTGAAACAATCTTCCATGCCAGACCATACAAGTTCCAGGAAGGCAATCCTACTCCAATGGCTGTTGAGCCAGAATTTCTTAGAACTGGGTTGCTCGGATGCGTCATTGATGGCAAGATTTTCATCTTGGGACTCTACGAAGATCGCCTACGGCAAAAGGTTGAATGGGTGGAGCACGGTATGGAGGTAGCAGAGTACCGCTATTTCTTCGTTCAACACCTCATCATCAGCATCATGAAGAATGTACCCAAGATCTACGATTGTACCGCCTTTGATGTGTATTCGAATGATGAACATCTACCAATTGTCTTGCTTGAATCGCATGCTGCTTCTACGGCGCCTACGACTTCTGGAGGACCGCCTCGACAGCTCGACACTGCACTTCTAGACTCTTTGTCCGAGCGATGCATGGAAATTCTGTACCAAGAGCATCATGTGCGAGTCTACTGTGTTATGATCACAGCTCCAAACACTTTGCCAAGAGTTGTGAAGAATGGTCGGCGAGAAATTGGCAATATGCTGTGCCGGAAAGAATTCGACTTAGGTTCCTTGCCCTGCGTACACGTCAAGTTTGGTGTCGAGCGAGCTGTGTTGAACTTGCCTGTGGGCGTTGACCCTGTTGGCGGTATCTGGTCGCAAGTCTCGACTACAGCCAGGCAAGAAATTCTACAGCATCAGGACAAGCAATACTCTGGCGTTGACTACCGAGAGGTAGTTATTGACGACAGGACCTCGACGCCGTTGAACAACTTCTCAAGTATTGTTGATCTGCTACAATGGCGCGTAGCAAGGCAAGCGGAGGAACTGTCTTATTGCACTATCGACGGCCGCGGCAAGGAGGGAAAAGGCGTGAACTGGAAGAAGTTCGACCAAAAAGTTGCGGCGGTGGCTCTGTACCTCCAGAACAAGGCCAAAGTCAGGCCAGGAGATCACCTCATTTTGATGTATACACACTCAGAAGAATTCGTCTACGCAGTCCATGCTTGCTTCTGTCTTGGAGCTGTGGCCATCCCAATCGCGCCGCTCGATCAGAACCGCATGAACGAAGATGCACCTGCTTTCCTCCATATTATTGCTGACTTCCGCGTCAAGGCTGTCATCGTGAATGCAGAAGTCGATCACTTATTAAAACAAAAGATAGTCTCTCAGCATATCAAGCAGTCTGCACAAGTCCTGAAAGTTGGCGTACCTCCATACTACAACACTGCAAAGCCACCGAAGCAGTCAAGCGGATGTCGAGATCTAGGCTTCACGATGAAGCCTGCTTGGATACAATCCAAATATCCTGTTTTAATTTGGACATACTGGACGCCTGATCAACGACGCATAGCGGTACAGCTTGGTCATGATACGATCATGGGTACCTGTAAAGTACAAAAAGAGACCTGCCAGATGACTAGCTCGAGGCCAGTCCTTGGATGCGTGAGAAGTACGATGGGATTGGGATTTGTTCATACCTGCTTGATGGGCGTCTTTGTTGGTACGTTGCTGCTCTGTCCAGCTCTTGGCCTGGTGCTAACATCTCTACAGGAGCACCTACTTACCTTGTCTCGCCTGTCGATTTTGCTTCTAATCCCATGTCTCTGTTCCTCACTCTATCAAGGTACAAGATCAAGGATACCTACGCTACTGGGCAAATGCTAGACCACGCGATGAACACCATGCCTGGTAAAGGCTTTGCACTTCATGAGCTAAAGAACATGATGATCTCAACCGAAGGCAGGCCAAGGGTTGATGTCTGTAAGTGATTATTAGCTCCCACGTTGGTCTAGACCGCATGCTGATCAGACGCAGTCCAGAAAGTCCGCCTACATTTTGCAGGGACTGGCCTTGATAGGACAGCCATCAACACCATCTACTCACATGTCCTCAACCCTATGGTCGCCTCACGCTCGTACATGTGCATCGAGCCAATAGAGTTGTGGCTCGACACACGAGCTCTCCGCCGAGGACTCGTCTACCCTGTCGATCCTGACACTGATCCTTCTGCTCTCCTGATTCAAGATTCTGGGATGGTACCCGTCAGCACTCAAATCGCGATCGTTAACCCTGAAACTTGCAGACTTTGCCATATTGGCGAATACGGGGAAATTTGGGTGCAGTCTGAAGCCTGCGTAAAGTCTTTCTATGGATCTAAAGATGCTTTTGACGCTGAAAGATTCAATGGCCGAACGGTCGACGGAGATCCTCATGTTACGTACGTAAGGACAGGCGATCTAGGTTTCCTACACAACGTCGTCCGGCCTATTGGTCCCGGAGGTCAACAGGTGGAGATGCAGGTGTTGTTTGTCCTCGGCGGCATTGGTGAGACATTCGAGGTCAATGGATTGAGCCATTTCCCGATGGACATCGAGCACTCGATTGAGAAGTGTCACCGAAACATAGTGACCAATGGCTGGTAAGTTTTCATTCAGAGCTCGTCCCCGCTTCTGCGGGAAGTGCTAACAGTTGCTTCCTAGCGCGGTTTTCCAAGCAGGCGGCCTTGTCGTTGTCCTCGTCGAAGTCGTTCGAAAAGCCTATCTTGCCTCCATCGTCCCCGTTATCGTAAACGCTGTACTAAATGAGCATCAAGTTGTTGTTGACATTGTTGCGTTCGTCACGAAAGGCGACTTCCCACGCTCGCGCCTCGGCGAGAAGCAACGCGGCAAGATCCTTGCCAGCTGGGTCACCAGGAAATTGAGAACCATAGCACAATTCGGTATTCGAGATACGGATGGTGCTGATAGCCAGATCACTGAGGTCGCAGAGCCAAGGAGTATGCTGGGAAGTGTCGTCGGTGTGGGTAGCTCATTAAAGAATGTTGAGACTGTCAATGCACCGCCGACGAATCAGGCGCAACAGCAAGCGCAGGACTATGCTATCTTACCCACAGGCATCTCCGAGATGCCAGCAACTTACGAAAGCTCGATAGTCGAGTCCCCACCCCTTCCACCAGCTGAAGAAGACAGGGACGATACGCCCACTGAATCCCGCAACAACAATAATTTCTCATCCAGAATCGACAATAGCGACAATGGGGAGGAATCATCCTCCCAAGCATACAATCCACGAAATGATTCCCTTCCATCCCACAACGACACCGGCCTACCATCTCCAGAGCACTACCCTAACTACGCAGGCTACACCGCCAATCACGATCCTGACCCTGTGCTCGGTAATCCCGACAAGCCCTCTTTCGATTTCGTCTCCGAGGCCCCACCACCTCCCGCCCGCTACGATTCCAAACCAACCCTTACCTCCCAACACGCCCGCGAGGCCGAAGGCGACCTATGGTCTCTCCCATCACAGCAACGGCACCCACAGTCTCAATCTCAAAGCGCTTCCCAACGCGATGCGAGAACAAGACCGGGTGGACCGAGCCATACACCCTCCGCCAGCTCATCGGACCACTATGATATCGCCGGTGATGATGATTGGCGGCAGGACGCGATCATGCATATGAACCTGGCGCGAGATGGGAGCAAGAGAGATGCGCATGTTGGGGATAGGAGTGGTGGGCTTTATGGGGCTTATGATGGGAGTGGATATGGGCATGCTATGTGAGGGGCAGATTTTTGAACGGGGATTCTATGAATTATGCCCTTTTCTGGCCCTGTAACTGAGGAGATATGACACGAGGTAGTAGCTGCATGCGGTATGGCGTCGATGCTCTGGATGGCACTTTATCGTGGGAGGCCACTTGACGACGCATCAATCAGTGAGAGACGGCTGACGTCGAGAAAGCAGGGATTGTATAGTCATGATGGAGGCATTACGACTTCACGGCGGCATTCCATTATGTTTCGGATATCTAATGATTCATCATCCTCATCCATATCTACAAATGACTATCTCCCTCCACCACCACCACCTTTGACCTTTTTCGCCTTCCCACCTCTGTCTTTTCCACCCTTCCCTTTCCTCCCCTCCTTCCCTTTACTTCTACCCGCAACACCACCCCTCTCATTCCCTTTTCCCTTCTTCCACACCCTCCCTTCTTTCCTCTCCCTCCTATCATCCAACATCTTCTTGTCCTTCCCACTCAGCTTCCCGACCTTCTTTTTGCCCTGCTCCACAGCCCCATTCAACTCAGCCTGGCCACTCTTCTTCGCGATCTGCTTCTCCTTTTCACTTTCGAACCATGTCCGCTTGGGTCTTGATTTGATCTCCGGTTCATGCTCCATGATATTCTCTCCTTTGCGGAGATGCATTTCGGCGCCAGCGAGGGCTTTTTCTTCTTTCTCTTCTTTGAGTATCGCTTCTACTTCGCCTTCTAGATCCTCGGCTTTCTTCGCCCATTCATCTGCCAACCTAGCTTCGACAACTCGACTAAAGATCTTCGCACCTTGTGCCTTTCCGCTCTTGACAGCCTGCTTGACGACCTTACGGTCCGGCTCCGCAGCAATGGTGCAAGACCTACCAGCTCGGCCGGCACGCGCTGTTCGACCGACTCGATGTAGGTATATTTCGTGGGATTGGGGCGCTTCGTAATTGATCACGGTGGAGATGTTGGATATATCGAGACCTCGGGAGGCGAGATCGGTGGCGAGGAGGTGGGTGCACTGGGATGAACGGAAGGAGGCGAGGGCAGAAATACGCTGATACGGTTGTCAGCCGGGACTTGATATGTATGGATGAAGAAGTAGGCTTACCTGTTCTTGTGACATACTACCGTGGAGTTCAGCAGCCTTGATGCCACAAAGACCGAAAATGATGCGGACTCTGTGGGCTTCCTTTTTCTGCCGAAAGAATATTATGGCTCGGTCTGTGTAGATGTTTTGACATAGATACATCAGGTAGCCCAGTCTTTTACCTTCTCTGCCTGGACGTAGGCGAACAAATTCCTGTACGAGGGTTCCCACAGTCTGCTTTCTTGCATCTACCATCAGTCGTACTGGTCTGTTCAAACCCACCCGGATGAGCTTGTCGACAGTGTCTGTCATGGTAGCCGAGAAAAGCATGGTCTGCCTCGACTTGGGTATCGTGGTCAATATCTCATTCAGCTCGTCCGCGAACCCATCTTCTAGCATTCGATCTGCTTCATCCAACACCAGAATTTCGAGCGTATCCACAGTAAAGCTGGCCGAATTTCGCATATGGTCAATGAAGCGTCCAGGCGTAGCAATAATAACATCCGGCCTACTTCTTAGCACATTCTCCTGTTCCCGCAAACTGAAGCCTCCAACAAGCTGGCAAAAAGCGACATCCGTGAAGCTGGCAAGTTTCTTCGCTACATTGAAGCACTGCACCGCAAGTTCTCTCGTGGGCATTAGGATTGCGACTCGGCTTGTGGGTACTTTCTTCGGCCGGTACAAGAGTCTTTCTAGGATGGGTATAATGAAAGCTGCTGTTTTACCAGAACCTGTCACCGCGCCACCTACAACATCTTTCCCTTCGAGGGCAATTGGGATCGTTTTTGTCTGGATTGGTGTGGGTTCTGAGAAGCCAACTGCTGCTAGGCCCCGCAGGATTGGCCTTGAAAGGGACATGCTTTGAAACGAGCCCGAAGCAAAGCCTTTGGCCTTGGCTTTGCTGGTTTTCTCTTCAGGTGCGAAAAAAGCTTCTCGTCGGGCTTGCTCCTCCAGGTCATAGATCTCTTCAAGGGAAGATGCCTGTTCAATGTCGTTTGGATGGGGTACGGGCTCGGCAACGGACTCATCATCAAAACTGGCCACTGAATCCTGATCTTCATCTCCGTCGTCCTCGCAATCGTCCTCTTCGCTAGCTAGCGCTCCCATGCCAAAAGCATCATCTGCCAAAGTCTCATCGTCTTCCTCGTCCTGCACGTCGAACCCATCTTCAAAATCTACTTCATGCTCGTGTTCGGGTTCAACATCTCCCTCCTCATCACTCATGGAGACATCTAATCTAGTCTGCTCATTCGCAACTTCTTTCCTCCTTCTTGCAATAAGCTCATCAATATCCACTCCTTTCTCATCCCCACGCACTGCAGGCGCCGTAATACTGCCATTCATGTCCCACCCATCAAAGCTTTCTGTGACCCCTGTATTCACATCCCCAATCTGAAATTCGAAGTCTGAATTCATCGCCCCGTCGTCCTCGCCGTGCGCAGTCCATGTCTCGTCGTCTTCGACTGGCTCTGCGGTACCAACCTGTATGGGTACGGTGTCTTCTTTCCGTCTCTTATTCTTCGCTCCTTTGTCTTCTCCCAGCGCAGTATCATTGGCGTGACTCTGGCCTTCGTCAAGGTCGCGCTTGCGTTTATTGCCATTCAGGGCGGATTGGGAAGGGGCCTGATGGATAAGATCGTCGTCTTCTTCCTCTCCTAGCGGGTAGAACTGATCATCATCAATTGTTTGAACGAAATCATCGTCACCGTTTGACTTCATCATGCAAGGAGAATCGTCCCATATATTCTACGAGTTCTTGGAGCTTGAATGCGGACTTTTTGAACATCACCTGGGCCGAGGTTCAGCCGGCAGCCCTACATATCTTTCGTGGCACCAGGTGGCAGTGGAGAATGGCAAAGGTAAGATACCTTAGCTTAGGGGTTCCGTATTCAAACACTCTGTTGTAACTCTCATACATTACACTTTGATCTCTAAGTTCTTTTGGCTTTACCTATTGCTTTGTGTGTGTAAGTAGAACCGGTTTCCAAGATGGCCACTTCCTCTGGCATTGGCAAGACAGAAAAACCGACGGCTTGCCTTATTGCTCAAGTCAAGTGCGAAAGCTTCCTGTAGCTCTTTCCAAAGTCTCGGAGGTGGTTAAGGTCTCTTATTTGATGCATCAATCTGGCCTTTTGGATTAGAGAGGATTGGAGGGAAGAGAGAGGATATTTTTTCGTCTATCTGATGCTAGCATACAAGAAAAAGGAAATTGAATGACCTGTAAAGACCGCTGTCTAAGGAAAGTGTGGCAAGCTGAAGACCTCAGGTGAGCCATAGACAGCGTCGTCACGGAAGACGGGTTAGCCGTAGATGACTTTGGCTAGATCCTAGAGCTTTTGTGAGATCCGTTGTCACGGACATGCTGCCAGAAATTTTTACACCAACCAAACCACTGTGAGGGTGGTTGAGCTAAGAAAGCTTTCGCCCAGGAAATCAATCCTTCATTCTATCAAAAATTGCTCCAAGGTAGAACACCAGATTCCGAGAATCCTCGTCTAGAATCGTCCGTCATCTTTTCCCTTTCTCAAAGTCGTACGCTAGTGTTCAGCACGAGCTGGCACATGTTCACCCTGATCAGAGGTCAGCGAGATTTCCTTCTTTCAAGAAACATCTGGGCATGACTTACAGCTTGCCCGTCTTGAAGCCAATATGAGGCGATGTGCCTACATGCTGGAACTCGTACTTAGCCAACCACTGCTTGCGCCAAGTAACAGGATCCTCTTTGCCATCGAAATAGAGTATGTTGACCATAATTGCCTTAGCTTGACGACTGCCGCCAGACATCCAATAAGAGATGTCGTTGCGAGGCAAGAAAGGAGCACAGTCGAGGAGATTGTGATCTAGACTCAAAGCTGCAAGTATACGATCCATTAACGTCCGTCCAATGCCTTGGCGATAGAAGTCTGCATGGACCATGAGCTCAAGTTCGACACTGCTGTGGTACATCGTGTCTTTGGTCCCGAAGTCGGCAGCGACACTGAAGCCGACGACATTTTCTTGCTTCTTCCGAATTATATCTGCCTGATGGCGACAAGATATCTCTCCCATGTGGATAGCAACAACAAAAGGATTCCTCTCATTTTCAGCCTCTTGTAGACGACCGCGCCAGTACAACTCCTCGACAGGGTCCAGATGAGGCACAAAGCTTGTCTCACGCACGTTGTGGTTGTAAATGTTCATAACTTGGCCCATGTCCTTGAATTCAGCCGGGCGAAGGTATATGTTGGCGACAGGAGCATGTGGATTAGGTGGGATCACTCTTGTTCTCTCTTCCTCTATGAGTAAACGTCGGAGGGCTCGCTTTTCTTCCCTTGTCATGCCCCTTATGCCAGAAGGCATAGTCTGTGGTCTGGCCGCGATCTTGGCCTCGTAGTTTTTCATAGCCTCTGCGGCGTTTTGGTGGCGACGTGCTTGGGTGAAGTCATCATTGGGGCTATGAGTTTCATGGTCCATTTTGTCAATGGGGCTTAGCACGTTCACATCGCCTCCAGCCAAGCCCTCCCCGGTTTGGAAATCAGCGCTTGCCGTGTTGACGACCACACGACTGTTCTCCTCCGGATCTGCAGCGTGTTCCTCTCTCCATGCTTCAATGACCGAGAGGCGCTCATGGCTCTGAGTATTGAAGGGCCGACGGCGATCCCACTCGTCACCTACAGGTGGCTGGCTCATCTTGCCATCCCAACCAATTAATTCTGAAGTGTAATCGACCGACTCGAATTCTCTTGCTTGCTTCTTGCCTTTCTTGACTGAATACTCCACACGATTCGGAGCAGCACTAATTTTCGATGGAGACGCCAAGTTGACATTCTTCCGCATACTGTTTACTTCCTGAAGGGCGCCAGCATAAGGTCCCATTGTGGGGCCTTTTGACTTCGTGTTCGTGCTGTAATTACCATCCCCATGTTGATCGGCTTGTGGTTTCGCGCCCTTATCGGTGGCTTTGGAATTCGACTCGGCTGCAGATGCCTTCAATCTCAAAGATGAAGCCCTAGCGTGGGGCGGGACGTAGATAACTTGCTCGGTGGTCTTTTGAGCATTGCTATCGGTGGGCTGAGCTACAGGAGATGTGGCAGATGTTTCTGCATGTAGACCTGCAACAATCTCTTCATCTATATCGAGGACCATTTGAGTTGCAGCGATCTCCTCGTCCATGTCGATCGTTGGTCGGTAGCTGTCATCTTTCTTTTGAGACGGTGATGGAGTTGTGACTGAAAGGGTACATTTCGTCGCTCGGGTCTTGGCCGCAGATAGACCCTGAAGGTGAGGCGGAACTCTGTTATCCTGCATTGCAGAGATCGCATGCTTTCCAGGCTTGAGCTCTTCGTCATGAGCGGTTGCTTTTGTGGCAGTAGTGGTAGTAGGACTAGCCGAACCTCTTAGGTGAGGTGGGAGAGGCTTATTCTTGTTGTCCGACCCAGGAAGAGCATATTGCACTCTGAGGTGCGGAAGGGCTGCAACGCTCTGTTTCCCTGGCGGGATGGGAACTTCATTAATCTTTGCTTGAGAAGAAACGGCAGATGAGGCAATGCTATTCTCTTTCACATGAAGTAGTTTTGCCTCTGATGTGTCTTGAGAAGGACAAGAAGCTTTCAATTTGTCGCTCTCCCGCTGAACTCCGGATGAGACCTGCATGGTTCTCGCAAGCACCTCTTCCTGAGCTGCTTTCGCCTTTGGGACTTGTTCAGCATCGAGTCGCCCATCGTGTCGTAGCTGCTGGATTTGGTGGTGCGACGAGTCGGTAGCATAGCCTTCTTCCTGAGAAGCAACACGGGCTGTAGCTTGAACTTCATCTTTCTCTGAGATTACCAGGCGTGGTGACCCTGCCATCTCATGAGACTTTTGCGTCTTTGGCATGGATCCGGTTGCTTGTGGGTTGAGCTTAGCCTGTTGTCGATTGAAAGAACTAGATACAGTTTCGAGCCCTGCCGTGTGCTCTGACTTTGGCATCCGATAGGTCGGCAAAATTGTCTTGGCTGGTCTATCGATGTTTGCTGCAGCACTGTTCCACTCGGTGAGCGGAGCCTCAGGTGGACTTGCAATCGACCAGCATGAGGGCTTCCGCTCAGTGATGATTTGGATGGATGAGGTGTTGCTCTCAATATGCTCAGAGTCACCACGGAAAGGCACGGAATCAAGCTCCGGATGAGACGCGTCCGTCGTTGTCACTTGTGTGTGAGTAAATGGTTGATGATCGGGGTTTTTGTCTTTGACCTGAGTTCGCCGGTGAGGGGCAAGAGGTTCAGTCGATCTTGGAGTCATTGTAGACGCCAGCTTGTTGATTGTAGCAGAAGCTTTAGGATGATTATCGCTGGCGGTCAGAGTCTCCGCATTGTCACTACTTTGGGTAATTGCAGAGTCTCCAAGCCCAGGTTCTTCTTTTGTTTTGTTCACTTCATCTGGCTGAAAGCCACGATGGCGTCGACTAGAACCGACACTTGGGGTGCGCTGACTTTGGAAGACTGATATGGTGGCATCAGGAAGTGCTTCGTTGTTGGAAGACCTTCGGTAAGTCCTGCCTGTATAGTCGATCAGTCGTTGTTATATTAGATGTTGGCTGGGAAGGTGAGCTGAAAGTTACCTCGATGAGAACCGCCATGACCACGAGTTGAGCCGGCGTTACTCATTGTGTCTCAATGTTGAATGTGCTTTGCTTGTGCAGGCAAGTCTGTAGTATGATAAGTTATTGTTGGAGAGTGATTAAGGTGATCTCGATTGTTGTTGTGGGTGATGGTGGAAGAAGAAGCGTGTAGAGGTGAAGTGTCTACGCCATTCACAAATTGGGACCGCGCCAAGACTTCCTTACTTCCAATCACATCGCGCTTTTCTTATTCAAATGCCCCTTTTTCTTTATTCTAAACCTTCTCCACACGGAGCCACCTACGCTCTTGCCAGCCACCTGAATAGCTTAGTCTTTGGAGCTCTCGGGAACGGATTTTGTCGATGATCCTGCTTTCATGTCGCTATCTGGAGTTCTTACATTCTGAGCCTTGACCAAATATGTAGCAATGAGGTCCTGGATATTCTCATCGATCCCTGGCATGCTCTCGATATTTGTTCTCAAGGATTCTCTACTTGCAGGAGTATTCTTATCTTGCCTACTTTTGGCCTCATCCTGTCGCCGTGCGCCTTGCTTGTTGTGCTGCTTTCGAGAGCTTGGAGTAAAGCCATCTGTGATGTTGCCAACGGCTGGTTGAAGAAGTCCCAGCGCTGGGCTTTCCGGCATAGAGTGTTCTCTGGGCCTGCCAGCAGATGTGCATTTCCCTATCGAGCATGACGTTGGGACAGTATTTGCCGGCTCGAGGTCGGTACATGGGGCAGCTTTCTTCCTCAAAAGGATGTCCGAGCTCTGCCATGTTGAACTTGTTCCAGTTGCCTGCGTTTCTGTGACACTTGGCGCATTTTGCTTTGCTACTACAGGGACGGCGGGCGGATGCCTCGAAGGTCAGTTTGGGACACTGACGGTGGTGTTAACGGTACCTATGGCCGCAGACTGCAAGGGATTGGTAGGATGATTTTGAGTACATCTCCGCCTCTTGGTCGTTGGTTTGCGCTTTTGTCTTGCTCCTGCAACCCCCTCTCGTCTTGCGTCCACGTGTACCACCCCGACGCCTGTTATCATATCATAACAAGAGTGAATTCTGTAGCCATTGCTTTGTTCTAGAAGTCTGCGGCTTTGCGGACTCGAATTGCTTTTTTCGGTTTCCGGAATTGGGTTACGACCATCGCTGGCAGGATTTAACAGCTTGTTGACCTCCGTGTTATCATTCATCAAACCATTGCCGTTTTGTTGCAACTCTACCTCAGCAAAGACCTCCGAAGAGCGCATGTCTTCCCCCAAACTTGCAAAACGGTCCTTAGTCAAGCCCACAATATCTTGGAAAGGCGTACGACAATCGGTCAATGCTTCTGTAGCGTCCATCCGGTCTCGCAGACTGAGCGTTGTTGCTGCTGAAAGCGCTGCTGCCGACTCAGTGTCTGCAGTATGACGCATGGCAGTCTCTTCCCTCGATTACAGTAGTGCAGCAGGATGAGCGAGGGATCCAGAAAGAGCCTTGTGGCTATACGTCAGGTGTTGAGGGATGAATGTTGCTGCTGGGGATGGAGTGGCGCCGTAAATAGCCAAAGACGAAAATTCATCCGAAAGACCAATTGCAGTATGATCAAATGCGAGGTCATAGGAAAATATGAAAATCTACGGGTAGGTCTAGTAAAGCAAGCATCAAATCAACCAGGACACTGGTGGGAAAGCAAGCGAAGTGAAGGTGAGCCGCTTCCCATCTCTAAATTTCCTCCGAACCGCCCTAAGCAACAATTCGGGTCCACGGGAGTAGTAATATCAGTGGTACAATGCTTTCAATTTTGCGCAAAGCTCGATTGAGGGATAAAGAGATGAGGATTTTGATGCTGTGAGTGGAAAGTTGTGAAGTATTCAATCACGTCTGCTGATGCGACATCAGAGGACTGGACAATGCCGGCAAAACCACAATTGTCAAGCGATTGATGAATGAAGACGTGAATACGGTCAGTCCAACACTTGGGTTCATCATAAAGACCATTGAGTACCATGGGTGAGTGAATAGCAAGATCCAAATCGAAGAACCGGCATTCGTTGACTACATGAGAAGCTACCGGCTCAACATTTGTACGGGCATTTCCCATCGTCCTTGGGCTACTGACGTCTGACCGATTTCACGTGGACTAGGGGATGTAGGTGGCCAGAAGACACTGCGCACTTATTGGCGGAACTATTTTGAAAAGACAGACGCTTTAGTCTGGGTGGTTGATGCAACGGACCGGCTACGGATCACTGACTGCAGGCAAGAGCTTGGATCTTTGTTGCTGGAGGAGGTATGTTTCTTCGCCGCTCAATTGATCGAACTACATTGATTAGCGAGTAGCGGCTCATGGGGGCAAGCCTACTTGTCTTTGCCAATAAGACCGATGTGGGTGGCTGCATGACTGATGATGAAATAGGGAAGGTAAGAGACCGGTACTCTACCCGTAGAGTACTGCCAGAAGGACAACTGACATCTCCAGGGACTGCAACTCGATGCAATCAAGACGCACAAGTGGACCATCCTCCGATGCAGCGCAATCAAGGGGGATCATCTGCAGGAAGGATTGGCATGGGTGGTCCAGGACGCAAAAGACAGACTGTTCTTGTATTGAATGTCGAGGTTAGGGCCATGGTATACGGCGCTATAAGAGGATTGCTACCCCTGCTACGCCGAGAACTCGCCTGGAGCTGATAGGCTCTTCTTGGCGGGGGGCTGACTGGGAAAAGAAAGTCTAAGCAGCTGCGGGTCACAACAAACAGGCCCGCACGCCACGTCTTGTAGAGGCTTCGTTCGACAGCTTTGAATAATGCGATTGTAATTTTTGGTGAGGACTAGGCGAGTCCATATGAATGGGGGCTTCTCTTCACTCAATTGCTGTTGTGACTGCCGTTCCAACTTGCCTCTCCGCTGTCCTTACCGCCAAGACCAGCAAAACTTGCCCAGTGCCGTGTTTGTACTATACAGGTAGATCAACACTCGCTGCTAGAAGGCATTCGATACGTACATCGCACAATGCCTATCACCACCAATATCGACGGCTCGGAAGATGTTAACGACTTCCTATTACGCATTCGCGACCTTTCGCGAAGGCGGGACACAGAAGATGAAGAGCGGACAAGAAAGCTGGAGGAGGAAATTAAACAAGGGCGCAAGGAGAGGCAGATTAGGAGAGCAGGTCTGCAGCCTTAGGGCGGAGCATTGAGCCGTCATCACAGCGTGGTGAAGATGTGTTGAGCTAATGCAATTGCACAGAGCGCGCAAGGTCAATCTCGCCCACCAAAGACACATCTTCCAACGCGGGTACTCCAAGCTCCATACGCTCTGGAAACGAGATGTCGAGCCAAGAAGACTTCTCCAACACCCCATCCTTCCAACCGCCACTATCTGGTCCCTCTGGCCCGGACCATATTTCTCGTAAGACAAATGGCGCCCCTACCAATGTCAACGACCTAGGATCTGATAATTTGCCTCGAGAGCTTCCGCAGCCACCTTTAAAATCTCAAATAATCTCCACCCCCTCTCCGAGTGTGGCAATGGCTCTTTCACGCGCGGGCACCCTCTCATGGCAGCAACGGCCTTCATCACGCGGATCAACGGGCTCAAGCAGCCGCCCTTTGTCCATGGTAGCTTCAGAAAGAAACGCCTCAAACTCTTCGCGTGCAGCTGCAGATCCTGCCCCTACGAATGATGATAGCATGTCCAGCAGCCAGATCTCGCAATCTCTAGGGTCAAAAGACCCCACTTGGTTCAAGCAGACGCACGATCGAGGATTTGGATCTGCAGCATTCAGGAGGAACCAGGACGATCTATCAGACACAGCATCGATGATGGGCAGTAAGCGGTTGCCAGGGGAGTCAGGAGAGAGCACAGCCGAATCTGAAGACCGCACGAGTCCGGCCCCTGACGGTGTTCGCTCTGCATCGCCACCAAGAGAGGGTTCAATCCGTGGCATTCCAGGACTGGTCCACAAATCCTCAAATTCTGCATCGCTAGCATCCGCTGGAGGCATCCGATCTCCTCTACCGACTATGAGTAGCCAGAGATTTGATCCCCCATCCGACACAAATTCATCTATGGTTGAGAATTCGTCCATCGCGCGGACGATGGCAATGTCGCCTTCCCAAGGACGTCTTTCTCCAGAGCATTTGGACCGACCTGCGTCGCCTACTAAAGGTCTTGGAGGATTTGTCCAAAGCGCAATGCTGAAGCGCTCAGATAGCGTCAGTAAAAGGTGGAGCGCACAGGCAGGTCCGGGTCTAAGTAGGGGAAGCTCTATCACAAGTAACCGCAAAGGCTATGAAGATACAAGGTACCCAATGGGAGGAATCCCTCCACTCAAGGAATCAAGACCAAATAGTATGAGTCGCGAGAACTCCACAGAAACGACGTCCAGGCCTGGATCAAGTCACAGTATTGCTACTTTAACTCAAGCACAGATCGAGGCTGAGCGGATAAACATTTCTGCACCTTTGGCTTACTTTAAATCCGACTCATTCCAGGACGAAGTCTCCAAACCAGCACCTATAGATACTAAGTCGCCTCCACCGTCAAAACAGGATGACAATGAACCAATGATGAGTCCACCCGCAAGCCCAAGCAAGAAGTGGAGTCCTACCAAAGCAAGCTGGTTGGAGAATGCCATTAACAAACCCGACTTTCCTAAGGCCAGAACGCCTGCACCTCAGCAGCCGGCATGGATGGCAGAGATCAATCGAGCAAAACAGCAGCGCGGAAGCCATGATATGTCAAAGGGGGGAAACTTCAAGGAGGTAGCCACTGGTGGACTAATACGCTCCCCTCCGCCAGGCACGGGCTATAAGCCACCGGGCATAGGTGGGCTCCCAAGTGGCTTCAGTGCAGGCGTGGCAGTGAGGCCCCGGACTGGTAGTCCAGATAGAGTCAGCCAACAAGATGAGTCGCCGAAGACTACAAATCACAATGACGGTCCTCGAGAATCTTCTTCATCTCGTACACTGCCACCAAAGGAGGTACGAACAAAGGGCTTTTCATTCGATATATCACCAGCCGACGAGGAATCTGCAGACTCACCTTCAGCGAAGAAGTACAGCTCTCAGCTAAGCTCTCGTACGCAGTCGCCTACGGCGGCGAAATTAAAGCCAGAAGCGCCTCCGAAGATCGATTTCAAGTCTACTCTCAAATCGCGGCAAGCCTCTGGAGAAGCAAATAGTAAGGATGAGTCTGAATTCAAGAACGTGTTTGGAAATCTCAAGCGAACACATACGCAGAATTACAAAGCTCCTGACGAACTCAAAGATAATATATTGCGTGGTAAAGCCGGCCTTGCTCTGACTGGAGGCCCCAAAAGGACCGAGCGTAAGGATGAGTTTAAGGAAAGCATATTGAAAAAGAAAGAGGGAATGGTAGTCCCCTCGGCCTCTACAAGGATAACAAGCGGGAGTCCCAGACTCCAGGAGCATAACGTACCCGAGGCGATTGCCAAGAGGCAAGGCCTCACAAGATCTGAGAGCCTTCTCAGCAACGTTGGCGTGGAGGGAGCGGGCGAACCGACTAAAGCTGAAGCACTGGCCAGAATACAGCGCTTGCGAGATAAGCCAAAACCGGCGCTTCCAGACAAACCGCCTCACGCCGCAGCAAACGCGGAGAAAGACTCGACACCCAGAGGTACCCTGGGAGGATTCACTTCTTCGCTTGCTGGTATGCTTCAAAGAGGCTCATCACCATTGGCCAACAGCGGCAAGCCGAACATAGCACAGTCGTCGGATGATATACAGGATTCGAATTCCATAGTGAGGCTGAATAATCAAGAGGCAGCTTCAGTAGGACCATCGTTAACGCACGCAACCAAAGCCAGAGCACGTGGGCCGAAAAGGCGATTACCTACTGCGAGGATGCAGGATGCCGCAAAAGATACGCCGCTGTCTCGAGCTGAGCCCCAGTCGAAGTTATTGGTGGCTGCGAACAGACCTCTTGGACCTATACACGTCACGAAATCCCAGACCCTTCCTGCCGGCGTCTACAAACCTGAGTCGCGACCTCTTTCCAATATTACACATAATAATAACAACAACCGCAAGACCTCTCTGCCCCCTTCCCCACGGAAACCATCGGCAAGTATAAATCAGTCGTTCAATGTCAGAACTTCGCCCCCGGTCTCGCCAGGCCCAGGGAAAGCATTGCAGAACAAGCCTCCCGCGGTCGTTAAGGAAAAGCTAAACCTGAGTCCGAAAGATACGAAGATACCTATCTCTTTCCTTGCTACACCTGGGCCTCCCCCTGACACTCCGCTAAAGCGACTAGCCACCCAGGAGCCAATCAATGTTCCTATTGGATCAGTCAGGGATCAGGAAAGGCGCGAACCCGAGCCTCAGGAGCTTGATAAACCAACACCATCAGTCAAAGGTGCAGCAGCTGTTTGGGGACGATCGCCTATGCAGCCATTCCAACCTAGATCGCCAGTCAAATTACCCACCCGAAAACACGAAGAAGCTGGTCAGGAAGAGGCGGGTCCTAGACCAAAGGGCCCTGGTATAGGTCCTGTTGGATTGGGTATCGAGACCACCGTTTATGGGCCAAAGTCATCGTTGGACCGCAATCTACCGTCGCCGGCCACCCCATCGCCCAAATCTCCCCCATTACCAGGAAAGAAACCCGCTTCAATTGCGAATAGGGTTGTGTCCACCGATCTACCTTCTCCAGCTACCATCGCTCTACCATCTCCAGCCACTAATCGGCCGACTATACCATCCCAAAATCATCCCCCAGGGGTATCCGCCCTCTTGGCCGAAGTATTTGACGAATATCCAAGCTCCAAACTCAGCATAAGCATCGATACGCAAGCAATTCTTGTCTCGCGCTCCTCCAATGACAACTCACTGAAAATCAAAACGCTCCGCAAACAAGTCTTTGAGATCACCGATAATGGTAGATCTGTTCCTGTGCCTTCTCATCAAGAACACATTCTCTTCGAGGATCGTTTGTACCTCTGCACCCATGTTTTCGGCGCCCTCGCTGGGACACGTACCACAGAAGTATACCTCTGGTGTGGCGACGGTGTCCCGTCCTCCTCAATAGAAGATGCCCAGCTGTTCGCTAAGAAGGTTGCGAAAGACAACAATGGCAAGCTCATCATCCTCAAGCAGGGCAAGGAAACGACCAACTTCTTTCAAGCACTTGGAGGGATCGTCATTACGCGCCGTGGATCGGGTAGTCGCCCGGAGTCTTCGTCGGGCACAGCGGCCACGTATCTTCTTTGTGGACGGCAGCATGTTGGACAAATTGCGTTTGACGAAGTAGACTTTAGCCCACGGAGCCTGTGCAAAGGATTCCCATACATCGTCTCAGCTCGCTCTGGGAAAATATATCTATGGAAGGGCGGTGGGTCTGGCGCGGACGAGCTAGGCTGTGCAAGGCTGATAGGGATGGATTTGGGTTTAGGTGGCGAGATTGAGGAAATAGATGAGGGTCATGAACCTGACGCTTTCTGGCAATCTTTTCCGGGAGGAAAGCGATGTGCTAGCACCGCCGAAGGAGCAAGCGCAGGGCATTGGCATCTAAAGCCATCTTGCGAGAAGTACACAACGAGGCTATATAGGATCGATGTTGAGGCACCCCGCCCAAAATCAAGCTCAGGATTCATGCAATGGGGTAGGAGAGGTAGTGCGCCTGCAGACACGAATGTCGCCATAACGGCCCAGATCCGGGAGATCATACCCTTTGCGCAATTGGATATCGTGGATGATGGAGTTTTTGTGCTTGATATTTTCTTCGAGATCTTTGTGTAAGCTTCTTCTACTCCTCTTCCAAACCTGGAAAGAAGCCTTCGCTAATTGGCCTTGATTAAGCATCCTAAGCATCCGCTCCCTCGCACCAGCACCCCAGCATAAATCCACAGAATCCGCAGCGTTTCGCGCGGCTTTAGTCTTTGCCCAAGAATACAGCATTCTTGCTGCTTCGGCGGAAGATAGGCCGTTCGTACCGGTAAGCTCGGTTGTCATTTGCTCGAGGGGTGGATCTCCGAATGTGAAAGAGGTGGAAGATATACCAGAAGGCATGAGGCGAGCGTTCAGGAAATGGGATGATGGCAAGGGATTGGGTGAGTGTAGGGTCCTGCCACTGACTGCAGCTTTGGAAGCTACGGGGTGATAGAAGGATCCGGCCCGGAAAATCGTCCATTATGAAACGTCCAGCCTTACTTTCGCGTCATTATAGAAGAGGGTGACGATTACACGAATACACATTTGAGGGGTTAAACGGACTTGAGCAGGACCAGGAAAAGCTCGGCGCTTGTGTGTCTTACGGTGGGGCATCAAACTCTGGAAAGCTGTCTGTACAATATCTTCCTATTCTTTTTCTTGTAGATACACACCATCGAGAAGGAGGGATGCCCCCAGCCTTCCAGGCGAATTCAAAACCCTTCTATCACCTTCATTATCCTCAGATGAGAGCAGGATGGGCCAAGGAGGCACAGAATCTCTACACTTCAAATACCCTTTGGCTCCGTTCTTCGGATTCTTTCCGCGCTTTCACTGACAATCGCTCCCCCTCATCTGAAGCAAAGAAGAGCTTCTCTTGGCGCTAGTATGCATGCAATTGGTCTCTGCAACGGCTCTGCTCGCGGACGTGGTCTGACCTTGAATACGAATAATGAAGGCCATTTTGGATGTATGAAGCGATGGGCTATCACTTCCTGCCATAGTCCTTCGCCTTTTCTGAGAGCATATTCGGTGTATATGCTTCTGTACTGCGTGTTCAAGGGACCTTCTCAACCTGCGGTCCAAGCTCACTACACTTCTCAACAAATCCCGCTGCGATCTGGAGATTTTCTGCACCGCTCAGAGCCTTCATAACAGTAGCTTGTCTTCTCTCATGAACGAGCCGCCGAAAGGAGCTGACCAGAAAGCCTGACACCAATTCGACGGACCAAGATTCTGGGATAAGTTCTAGGACGTCCCGTACATCGTACCAAGATCCAAAGCGCTCTAGGAGCTCACTCGTTCGTTCCAACCTGTCGCTGACGTCTTGAATGCGAAGAAACTCCGTAAGAAGGTACCCGAACAAAATGGCTTGCTCGTCTTGAGATGGCGCAGCAATCGCAGCGGACCCTGATTTTGGATGGAATATACTTGCTCCACCTAGCAGGCAGTAATTGACAGCAGTATGATAATCTCCAAGCCCGTGGGTGAGTAGACGCAGGGCTTGCTTATGCCGACCTTGACGGCCGTCGAGAATGATAGACTCAGGCACCAAATCTTGCTCAAATGGCTCAATGCGCGATAGTATATTGCCGACATCGTAGGAGAAGTCTGATCCATGACTCCCGCCGATGAGCTCAAGCAGACGCAAACGATCATGCCACCATGACATAGGGACTGCGTTTTCAGTAATGAATTGTCGATAGGTCGGCTTTGGAGGGCGAAGTGCTCTGTAAGACTCGTAAGATTGCGAAAGGACATCTCGAGCTTCATCAGATGATCCCAAAACCTGAAGCACATTGTCAAGGTAGTATGAGATGAGATCGTTCGCGTATTTCACGTTCTTCTTACCAAAGACCAGGTGCTCTAGGTAGACTTTGACGGCGTCAGGAGCCTTCCTTCGCAGTAGCATGACGACTTGTTGAGGTTCCCACTTGACTCTGCTGCTATCGTTGGTGAACACCTGGACTCCGAGATCGGGATTGCGTCTAGCGAGCCAGGTGCCATACTCGTCAACCAGACCTGTGTCTTTGATAATCACCAGATATCTGCGAACTTCATTTTCACCATCGGCGAGGCCCCCACCCTCGTCGCGTTCGCCTTCAAGTATCCTTCTCCAAGTTTCCAATACCTTTCTGGCCATTCTCCGGCTCTGGTATAGCCTGCTCAGGACAAACAGACGCTTGTACTGCTCCAACAGGGTGATTGCATGGTTAAAGCAATCTACACCGGAATCAACAAATGCATAGAGCTCAATTCTCGTCGGTGAAGGCCTCGATATCCTTGAGGGATCTTTTTGATCTTGCTCAAGCAGCACACGAAGAAGAGCTGCATCGACCGTCAGGAATATTTCAACTTCGTCAGCAATGCTTCCGAAGCCCTTGCGTTGTCGCCATGCACCGAGGTAACGTTTGATGAGATTCAGCAAATCGGGTGTCGCCAATTCCTCAAAGGTCTTGCGCAATGCTGAATTGAAGCGTTCAACGACCGAGATCAATCCAGCATGTATCCAGATACCCTTTTGCCCCTCAACGATTTCTTCACGGAGAGCGGGTATTAGCATCAGTATGACTCGCGGATCCACACTTCCCTCCATAAGCACTCCTTCGGTGATTCTTGAGTCAGCTGTTTGTACGTTAGACATTGGAAGTGGACGCGCAATTAAATCAGCGAACAGTACCAAGCTGGCTTTCTGGCGGATATACTCCAAACTGAGAAATTCCGTCTCTGATATAGCTTCTTGTCCCCGGATACTGTTGACTATCTGGATGATTCGGCTACGCTCAATTTCATGGTAAGAGTCCTCTTGCGAATTACATTCCAAGACTTCGTCAATGGCAGCATTGAGCCTGGTTGCAAGTGGGTTTTTAACGACCCACCAAACGGAAGAACCTGACCATAGAGTAATACGGCCTATTCGACCTCCAAGGCGACGACCGAATTCAACCTCTTCCTTGTTTCTGCTCATCTCCAAGGCTTCTGGGAGACTTTCAGAGCCTACCTTCTGTGGACCGTTCGCAGCTGAATTCATTTTTGAAGGAGATAGGCGTTTGCCACGCAATAATTCACCGATCTCTGGAAATGGAACAGTGACTGGAGTGTTGATTGTCCGAAGTCCAATTTTTTTTGAGGAGGGCCAGGTGCCCAGATTCTGGCCATTTGCCGTCAATGAAGCGTCAGGAATGTCAATCAAGTCCTTGTTTCCGCCATCGTCCACATCCCATCTCTGAATCTCAATGACGTTGCGATCATTATCGTCGCCAGGTATAGTCATGGTAGCAAGCACAAAACCTTCGCGATCCTCGTCTCTACCAGCAGTCTCGGTTTCGATTCCGCTTCCATCTAGGACTAAGGCTTGAGGATATCGAGTGAATTGCAGCGTTCCTCTCACGACATCTCCATCAAGATTTACAAAGATTCCCACACCTGCTTCGTTTTCATTAGTGCCGGTGGTCAGTAGGAATTCAGTAGGCGTCGGTGAACATATGTGAGGCAGTAATACTGCAGAAGGACGTAATCGAGCAGGTGAGAGTCCCCTGAGCGAATCTGATCGTTCGGGTCGTTCGGGTCGTTCGGGTGGTATTGGAAGGGGCTTATCAGGTATTGACCTCAGTGGAGTATAATTCTCTGGCTTTGAAGTGGACCTGTTACGAGTTGAAGATGATGTTGGAGAGCTATCCCGCGTGGTTAGCTCCGGAGTTGCAAGGCCTGATCTATCTCGATTTGTAGATTGAGGACTAGCTTGACGTCTTCCTAGGCCTCCAACAAAGGCACCGAGGCTTGTATTCCTCCCATGACCTTTACCATCCGACGCGCCTTCGCTCAATATCGGGCGTGATGAATTAGAGATTCGTACAGCCGTAGAATCTGGCGTAACTGATATACTTTCAACTCTTCCACCTGCGGTATTTTCATCTAGCGATGATATAGGAAACAATGTGATCTTTTGCTGATTCTCGACATCAAGCAAGGCATATGAGTGAGTGTCTGCCACACAAGCAAAATTGCCTCGGCGAGTAGATATGAGACAGCCTGGAAACTCGATGTCCCGAACTCGCCGAGCTTCATCACGTATCCGCATAAGCCTGACTTTGTTTTTGACACATATCATCACGACCACCCCATTCTCCTCTGCAACCGACTTGTTGCTGAGATCCACACCTCCCACCCATGTGCAATTAGCTACCGTGTTATTGTCGAAGGCAGGACTCAGTTCAGGTAAACTGTAGAAACTTAAAGTACCATTGCAAAGAACGCATGCCTTTTGTACTTTTGGTAGAACTAAAATTTGTTGCACACCAGGTAGAACCTGATCGGGACCAGAGCTTTGAGGACCGTACGCTGGCTGCAGTCTCGAGGCAAGAATATACTGCGAACCAGAAGAGTCTGCTGGATCTGCGGGAATGGAGACAAAATGTAGTATTTCTGCCTGAGAAGTGCCAATGTAAAGGTTTTCATCACAAAGCTCCACACAAGTGATACGAGCCTGGGCTGTATTTTCCTCAGTCGAAAGCGGAATATCCTGCACCAGAGGCCTGAGGACGTATGAGCCGGTAGAAGCCTTTCCGTCATTGCCAGGCCCATGGGAGAGCCCACTCTGCTCCCCCTCGGACATAACTTCTTATAGAGACCTCAAGGCCTCATCAGCCTTGTTATACCGAGCTCATCCCATCGTAGAGACTATTATGAGTGAAGGAAGACCGCGATCCAGTGATTTTTGGAGAAGACCGTCTCAGCCTTGGCGTTTGACTCGTCCCGAGCCGTAATCTCCAAGCTGTCCTTCACTCCTACAAGTAAGCCAATCCAAGGTATTGAGGATTGGGTGATGGATTCAGTGGACTATGAATCAAATGCCTCAGCCGGACCAAACCAATAACAGACACCAAATGCAACATGGATGTCACTGGGGGAGGGGACACTGCATCTCCCTACGAGAGTGATCGAGACGGTCCTGGGGATAGCTCGAACGCTACCCAGAACGCTTCCACTACCTTATTGAGCAATGGCGATTCCCCGTCTTCGCATGAAGACAACAAGTTCCAGAGTGCCATCTCGGCCTGGAGAAGTAGGGGTTGCCAAAAATGCTACAGGACATGCCCTAGCTGATAGCTCCTTGTAGATATTAACCTGACCAAGCTCGTCCCAGAGCTCGATTCTACAGCCACCGATATTGTTACACATCAAAGAGATGCATTGTTGTCACGCAAGGATCTGGCGCAGAAGACGAAGGATTTCAGGAAGCTGGACGACGCTGCCAAGCTGGGGGAGTTCAAGGGTCTCTTGAAAGGTACTAACACTACATGAAAGCCCACCATCGTTCCCAGCTGAAAGTGAACAGCCTACCAGACCTTTATTGACCTCCTCACAAGTCATGGAAAGACTACATCTTCGGCCTTCCTGCAAATTTACTCTTCTGTCTCCGAAGCCCCAGATCCGTACCCATTGCTTGAAGCATCTGTTGATGCGCTTTTGCTGTCTGAGGATACGCTTCCCAAGCTTACGTCTGAGAATGGACACCTCCAGAACAGTATCAGCAATCTTACGCAGCAGTTAGACAACTTGGACCGCCAAGTAGAGGAAGAACGTGCAGCTAGGAAGGCGCTAGAAGAATCACGAGATTCTAAGATCAAGGAGGTGGAAACCTCATGGAAGGCTGTAGTCGAAGAGAAGAAAGACAATTGGAAAGCCAAGGAACGAAGTATGGAAGAGAAGATTGAAAGCCAAGAACGTCTCATGAACGAGCTGAAAGCTAGCTACGAAGTTTCACAGCGCTTGGGCCAAGATGGAGACGGCGAGAATGAAGCCCATCACAGCTCTGCCAGCGCTGCTGAATTAGAGATTGTGAGCTCAGATCTCGACAGAACTAGCCAACGCTTGGCTGAAGTTGAGGCAAGGAACGAGCAGTTGAGGGTGGAGCTTGCAGAAGCCTCCTCGAGTGCCCAGCGAAAGTCCGCTGTAGATGACGACCCCAACAATGCACGTCTAAGGTCCGAAAACTCCGCGCTGTTGAGAAAATTGGACAAAATCAGGCTAGAAAAGGATTCAGAGACCAGGAAACGGGAAACTCGCATCCGTACACTGGAGAAGAACGCTCAGATGCTAGAGCGTGATAGAGAAGGGCTGCGTGAGCGTGTACAATCATGGCGTGACTACGATGAAATCAAACAGGAGCTGGAGATTTTCAAGGTATAGTCTATTCTGATTGTCGCATGTAGCTTGCTGATCTGCGACAGTCAATCGAGTTCTCTACTCTCGACGAGGACGACGCCAGCCCGGTTGGCGATGGTGAGGGCAATAGCGATCTGAGTCCTGTCAACGGCGTGGTCTCAGGAGACAAAAAGGACTCGCTTGAACAGCTGCTGCTTGCAAGAAATAAAAAGCTAAGCAACGAAATGGCAGTGCTGAGAGTTTCGCATCAAGATCTGCAAAAGCAGCTGGAATGGATGCAGGAGACCATGTCAAACACGAACTCAGATCTAGAACATGCACAGAATCTGAACGCGACTCTGGAAACGGACCTGGTCAAAGTACAACAAGAGGCATCCAATGCCTTCCCTTCGTCGGCTATGTCTGTCGCCGGGACCTATACCTCTCGCTATCCGTCTTCATCGTACAATGCCAACTCTTTCCCGAGCCGCAAAGGTAGGGTATCTCCAACATCTTCGATCATATCTGGCTTCGATCCACAAAGCGCCTCTCGCAACACCTTGGATGCCATCCGAGCGGGTGAGCCTGTGGGTGGGGGCTCCGGAATCATGCCTATGATTCAAGCTCAGCGTGACCGGTTCAAGCAGAAGAACACGCAGTTAGAAGAAGAGCTCTCAAGACAATACAACACGGTCTCCTCCCTTCGGCAGGAAATTGCATCCCTGCAAAAGGACAATCTCAACCTCTACGAGAAATCTCGCTACGTTTCCACCTACAGTCGAGGTGTGCCAGCCTCATCAGCTTCGGCATACGCGCAGCCTCCACAATCCACAGCAATATCAGTGTCTGCAGAGACACCTTCAGGCCTCTCTTTAGACCGCTACCGCTCGACGTACGAAGCTAACCTTTCTCCTTTCGCCGCTTTCCGTGGACGCGAGTCTACAAGGGCCTACAAACGGATGAGCCTTCCCGAACGCGTGGTCTTTTCCGTCACTCGCATGGTTCTCGCCAACAGAACAAGCCGAAACCTGTTTGCGTTCTACTGCTTCTCATTACATATCTTGATATTCGTGATGCTTTACTGGATGCATTCTTTCGATGTTTCCAAGCACGCAAGCAACCTTAGCGCGGCGGTCGACGTGATCGCGGCTGCAGGTGGCAATCCTGGAGCGGACGCGCAGCACGGCGGTTGGCTTCAAGAGGGATTTGAAGCTGGCGCAGGAACGTGAAAACGTAAGGAAGAAAATAAGGAGAAAGGCATCGTGTGTGGCACCGTTGCACTGGGGTTATGTCCGCCTGTCTGGGCCTTCCAACATCCACCGGTCCCCTGATGGGTATATACCCGGCAGCACACCTGCTTTGGAGCAGAGCAAGTATTTTGCGTCGAGCAAGCTTTCGCTGTGTTGTGTAACATTGGCGACTAGTAGCCCAGCGCTCACGAGTAACGAGCGAATGGTTTGGCCAGATGTCTTTGAAACGCCAACAGCCTCATCCAGCCTCCCAAAGCTCGAATTCATACCTTTGATCTTGCATCGTTCAGGATTGGCCATTGGTGCATCTAGAAGACGACGGAGTTTCACCACAGAAAGGGAGTACTAGTACGGTGCGCTCAGAGATCGCATTTTTTGGCCTAGAGTTGATACTGTGTTATTCAGTGTATGTAAAATGTACCTTTATGCATTCAGCCATAAGTCTCTTATAACCGGCTTTTTGTGTCTTGTGCCTGTCAACTGCGATTCTCGTGGACTTCAGCTCAGCAAAATCTAGCGACGTCGCCTGTTCTACGTACGTATAGTTTACGTATAGTTCCGCGACAGAAAGCTCTTGACTGTCCCAGCAGCTCTATATGGCCCCTGCAGCGATGCTTGTTACGGGGCGAATCCTGCCTTTGGTAAAGTTTGCGCAGCTTCTCTGGTTTCTGTTTGCTTTGCTTTCGACTCTACTGGCTTCGAGCTCCGCAGGTGAGTCATCCCTTTTGGTGTTTTTTATTATGTCTAAATGGGACGCTTATCGATCTGATGTTTCAGACCTTTCTGCGCAAGCACAACAGCCCAGTCCTCCAGCCCTAGCTTGATTTCCAGAAGACTCTGCGATCGAACATCTGCAGGAGCCGCCCCTTCCTCGTCCTCAAACACAACCATCAATGCCAGCGGAATCGCCACCACCAAACCGGCTGGCCTTGGCTCCAAGCAACTCATACCTTGCGCTTCCCACACATGGCTCCGCAAAGCGATAACATCCTTCAACAGTGACAGAACCTCGCAATTCCGCAGAACGATCTACCCATCTGCCTATTTCCCACCCAGCAGCAGAAGCATCCCTTGCCAGGCCGTCCACAACTCCAGCAGCATATCTACCAGCGCGAGAAGCTTCTTTCGCAACCGCACCGACCAGTCCAGCATCTATTTCGCGATTGCACTCTCCCGTCGCCGCGCGATCTGATCCTAAAGCCGGGGAGAACGGGAGCTCCCCAACCAAGGCTTGCGGTCAAGGCAACTCATCTCGAACTTGCAGCAGTCACGACACGCGGGGCACGTCTTATGTCCTCCACGTTATGCAAATCCGCCAATCTCACGTCTCGGACTGCTACAAGTGGGCACTTCGAGACATGGTTCTCCATCGGTGGAATATTCGGCAGGCCAGAGTGATCCGAGTGGCCCGTCCGGGCCCGCTTTCAAGGCTCCAACGCGTCAAGACAGTCGGACGGAGTCCTTCGAGGATCGTCACCACTGGAAACAAGCAGCAGCAGCGGCGGCATTACTCCCGCAGCAGGAGCGACGAGCCTTTCAGATACGATTGCGTCCTCGCACACGGCGATGGGCTGTAGGATTCACGTAGCAGGGTCTGAGGACCTATGGTTTGCTTTTCGTGGGTCCATAAACTGTTTTTCTTTGATCTAAGCTCGACTTGTAGATAGACCATGGGAACTGTTCGTTGAACTTTCGCGTATTCTCGAGCTCAGCTGTCTAATATTCGTACGTTCTTATGATCTAATGATGTACTGTATTGGTCAGTCGGCGTGGTTGGAACATTAGAAGATTGATCATTTTATTTGATCGAGAGGTGGCTGTATCCGTTTATATGATAGCTGTGTAGCCTCCATGCACGTTTGTGCTACGCCAGAACGCCATGATATCTCGGGAGAACGCCATCCTAGTCATAGCCGGGAACCGAAATGGAAAAAGAGAATAGAAAAGGAGGCTTCGTCTCATGTACACATCATGCAAAAAACCAATATTCCGCGGCATACTGCCTCGAGAAGGACGTGGGCATCCCTGCACACGTCGCTGGCGCAGCACCCCCTGCAGTATTGACCCTATAGATCTCCTTCACGCTGGGCACCAGGTCCTTTTGCTCAATCGTCAGTGGAGCGACTGGGCTCTCCACTTCCAACTTTAGCCAGGGAACGGCTTTGCTTCCATCCGGTCCGATGGGCGCAGTAGCTGGCGCTGTAACGTTGGAGGTCTTTTTCGAGAAGAAGATGCCGTAATTTGTGGTGTCCCAGACGAGGTTAAAGGTTGGTGTAGTGCTGTCGGTGAAGTAATGGTGGCCGGAAATCACCGAGCTGGATCCGAGGGGATGTATGGGCTTGCTGTCGCTTGCATTGGGGTTGGAGTTCGCCACGGCGACTGCAGGGGCGTTATTGAGAACGTAGGGGGGATTCCCGCCAGGTATGGGGACGCTGGCCATGCAGGTGGTGTTGTAGAGATTAGCAACGGCGCCAAGGGCAATTGGGACGTCCGAAGAGCCAGCGTCGGGAGGGCAAGTGTAGTTCTAGGCGCATTAGTAAAGGAAGCAATAGGGGAAGAAGATATTTCCCGAACGCTTACTTGTAATCCACGTCCGAGTGCAACATGATAGACAGTAAGACCTTGAGAAGGCGGGGGCAGCGTGGATGAAGGCATGGCTGAATTGGCTGGAGTAACGCATGTGAATGTGGAGGTCGCTGCCAGGACGCGTTTAATGCCTCCGACATAATCTCGATAGGGTTGTGCCCATGGCTCATGATGCCACGGCCCTATTGCTGCTGCCGATGCTAAGCAGGCTAGTGAGGAGAGGAGGAGCAGTTGTGAGTACATTGTGTGGAGAGTAGGAGAGGTTTAGAGAAGGGAGAAGTCTAAGATGCCTTGGACACTGCCAGGTGCGGGATTTAGTAGAGTAGTATATGGATTGTAAAGATGTGAAAGGTCTCGATGCGGAGGCAAGAGTGACTCGGGGAGAGAGAGATATGGTGAGAGGACATTGGAGGCCATGATGAATGTTATGTGTATTATGTATGTTATTTATGCTGCGAGATGTTTCTATTTTTGTCCAGCGACAAGCGACGCAACTGGTCTTTGAAAGTAAGGTAAGTAGCAGGAGCGAGATAGAAGCCAAGAATCGAGCCAAGAATCAAGATTGACCGGCATACTGGACGAGTGGATAGCTAAAAACAGAGCCAGCGGTAACCCACGGCCGGCTACACTAGTCAAAAGTCAAATATCTCACTTGGATTTGGATTCCTTTGAACATCTGGTGCATCAGCATGGCCGGCGGCTGTAGGTACTAAAGTAGAGTGTATCAGGTAGAGACGAGCGTACTTTAGGTACTTGAGCTTGTGGAGGGAGCAAACTGCCGATTGGATGATTGACGTGAATTAAGGTTTCTGGGTTCTTTAGTTCTGGCTTGGCCCTGGCGGCTACAATTCCCTTACTTAAGTTCTCTGGTCGTTCCATAAAGTACTTACTGACTTTACTCCATATATACTCCGACTTTCTCCAACATCTTTGTCTTTCCCCCACTCCACGCATGAAATAATCAGATGGCCATATAGAACATTCTATACTTACACCATCAAATCTGCTCGTCTTCAATATGAATTTTGCAAGTCTTTCCGAGGTGTGATTGGTCATGGATGCACCGCTAATGCAAAGATCGACCCGGGCGGTTAGGTAGACTGTCCTTCAATCTGCTCTCTCGGATGATCATCAAACGGGTAAGACTTCTTTTTTACAAGTCTTTTTGCTGACCGCCGACCAGTAGCCAATCATTTATTATCAGCACATTCTAAACGCCGTCCTTCGCCTTCCTTCGCCTTGGCTGCATCAAGGATCATCATCAACTCTTCCATGCATATGGGCAGCAGGCTCGACAAAACCAAAGAGGTCAAGTACGAGTATGCGGCTCGGCGGGTGTGGAATTCGAATCATGTCCTGTAGATTTGCCTGCTGGAGTGAATTGTAAAACAGCAAGCGGCGCTCGTCCAAGTGGCCTCATGGCCTGAATCTGCTGGCGGAGGCTGTTTCGAAAGGCGAAGAAAGGTCCAACCGTAATTGCCCATCCTGTTAGCCAACACCATATCTCGCCTCTGACCATCTCGACTTTACAACGCTCTGGTACCATCCACGCATCTCAGTCGGTCATCATTGGAACAATAAATCTGTGAAATTGTCTTGGCATTTTTGACCATGGCTTGTGTTTCACATGAGGACGATACAGCGACTTCTTCCCTTGATATTTGCACGTTTGTGCCGGATATGAAGCATCAGGGACAGCCTGAGATCGCTTCTTCAACGGAGCTTTCGTACTGTACTAGGACTTACCTCCTGGATTGCAGAGAGAAATGCTTGCGTGCATTGCGCTGCAGGCTTACGGGCTCTTCAACTTCGGGCTACTGGTAGGTCGTTTGGTGACAGTTTTTTCCCTACTGAAGTATCATTACATAGAAAGAGAAACATGATTCAGTCAACATCTGGCACGGGCAAACCATGAACCAGCTTCACCTTTCTTCCCAGATCGGCCAACGCTTTCTTACTTCGCTCATCTCGTAGGTCTGAAGCCTCAATATCCGATACGAGCACAAAGTCATGCTCCAATACTGCAGATCCAATTTTCACGTCATACTCTTTGGCAATCATCTTGTCAGCAGGATGGAATTCAACAAGAAGTGATTCCTTGACTCCAAATACAGCATCTGACGTCTCGTAAGGGTCACCGCGTGTGTACAACGCTGTGATCAAGTGGTCGTATCCCGGTCTCTCGAACATGAAATGCATGTGCGCTGGTCTGAACGGATGGCGTTGCAGCTTCTCGAGGAGCTTTCCCACTGGGCCATCGTGAGGAATTGGGTAGGAAACTGGCTTGATGGCCTTGAACCAGAAGTTGCCATCCTGATCACTTTTCATGACGCATCTCCCGTCTGGACCTTCTCGGTCCGCGTATTGGACGTCGTAGTGCCCTGAAGAGTCCGTTTCCCAGATATCAATCTTCACATCGGGGACAGGCTTGCCGTGCGAGTCCTTGATAGTGCAAAGGACTAAGCAAGGCTCGCCTTGGGCATCATGGGACATTGCGTCGCCATGGGCCATATCCTCCGCTTCGTGTGAGTGGAAGGGGCCAAGAACAGACCCTTCGGTGGAACGGGCCGGCTTGGGATGGTCTATGCTATCAACGAGCAGAGAAAGGCCAAGGATATCAGAGAGAAGTATGAACTCCTGGAAGATATATGGTCAGCGTGAAAGTGGCGTGTGTTGTAGATAAGCAAGCACACTGCCAGAAAAGGTCGCGGTTGCCATGGTAAAAGTCCATTAGAACTTGACGACAACAACACGAATGACGGGGTTGGTTATCCACAATGAAGTCTGCTCAAACTGCTTCCACCCATTGATGGCCAGTCACTTCGGCTTGCCGCCATCTATCGTGTAATATATAGCACTAGCCACCACCTAAGACTACCACTTCTTCGGAGAGCTTACTAAGACAACGCCCTTAGAGATATATAGAGCCTACCTGTCGGACGTCGCTGGAAATTTGACCCACAGCAGTCAAGAATTCCAATGCAGCCATCCATTCTTTCGTACTCAGTCTTGTTTCCCTCGCGAAGTCGTGAAGGTGTGTGACCAGCCGCTCGAGGACGTAGGTGAGACGAGGATCTGAACTTTGGGAATTGATGCGGATAGTGTTCTCGGTGATGTTGTCGATGGTCAAGTCCTTCATTGGAGGTACCTTGGCTTTTGAGGGATCCATTCTTGAAGTTGAGCGGCTCCTTTGGGTCTTTGTAAATATGTGTTTGATGTTTTGGGAGAGATTCGCAGGGAGGAGCTCGCTAATAATCTAAAGCTTTGTATCCTACACGTCCATTTCGGATATCTTTTCTTCTTCTTGATGACAACCGGGCTCTAACCTGACCTCGTAAAGGATGCATTGTTTATAGAGTATGAGGACTTATTATGTTTGTGAGACAGCCAATTGAGAAATTGGCGGCGGGGTCGGGATGACGGAAAGATGATTCGGCAAAAGACAATTGCCCTCAGTCGAACCTCTGATCCGGGCGGGCCGAGCCGAAGATAGCATGAACTCGCTCCGAGGCTGTGACTGTGAGCCCACAAGAGCCCACAAGAGCACAGACAATCATCAGCATTCGACCATGAAAGCAAGGCACACAACAACTTATCTTATAAGCACCATAAAATAAAGCAAGAAGTAGAGTGGTCCTCATATTGTCACAAAAAGCATTAGCATCATCATTATCATTATCATTACGGAATCATGCTGTCACTCCATCATCTTTCATACAACTTATCGCTCAAGTAGCGACTGGTCCCCACCACCGCCCATCGCTATGGCCGACCCTCCCAATACTATACCAATGTATCCCAATCCAGCCCATAGCCAGCCTCCAAGATCCGACACTCCAACAGCCCCAACGAGTAAAACCCCAGCAGTTACTACCGCTCAACGAGCCACAAGTACCGCCTTCGAATCTGCCAAGCCCAGCTCCAACGACAACGACCCCATACCTCGCCATCCCACTAATTCCTCGTCGGATGAAGAGAACCAGCCTCCGGATTACTCCCATGACAATGACCCCTACCAGCTCTCTACGAAGCTCAAAACCGACAGCGAGATCGAGGCAATACGTGCAAATACCTCTCGGAAAAGAGATGGCTACGGTCCTATCACTCTGAACAAAGAGGCGCACAAGGCTAAGAAACTTCAGGACTTCTATGAGAATCAAAATGAAAATATCCAGAAATGGCTCAAGCCCGTCGACGAGCACATAAGGCTGGCTAAAATCTTCCAAGGGGAAAACCATCTCAAGTACCAGATCGCTGTGCGAGGCTCTTTCGTCGCTAACCTCCTCCTCGCTGTCCTGCAGACCTACGCCGCCATTTCTGCTGGCAGTTCGCTCTCCTTGTTCACCACCATGGCCGACGCCATTTTCGATCCCATGTCCAACATCACCCTCATCGTCTGCAATCGCGCCGTCAAAAGAGTCGACCCTCGAAGATTCCCCTCGGGCAAAGCTCGTATCGAAACCGCGGGAAACATCGTGTTCTGCTTCCTTATGACCGCCGTCTCCTGGATCATCATTGTTCTATCCCTCATGGAGCTGAAACAAGGCACTTCAGAAAAGACGAAACCCCTACATCTACCCTCTGTAATAGCGGTGGCCATCGCAGGTGTTACAAAGCTCGCGCTGTTTTGCTACTGCTGGACCCTGCGTAACGTCTATTCTCAGATCCGCATTCTCTGGGAAGATCACCGCAATGACCTTTTCATTAACGGCTTTGGTCTCCTCACTTCCGTCGGTGGCAGTAAATTGAAGTGGTGGATCGATCCGATGGGCGCTATCATGCTTTCTTGCTTGATCTCATACCTCTGGCTCTCTACCGCCTACTCAGAGTTTCAGCTCCTCATCGGTGTAACAGCAGACACGCAAATGCAGCAATGGATCACCTACATCTCCATGACGCATTCTCCCGCCATCGTTGCCATTGACACCGTTCGGGCCTACCACTCCGGTCCGCGGATCATAGTGGAAGTCGATATTGTCATGGACTCCTCGGAGACCTTGCGCACTACGCACGACGTGGCTGAAGCGCTACAGATGAAGCTGGAAAGTTTGCCGCATGTTGAGAGGGCATATGTGCACATTGACTTTGAGACGAGCCACAAACCGGAGCATTTCTTGAAGAAAGAATTGTAGTGGTCTGTGTGTGATTGACGTCCAGTTTCCGATTGAGAGGTCGCTGCTTGATATTGCTAGCCCATGGGACATTGGAGATTTGCTATTGGGAGTTGCGGAAGCTATATAGACTTGGTATAGAGAGATACGCGGATTGAATGACAACGACTTTCGCATGGACACTCTTTTGCAACGAAGCCCAGGCGCAAGCTCGATCTGTCGCGATCACGCTGCCTGGAAATTGGCAATTTCATGCACTGGTGCCGTCTGCTTCTCGAACAAGTAGCGGATGCAAGCCGCGCTGTTGATAAGTTGTACGTGATCTAGAGCCTAAACACTCAATGGACTATCGTCCGCTTCTCTTTGCTCCTGTTCATTAACATTCCCACGAACACCGCTTATTCGAAAGCTGACCCCTGACTGTTAAGCCGTTGCGCAGCCCACCTATCGCAGACCTCAGCATCTCAATCCTTGTTTCCACCATAGCAAAATTCACCGCAACGGTAGCCCACTTTGCAGAAGTCGCCAGTAGCTTCGACACCGTAGTCGCTGTCGAACTACCCACTTTCTGGTCCTCCAAGGTCTCTCCCCTCGTAAGACTAGGATTTTTAACATCGACTTTCGACATATGCTTCTTATGATAGGGTGGATACCGAAAGCTACACAGGCATTCGAACCAGCCGGGCACAGGTACGGCAGGACGGTGATGCGTGAAGGCCTCGAAGCCGCATTTGCCTTGGTAAGCATCACTGCCACCGCCGAAGGAAGTGTTCTCGACAACGGCGTGGAGCATGATCTCCAAGTTTTGGGAAACCGTTAAGACTTCTTGAAATTGGGATTCGAGTCACAAATAGGACCTTGGAGAGTGAAGGGCTCTCGAAACATGTTTTACGGCAAAAATAGGGAATGAATGAGTGGAAAAGGCAAAAGGCTTGCGCAAGAAAGCTCGGGCCAGTATCCCAGCTGAGTGCAAAAGGTTTTACATTGTTGACCGTCACACCTCCTGACGAGGTCTTTGGGAGGACTGGTGCATGTTAGATTCCAGGGAACTTGGCTCAGAGGATTGAAAGATAAGTAACCAATGCAAGAGGATCGTGGTCAGATACTTTCTTCAATCTCTTTTTTGTCCGTGCTGGAGATTTCTAAGTTCAAATGCCATTTCCGCCAAAAAAATTGACTCGATCTTGCCTGATTTGAAGATTTTGTGAAGGGTTGAATGCGTAGCGTCGAGCTGATCTGGCGTGGTGTAAGGAGCGATGCCGGGTGTGCAGAGTCGCGATTGGTGAAGGTGAAGGTGAAGGTGAAGGTGAAGGTGAAGAAGAAGAAGAAGAAGAAGAAGAAGCTAGATGGTAGGTCCTAAAGAGCCTCGTTCCGTGTTCGAATCCGGGCATTTTAACCTAAGTTCTACACATATATGGTAAGAATTACAGACAAGGTTTCTGAATTATATGACGGGGCACCAAACCTCATGAACCCAAATTCAATGTTCATGCCAAGGACATGCACCATATGTACGACCGTCAAAACCGCAAGAGAGCTACTCTACAACCTTCCTTTGCCCCATAATGCGCCGCCATCGAGGGTAATGCAGGCTCCGTTGACATGACTGGATGCCCTACTCGCCAAGTACACCACTGCGCCGGCAATGTCTTCTGGCCTGCCCAATCGGCCGTTGGGATTCTGCTTTGCCATCTCTGCCTCACCACCATGCAATGACATCAATCCCGAAGCCATCTTCGAGGGGAAGAAACCTGGGGCAATGCTGTTGCAAAGGATGTGTCGAGGGCCGAGCTCGACAGCCAGATTCCGGGTAAGATGAATTGCAGCCGCTATAGAGGGGAAAGAACATTAACGACAAACAATGCTGGTTGGAGAATGCGGGCATACCTTTAGACGCAGAGTAGCCAAAGGTCGCATTTTCACCCAAAGAGCCAACACCGAGGCCGGCAATAGAGGCGGTAACGATGACTCGGGAGGGGTCCTCCATTGTTGCATTCTTCTGAAGTAGCGCTGCAAACCTGTTTCCTGCGGCGTCAGTGGTAATACTTGTAGAGACCGCCCAGCCATCAGCGTGGAAAAAGAGCACATACAAGCGGATAGTATTGAAGACACTCTTAACATTCAAGTCCATCACCTTTGCAAAAGCGCCATCAGGATGAGTATCGAATTTCTCCCCCCACGTAGCCCCCGCATTTGCAAATAAGATATCCACATGGTCCGTCGTTTCCATGACCTCCTTTACCAGAGCCTCCACGTCTGCAACCTTTGCGCTGTCGGCGGGCACTGAGATGGCTTGAGCGCCTGGACGTTTGTTTGGTAGGGCATTGAGGGCGGCGCATGCAGAGTCGCAGGCTGCAGCTTTGCGCGAAGTTATGTAAACTTTTGAGCAGCCGGCCTGAAGGAAGCTGCAATGGAGAGGACTTCCGTCAGTATCGCACGCAATACCGGTCGAGACCAAGAACATGCCCAGAAGCAGCGTGGAGACCCAGTCCCCGTGAGCCGCCTGTCTATGCGTAATCAGGCGTCAGCATTGCTTCGAGACAATATCATGATTCACAGCACAGATCTAGCCAATTTACAACGCCTTCTGCACCCAGTACATGTCTTGAGAGCCAAAACAATGGTATCGTTCCGGGGTGTTTTTGGGGTGGGGGGGGGGGGGGTTGCGCATACGACGACCACTACTTTTCCATCGAGGGAGAAGAGACTCTTGAAGTCCTGGAGCTCAGTTTGGGCTTTTGCTTCGGCAGCCATGATGTGAGATGTCAGTCAAAAATGCATGGCAATTTTATGATTCATTTCGAAAGAAAGGGGTAGAAGAAAGTTATTTCGTTTACCTCAATCATGAGCACCGCGAGGTGAGTTGTGAATACCACTTTGCGGGCCGAGGTCCCAGACTTCCCCAGCTTTTGCCAGTCACCAAGTGCCGGACGACGCAAAACCCTCTGTGAATGAGAGACCAGATGGAACCCAGTCTAGCTTTTCTGCTTCTGCTCCTTCGTATCGACACATGATAAGCTACATACAGTCTATACACGGTCGTCGATGCCTTGTGGCGTATCCACCCCAAACTCCAGCCCAATGCTATATATAATGTAATGCCGCATGTTCCAGCATTGACAGTTTCTCTCACTTTTAGAGCGGACCGGTTGGACCTGTCTGCATGCCAATTTTCCGCTTCCCCGGCTTCTGGCCTGTCTTGCCCCGTTTCGATGCTCCCGCCATGGGGTGTTCCCTTTCCCATTCTAGATTACAATTTCGGTGTCAGTATTGCCCATTTGAGGAGGTATAGCCAGCGTTAAAACATGTTTCGAGAGTAAAAACTCCCGAGAAATGTCTCAAGACTCGAGATTTGCTTCAAAACGGGATAATATGGGATCCGAAAATACGTACTCTCGTCGGCCAGATACGCCTCGACAGCGAGACCCAGTTTGTAGTCTGACTGTTGAAGGTAGAGGAGAGCAATGTCATATCTGAGATGCACAGGAATGCTCGACGGCTGATCAGCCTTGTCCAGACCACGATCATCAATTGGGGGCACGACTACTCACTCTGAAACTTTACACGCAACCATCCACCGTCTGACCTTCGCTTTCCGAATTCCTTCCTCCTCGCTCTCCATTGGTTCAGGACTCAGGCTGATGCCTCCTTTGTAAAACTCTCCAGGGATGAGTATTGTTCGTCGAGCCGCCAGCAGATGGTCTGCGAAAAGACCATTCTTTCGCCTCAGCGCATCTTGGGAAACGCCGTAGCGTAGTGAGAGTGACAGTAGTGAATCCTGGGAAGGATTCAGGAAATGCAAAACATCCTCTGCTGGAGCTTCCGAAGATGAACGGTACTCTTCTCTTAGTGGCGTGAAAATGTTCAATGCAGAATACGCTGGGGGCTCCTCGCTGTCCGATAGCGAGGCCAAAGTAGCATGGGCGGGACGAGGAGAAGGAGGCGGCGAGTACGCTGGAGGATCACGAAGGCCTTGAGGTAATGAAGATGGGCCGGATGAGACTCTAGATAACAATGTTGCAGTCAGTATTGCCTGTTGGGGCGTGGATCAAGCCTTGAAACATGTTTCAAGAGTGAAGACTCCCAAGACTTGTCTCAAGACTCGAGGCTTGGTCCGTGAGAGGAAATGTCGACTTCGGAGATACGTACTGGCAGAACGGGCCTTGTATCGAGATTCAGTCTTCCCTTATGGGGCTGCGTCTTGCGGATGGGGAGGCTCACAGTAAGACGCAAATCGAGGATTGTCCTTCAACAAGGGATCAGTCGAGGCTCCCGATATAGGGTAAATTGAGAGAGCATACTGCTATACACTTTCCACAGATAACTCGACCGCAACATTCCAACCGGCGATCCTGCACTGTGGGCTTCTCCGTCTTCTCATCATACTGTGGCGAAATAACCGACAACAGCGTGGCGCAAGTGCAGCAGCATGCTTCGTCAATCATGATAACAGGGTGTGCGGAAAATACAAATGAACAGAAACGCAATAAGCAGTTCAGGCACAATTTGGAGGTATTAAAACATAGACGTATGGTAGAATTTCAGACACACAAGCGTTCAACAATGATTGATAGTCGCTAGCGCTACCTCCTTCATCGCCGTTTATCGCCAGACGAATATCTAACCAGGTTGGACCTAGCCTGGCCCACAAGATTTGGCGGACCCTCGACTTTCAACTTTCGACCTTCAACATTCAACATTCAACATTCAACCTTCGACCATCCGCGCACTTAGCTAACGATAGAGGTACGTTAAGACTGGTGCTCATAGTACAAGGCTTGAGCCGACCATACTTTGCGCATGGAGTTCGTCCGACGACATGGGCTGAAGACCCCTTGTCCCAAGGGCACTCTTTGCGCTCACAGGCTAATATGGATCTCTTCGCTCTGCCAGATACCTCACCTCCCACCGCCGGGTTGAGAATCTCACTTACGCCAACATGGTCAAAACAAGTGTCCTCAACGATGCGCTGAATGCCATCAACAACGCTGAAAAATCTGGCAAGCGCCAAGTGCTCATCCGGCCCAGCTCAAAAGTCATTGTCAAATTTCTACATTGTATGCAAAAGCATGGTACGTGAGACGGTCAAGTAATCGTTGGCGAACCTTCCTCTCCTTTCCAAGATCGAACGCATTCGGGTAGATAACTAGGCAATGGTCTCAACATTTCAAAACACTTTACGACCTTTGCCCTTTAAGTACTCGATATATTCAAATCTGCGAAGATCTTACACGTTCTCTGATTTAATGTCTGACGTCCAACGTTTAATCCATTGCGACATTGCTGACTTGTCTATCTATCCCAGGTTACATTGGAGAATTCGAGGAGGTCGATGACCACCGATCAGGCAAGATCGTCATCCAGCTCAATGGCCGGTATTTAGTCTCACCTCCCATGCTTCATTACGAGTAGCTGATCTCTGCAACAGCATCAACAAGACAGGCGTCATCTCTCCACGATACAACGTTCGAATAACGGACTTTGAGAAGTGGGTCGTCAAGCTGCTGCCTTCGCGTCAATTCGGTTACATTGTCTTGACAACTTCTGCCGGAATCATGGATCATGAGGAGGCTCGACGGAAGCACGTCGCGGGAAAGATCATTGGGTAAGGCTAGTCCGTTCACAACGTTGACGACATACTCATGGCCCCACTACAGTTTCTTCTACTAGATCATGGATTGAGTCGTCATGCCTCTGAACGCGAGATAACCAGAGAACGAGACACTAGCGTGGTTGCGAAAAGCTGGGATACGATGGAAGCTTGACATAACACAAAATATGATACCAATGCTATGGCAGATTTGACTACCGGGCTCACAGCTTTTTGCTTGCCTTAGTACTGCATCTGCCCGAGAGTATCCGCTCACCATATACTTGTCGGCCTTAGATACTCCTCCCCAGTAATCAATCTATGATTCATGAGCGTCCGTTACTTCTTATTGAGACGCCACGTTCTTGCGAGACCTTTTGCTTATTTCCAGCTTTAATACGGAGTACTTGTAGAGCAATCAAGGTCTCCTCCAAATCGCGGAGCAGGCAGTGTCTGGAGGATGGACCAGACTTTTTAAACGTCGCTCCCAATGCTCTACCTGTAAGCCCAGATTTACCAGATGATGTGATCAAGGAAAGGCTGTCCTAGAAAAGGGGTTCTACAAGTACCTTAGGGTTTCAGGTTTTTAGGGTTTTAGGGTTATAAGCAAATGCCAAGATATAGATAAAGGGTTCACGTGCTTGAAGTATAGGCTGGGACCAAAGTAGAGTATTGCTCTTGCCCAAGGTCCAATGCCAACTTTTTGCATCTTCCAGTTCCCATGATTTTCTCCTCTCTTTCGAGCTCCCATAGCTGAATCACCAGCTACTGAATTCCGACTAACGCCTGACTGTCCATGTAATGCCTACAGTCCAAGAGCCTGCCGAGCTGCTGCCTCCTTTAAAGCCAATCTCGTCAAAATGTGAGCCTAACCCCTTCCTTCTTCTCTCCTTCCCCCCCATCCCTGTTTGTTTTGGCCACAGTGTCTGTCGGAAGTCCTTTCACTGGGGCTTACGGGATGCTTCCAAAATGAATGTCTAGCGCTCTCCATTGCGATTGTGGGTGTGCCTGCTACTGGGATGCCCCCTGACAATCTCTAATTCTTTACTTCCCACCCTACTGCTAGAAAAATCTTCCCTGGCAGTTTCTCGAAATTTCCTTCTAGATCTCTTAGCTATCTTCGTTGTGTACTATCAAACGAGGACGAGAGGCTCACATGCCAGACAGCCGTTCTCATTGCCGAGCCTGAGAGTATATCTCCTGAGCCAAGTCCCAGAATAGTACCAGCAGACAGGAAGCAATCGTCACGTGCTTCATTGTCCTCCAAGCAACATCGTACGAGCACGTCAAAACGCTTGTCAGGACGTCCAGCGGCCGATACCTCTAGTCCTTCGCTGCATTCAATATCAACCATTAGTAGCGTTGAGTCGGACACCACTCCAGATCCGACCGACCACGGAAACGAAGTCAGACTAGAAAAATCTCACCATGTTGCACATCTTCAAGATCCCGCTAGTCACATCCTCTCGCAAGTAGCAGAATGGCTTCACCAAGAAAAAAGCAAGAAAGCTGCCCACAAGGCCAAGAAACATAGTCATGCGAAGCTCGCACACGCTGCAGAAGCAACTAAAAACCTCGTAGATCAATTTCGTAGCGACGAATCTAAATCGAACAACGAGCGCCATGTCAGAACTTCTTCGGACGTATCCGAAGGAAGCCTGGCTTTGGAGAAGTTGGAGCAGATCCTGTCAAACAGTATGGGGTTGGGTGGAGCAGACAGTCTTACCCCTACCGACGACAGGAAGGATTCATATTTTCCTCGTCGAAGATCCAGGCGACAAGGTTCTGCCAGAGGTTTGCTCCGAAAGGCTTCAACGATAGCATCATCGGATACCGAATACCAGGAACCTGACATTGATGTGCCTTCAGCCGAGGTGGTTCTTGACAATTCCAAAACACTGGGCTATAGTGGAGGAGCAGCAATTTCAGATGTTGATCTTCTGAACCCTAACAAGCGAGCAGTGAAAGAAAAAGAAGCCTGGTTGCAGTTCAAGATGGAGATTGTTCGGTTATCCCACACCCTTCGTCTCAGGGGATGGAGGCGAATACCATTTGATCGTGGCGGAGACATCGATGTGGAGCGCCTAAGCGGTGCTTTAACAAACGCCGTATACGTTGTTTCGCCGCCCAAAGATCTTTCCCAGACTCAATCAATTGCAAGGAACAGCACCGCTTCTCTTGTACCCAAGAAACCGCCTCCGTAAGCATTCACATCGTCAGGTCGACGGTTGGACTGACCGGATATAGGAAACTTCTTCTCCGCATCTATGGACCTCAAGTCGAACATCTCATTGACCGAGAGAGTGAGCTGCAGATCCTACGCCGTCTGGCTCGCAAGAAGATCGGCCCTCGCTTATTGGGTACTTTCACCAACGGTAGATTCGAACAATTCTTCCACGCGCGGACATTGACCGCTAGGGATCTTCGCATTCCCGAAACCTCTAAGCAAATAGCCAAGCGAATGCGTGAGCTCCATGACGGCATTGACTTGCTGGAGGAGGAACGTGAAGAAGGGGCATTCATCTGGAGGAATTGGAACAAATGGGTGGATAGATGCGAAGAGGTCATCTCATGGCTTGACAACCAAATCTTGGCAATCAAGCAAGGATCAACAGCACCTCCCTCTGGAGAGTGGAAGGAGCGCGGGTTGGTCTGCGGTGTCGAATGGTCCCTCTTCAGGCGGACCGTGGAGAAGTATAGAAAGTGGCTTTTCGACCAGTATGGAGGCCCGGCAGGTATCAGGCAAAAGCTGGTATTTGCGCACAACGATGTGAGGATCTCGGCTCATGAAGTGTCTTGACAGTGCACGCTAATTGTATTCAGACCCAATATGGAAACCTGCTTCGCCTCGAGCCAAGCGGAGAGTCTCCTTTGCTCCTGCCGGCAAACGAACACAAGCAGTTGATAGTGATCGACTTTGAGTATGCGTCAGCTAACGTCCCAGGCTTAGAATTCGCAAATCACTTCACTGAATGGTGTTATGATTACCACTCTTCGAGACCATATGCCCTGCACGCCAACAGATACCCAACACCCGAAGAGCAGCACCGCTTCCTCAAAGCCTATGTGCAACATCGTCCTCCAATCCAGACTCGTCCATCTATGTCACCACTTTTAGGGGCCAGCCATGGCCCTACAAGTTCCATCTCTACCTTCATGTTAGATAGTCGTGCTCCAATGGCCCAGATAGAAGAAGAGAAACGGCAAGACGAAGCGGTGGAAAGCGAGGTCAAAAAGCTTGTAACGGAGACGCGCCTCTGGCGGATAGCGAATTCAGCGCAATGGGTCGCATGGGGAATCGTACAAGCTAAAGTCCCAGGCATGGACGAGGCATTGGAAGCACAAAGGAACAGCACCCCAAAGTCGGAAGCCACAATCATCCAAGCCCCGGAAGCGCGCCTCGATTCGGATCCCTTGAGCCAAGAGAATGGGAGACTTGCGCAAGATGCCCATGAAAAGAGGCCAGAGAGCAGAGAAGAAGTGCCGGAAGAGGGACACGAGGAGGAAGAGGGGTTTGATTATCTGGGCTATGCGCAGGAAAGAGCCATGTTTTTCTGGGGAGATGTCCTTCAGCTTGGGATCGTGAAGAGGGAGGACTTGCCGAAGGAGCTACTGAACAAGGTCAAGGTCGTCAAATACTAACACAGGAGTGGCAAAGGCTGCCTCGAAATCGTATAATTCTTTCTGTTTGGATACCCCTTTCGCCTGTTTCACTCTTCTTCCGGCCCACTTCGATATAAGACATAGAGATACAAACGTCACAAATCTTTCAGCAGTCTCTACTCTGGTTTTTTGCTAAACTCGGGGGGTCGCATCGACTTATTCTTATTCACGAGTTTGAGGGGGGAGGGCACGCTTCTCGCAGCCAAAGAAAGGGCATTAATAGACTGGTAGGAATCTTAACGCAGCGAGCGCGAAGTGTTCTAAGCGAGAGCCACATACCTTCAAGCTCCAAAGTGGAACCTTGCATATGTACAGCTCTCCACTCATTCTTCCATCCTCCAAGCATCAACATATCCTCACCCCACAACACTCAACTCTTCCGCCCCTGACGTCGGTCTTCCTACCCCAGTAAAGAGCCACCAGCTCCCGCACGAAGTGTCTATCGCTCTCGCTCCATATATCAAGACCCATACGGCTCATATCTTCGCTGCTCACATATACTGCATCCGCGTCTTCTAGATCTTTGCTGGTACATTTCCGTCTCTTCTGCCCGCCATTTCCATCTTCGTCTGCATTTCCAACATCATCCGTATCCTCATCTGAGTAATCGGAAGCATCGATGATGTCCGACAGTGTCTTGAGTATCAAGATAGTCAGTCGGTGAAAGTAACCAATAATCGTCATTTCCAATCCTGCTGGGGATGTGTCCATGCCCTCCACGCCGGGAGATCTGCCGGGCGACTTCCTTGCTGACCGTGGTCGATCGGGTGAATCACCGCGGTAATTATCGAAATGGCGTAGCAAAGCAGCATCGTGATCTGCTTCTTCGTCCAGGTCTGTGCGTTTCTCGCCAGCCGAAGCCCACCACATAAAACTGGAGTACGCAAGCGCGGACCAGGATTGCGGTTCGGCGAGTTGAGTGTCAAGAGTAGAGGAAGCATCGTCGTAGGTCTCTTGAGCATTTTCGAAGGGGAGGTCAGAAGTCTGCTCCATGCTTGAATACTTGGATGCGTGCGGAGAGTGGCCGCTGGGAAAGCGGCGAAGCTCTCGGCGAAGTGTACGGTACCGACGCAGATCCCGCTGTGTGGCTTTGATCTCTGTCCCCTTCTTGACTTCAACGCGCGGCCAAATTTTCTCTTTAGCTTGTTTCGAGTAGGATGGCGGAATAGTGACAAGGGTATCGAAAAGGTGGTCTTTGTGAGAGAGGATGTTATCTGTGGTACAGGCCACCCACCCATATCCCATGCCCTCATCAGTGAGTTCGGAGCTCGGATTGATGTCTCGGGAGCCTTGAGCTAGGGTTGCCATGTCGTGGACACCTGCTGCGAAAAGTGGCCGCAGGCGAGTGGGTAGAGGTTCGAGTGGGAGGAGGTCAGAGACAGAGGATGGGATACAGGAAACAACTGAGATGTCGTACACTGAAGACACATTTCAGCCAAAGTAACGGTAATTCGAGAACTTTACTTACCAAAATTACAAGCCAGTTCAACAGGCGCTTGGCCCACAAGCAGTATTCTTTTCCGTAACAGCGCCGCCTTGTACAAAGGAAATATCAGGGGCCCGAAAGTGTCTAGTAACACAGGCAGTGAAAGAGCTGGATGATGAGATGACAGTGATTGCCCTGGCGGGGCAAGAGCAGACGCTGTTGAGACAGCACGATGGCGATTGCGCGTTTTGCCGTTGGGCGAGCCTTGACTTTGTCTTCGCTTTGCTTGTCCGTCCGAAGGTGATTCTGCTGCTTCCTTCTGCGAGTCTTCCTCGTTTGGAAGCTTGTGTGCCAGCCAAAAATCTTTCAGTGGCTCTTGATGGTGCCGGAGTCAGCATTACTTTTTGGGGAGGGATTCTGAGTCGCGAGACATGTCTTAGGAGCAGAGAACTCTTTAGACACGTCTGACGACTTATAGGACAGCATCAATGGGGAGAAATTGCCTCGGAGGGTATAACGTACGGGTCTTCGTAGGATCTTGGACGAGGGTCCTGGCCATGTCAGCAACCATTCAAGAGTACAAATGGACACCCACTCACTTCGCCAATTCCTTCAATCCCGAGGCGTGTTTCCAGCTTTTCCCAAGCCTACCATAGCTCAATGGTACCAGTGCTCCTACAGCCAGCATGAGCGCATTTCGATCCGCCTCCTCGGCGGGCTCGTTGAGGAAAGCACTGATGCCAGCATAGCCGTTGTCGTGGACGAAGTATCTTGCATTTGATCAATTTATTGTAGCAATGATAGTGTAGACAGCGTACATGAGATCTTCTCGGACATTGTGTAGCCCAGAAGGGAGGGATTTGTATTCCACGCTCTCGTTGAGTTCTACTACCGTAGCAGTCAGCACAGTCTCAGGGCTGGAAGGGTGTAGACATACACCCAGGCATCGACTGCTTCCATGCTATCGTGTAACTAGTATTCCTTAAGCCCTTGTCCGAGCAGCTATGGAGTTCTCAGAAGCCTACCCTGCCTTGACGTCGAAAAGAATGAGGAAAACGGCGGCAACCGGTGGCAGTTCTTCTGCATCGCGATTGGGAAGTTCAAGATGAAGCGAGTGCCCTCTACGTCGTTTGGCTGTTGACATGCTGAGAGTGAGATGTTATGATCATGGAATATTAACTTCAGAAAATAACGAGTAGAGTAGTGCCGCTATTAATACCGCAAGCGGTCGTGGGGTGCATACAGTGGCTAGTCAGTATTCTGTAGAAAGTCACGATTCTCTCACTTCGCCATCAATCCAATATTCAGATGTTTCTGATATGATGCCCAATTTTCCCCAACTATGCATGAGATCCTGACGATCCAGCTTGGCCACCGTGCAAACTACGTCGCCACTCATTTCTGGAACACACAGGTATCTTCCCGCTCCTGGCCCTCAACGCCAACTCTGCAGCAACATCATCTAACTTGCACTTCCCCTTTCTTCTTGGTAGGAATCCTACTTTACGTATGACAGCACTCAAGCTTCCCCTGTTGACCATGATGTACATTTCCGTCCTGGTATCGGAGCAAGGGGAGAGGAGACATACACGCCAAGGACCTTGATTTATGATCTTAAGGGAGGCTTTGGGGGTTTAAGGAAATGGGGGGGCTTGTATGACCAGCAGATCAGCGGAGATGGAGGGGTTGAACAAGGGAAAGGCGTTTGGTAAGAAACGGTGTTCATGTGGAGAAGCGTGAGTAGAGACTACTATACTGACAAGACTTGCGGTAGAATAGGGATGGCAATGTTGTTTTGCATCAAGATCCTGGCATTGAGCAATCTGAGTTCCAACGAAGCCTCGACGAAGGCGTTCCTAGTGCACAGAAATTAAGTACCGAGACCGTAAGATACTGGTCAGATTTCAATCGCGTATTCTACCATCCGCGATCAATAGTGCAAATCAACGATTACGAGCTAGGTTCCACACTTATGCCATTCGAGAAATGGGAAAGTGGTGAAGAACTTTTCACGAGCATGGATAGGGACGTGGACTTGCTAGATCGAGACGTGAGAGTCTGGGCTGAGGAGTGCGATCAGATGCAGGGCATCCAGGTATTTACAGGTGGAGATGATGCATGGAGCGCCTTTGCAGCCAAATACGTCGAGAGCTTGAGAGACGAGTTCGGGAAGGTGTCGATATGGACATGGGGGTTTGAAGAAGAGCAGGGCAAAGGGCAGAAAGTCGGTCCTGTCGTCCCGCATTGATGTAACACTTGTTGACTGCGATGAGAAGGCCAAGCAACTGCTAAGGACCGTCAATGCCGCGAGAATGATCAGCGAGATGTCGACGCATGCATCTATGTACATTCCATTATCAATACCACCGACACAACTCCCACAGTATGTACACTTTGACCGAACTTCGCAATGGCATACCTCAGCACTCCTCTCGGCTGCATTGGAAAGTATTACACTGCCGACAAGACTAAGGCATGACACCCAGAAGCGCGGGTTTCTTGATAACCTGGAGGGAGCGTTGAATGTTCATGGGAATCACCGGATTGCCCAGCTGCGGTGCAGCATGCTCGATCCCGAAACCGCGCCGCTCGTAATTGCAACCACCCATGGGACTACTGATGATAGAGCGCCATCAGCAAATAACGGCACTCTGGTCGAAGAGGACGGATTGAAGCTCGCTGAGCCAAGACTGGACATGGACCTTTCGTGTTGTAATGCTCGATCCACATCTCCGTTTGCTACTCAGCACGATGTATCGGACCATGTCTTTGGTGTCGTGGAAACTACGAGGACAAAGGTTGAAGCAGCCAGAGATGAAGAAGCGGAGGAAGGCGAGATCACTTACGCACGAAAACGAAGGCGATTTGCTGGTCTGCCAGTCATCGAAAGGTTCGTGACGCCAACATTGTCAAGGATTCTGCCACTGCGGAGGACATTTGCTTATGCAACTAATCCCGTGCAGGTATCACTCCTCGCTTGAGTGTCCAATCCTCGATAGCTTCCCGCCAATTTTGTCGTTCTCGCCGGGTCTCACCCAAGTTGCGGTTCACACCTCGCTTTCAACCACATCGGGGATCTCTAACCGAGTCAAAGCTCTCCAAAGGGTGGTCAGCAGGATGGCAAATCTTGACGAGCGCGAGACACTTTCTAACGGCCTTGGCCAGATCAGCGAAGCATACGAGAATGGCTGGCACAGTGGAAGCGACGAGAGCGACGACTGAGATGGAGTGTTCTATTATTGACATCATTTCGAATACGGAGTATCAATGGCGAAATCGCTACGTGAGCGCCACTGACTAGCTACATATCATAGCCGACAAGGATACGAGGCACAGCTCAAGAACAACGTCCAAGCGCGATGACTCGGCTGGGTTCGAAGGTTGGCAGCCAAGTTATACTTATGTGTTGCGGACATGTTCTTGTCCTCATCATTGGTCCTCCCAACTTTTTCTGGCGGTGAGGGCCATGTTTTAGGATTCAAATGTAGCCAAAATGATGGAAGGCAGACACATTATATGCCCGCAGGTTTATTCCCTTATATCCTGCACCGGCTCGGAGCAAGGGGGGGGAGCGGTCTGGCTCATGCATGTCAGACACAAGATCCACCAAGACCTGAGGACATATGCTAGGAAATCCACTTAAGGGCCCCACTACTGCATTGCTACATCCATAGTTACTGCCTACGATGAACAGGATGTTGAGATATGAAATCATCGTGGGATGGTTGACAAGCTACAAAGGTAATTTTAAAAGACCAAAAAGAAAGCCCATGCTTTGTTTTTTCGTTGTTGCTATATTCGAATGTCTTCCTTGGTGGTGCACTGACGGGAAGGAATGTGGGGCTTGTCGATCGCTGCTCTACGAGGCTAACTGTAGATAGGAGATGGCGGGGTACTTTAGCTTGCCCCGCCATCACGTTTTTCTTTCTATACTCTATCCATGTTGTCAACCACCACTCTTTTCAGCCGGTGAGTGCGGAAGACTGCCCATCCTTTGCCCATCCCTTGCCCATGCGCTCCACACATTATTCTTCTTACCTCCATCTCATTAGCACACAGGCAAGACATTTGTCAGAAAAAGCGGCACTTCTCTTCCCAGTCGTACACATTCATGCATCAGACCCGAAAATGTTGGCGACCAATGTTTAGAAGCAGCCAAAAGGCGTGTTCGAGTGGTAAAGAACCCCGTCCTCTGTCGCTAAGAGCCACAGCACATGGGAAAGCTTCACACCCTCGATATCCTTGCCTGGACATCTCCGATTTCCGTGGTTGTCTTCTGAGCTAAGGTAATCGCCCTTGCGTTCCTACTATTTCCAACTGACCTGGGAAACAAGCTGGAAGGACCATTCTCTACATCTGCGCATACTACTGCCAAGGCAAATAACGGGCACAACGATATCTCTGCTCGCATATGCTCACCGCTTTAGTAATTCATGCAATGAGCAGATGCTAAATGGAAAAATAGGAACTCCTACTCATCCGTCGCGGGCTTGCGAATTCACGGTTCCCTTATATGTGCGTCGTTAGGGCCGCAGATGCTGAGATGCTCGCTTACCTGCCACTAGCTTTCTTCCACCCTTGGCATGGCCTTCTCGACCTGCAGCCTGCTTTTAATGTCGACGCCAATTGTTTTTTGGCGGCATCTTGCAGAAAAGGATACTGAGGCTAGTTCCGAGAGAGAGACAAAAAAATATCGTACAATAATTTCCACGAGCCTCCAAGACGCCAATCCAGGACGGGATACCACTAGCAAGGCCATGACATGCATGAGCTGGCAGATACGAAGCCACACGATAGGATCTGGTCATGTCCGTCTGACGTGATCGTTTGCTTGAATAGATGGGGACGATCCATCTGCAGTGCTTGTAGACCAAAGCAACTGGGATGCCTTTATCATCTTGCCTCTGCCCGCCTCTTTTCCTTCCTCTTGTAACCTGATTTACACTCGCTTTAGGTAGCGAGGACTCGCTCGCTACGGTTCTTCTTCTTCTTTCTCTCGTTTTGTTCCCCTGAACAAGATCCACCATTTCTTCCTCCGTTTCCACACTCCTACCACTTGTGCAGCGCTTCGCCATAATGAAGTCCTTTCTCACTTTGTCTACCGTTGTCGCCGCTACTGTCGCCGCCAACGGCTTGGAGAATCGGTGGTTTCCAGGTTGGAATTCCTCTACGTGTGTTCGTACCTGACATCATCGACACCCTCGATGTTAACATATGATAGCTCCTATCCCGAGACCGAGACATTGACCACTTACACCACCGTCACCACGTGCCCTCTTACGATCAGTTCCGGAAGCGCCTATCACACAACCCTAACTACCTCCACCATTGTAGTCACCAGTTGCAAGGGAGGCTGCTATAGAACTGCCACCCCACCACCACCAAAGAAGACAGCCTCGATCGGGACTGCTCCGCCACCACGACCACCACCACCAAAGAAGACAACCTCGATCGGGACTGTTCCCCTACCTCCACCATCGGTTACACCCCCTCCACTGAAGCCATCCAATGGAACCACTGTGGTGGTCCCCTCCGTCTCTCTACCTCGCGAGACTCCAATCTACTCAAATGTGTGTATCTCTTGGGAAGTGGAACAGGGAAGGAGCTAAAAACGGGGCAGACCACCATTTTTAAAACCAAGACCGAGACGATTCCTACGTCACCCAGTGCCGTGACCATCAGTTATACCACGAGCACCATTTTTATCACCACTACGACGTGCCCAGGTGAGCTTTACTACGCACTCAGGGAAAGTTTTCGACTAACACGAATCGGGCAGTCACGTCGACCATCATTACGACTGGTTCCACAACGGAGACTGTCCCCGTTACTGAAACGAAAACTACCGTCATAACGAGCATCACGAGGGTCCCGGTGACCAAGACTAAAACCACAGGGACCACAAGCCTTACAACGAGATACATAACGTGAGCTTTTCCGGAGCGATTCGTAATTGATCAAAAATCCAACAGAAGCGCTGACGTTGATATTATGTAGGAGTACCACTTGCCCAGTGACATCCACCGTCGTGACGTCTAAATCGTCAATCACCACTGTGCCAACGACCCTCACGAAAACCACAGTACTCACCAGCATTATGACACTTCCGAAACAAGTGACTAATACCACGGAGATTGTTGTCAAGACGAAACCCATCGTCACCAAATCAACCGAGTCGACCAGCTTCACAACGAGCACAGTGTACATAACGTGAGTGTGAATTTCTAGCGCGATTCAACATTTGCTTAGTAACTTGAAGTAAATGCTAATCAAATTCAACAGTACCACGACTTGTCCGGTGACTTCAACCGTCATCACGAAAGAATCTACAACCTCGACAGTGCCTGTCACCCTTACAAAGACCACCGTACTAACTAGCCTTACTACGATCCCCGTCCCCATTACGCCTGTCGTCACCAAGTCAGTCGAGACGGTCGTTTCCACCACGAAACTGATAACCTACACGACCACCTCTTGCCCAGGTATGTGTGATTTGGAACGCAAGAAGACTTCGAAACTAACTCGTCGAATCACCTAGTAACCAGCACTGTTGTCACAATCAGCGAGACGCCCAAAACCGTACCTATCACGCAGACCTTCACCATCACGACCAGTTCGATATCTACATTTCCAATAACCACAACCTCACCCATTCTCGTAACCACACCTGGAAAGGAGACTGAAAACGAGGTTGAGACCCTAGTTCCGACTCAGATCATGATCGAAACCACTATCTCCGAGACCTCAACTACGGTGTTCAGTACTCCACCCCCAGAAACGGAGACTGAAACCGAGGTTCAGACCCCAGCTCCGACTCCAATTATGATCGAAACCACCATCTTCGAGACCCCAACTACGATACTCAGTACTCTACCCCCGGAAAAGGAGACTGAAACCGAGGTTCAGACCCCAGCTCCGACTCCAATTATGATCGAAACCACCATCTTCGAGACCCCAACTACGATACTCAGTACTCTACCCCCGGAAAAGGAGACTGAAACCGAGATTAAGACGCCAGCTTCTCCAACGCCTGTAGTCATGACCACACCGGAGAAGGAGACGGAAACAGGAACGATCACCCCGGAGGTTGAGGCGACCTCCAAGACACCAGAATTTGAGAGTACGCCGGAAGTTACGCCCGCCAGTACCACAGTACCAAGCGCTCCGCTTATCACTGAAGCAACTGAGGGTCAACCCGAATACCCCGTACAAACATCTACCCCAACTTCCACGTCACCGCTCGCTTTCAAGGGTGCAGCGCCCACCAACAAGCCTGCAGTGGCCGCTTTGGCTGGCTTGGTTGCGCTCATGGCGCTGGTCTAAGAGGCCAGCGAATGGCTTGTATTTTGGATACAGAAAGATGGTTATTCTATGCGCCTCGCACTCCTTTTACGACTATCACACTCCTTGATGAAGACATGATGTATGATCTCGGCCAGTCGATATCGCTTGAAGTCGATACTTCTTACACAGTGTAATGTTTTTGGACAAATCGATTCCTGGGTGTATATACCCATTTGCGCGGTAGTTCTAATGGCACCTGCGGTGAGAGAGGAAAAGGTGGAAAGGGGTAAATGAAAAAAGGACCTAGCAAAGTAAATAATATAATTAATTATACGTTAATTACTTTTGCTTGCTTACCTACAATCTTAAGTCAAGTGCAAAGAGAAGCAAGCAAGTGGCAGCAGCACTAGCAGATGACAATCGCGGAGTTAGGTCGGAGAGCTTGAACCGGTGAAGGTATCTCGAAGCTTTTTTCCAACTTACCCTCTCCGCAATTCGTGAGATGCTGTCAAGGCAAACGTGCTCATGTATGCTATGGGTAGATGACGAGTAGCTGTAACGCTCCACGCAGCGGTTGCGTACAAATCAAACAAGACAGTACATTTACTTGACAGTAAAGAGAGTCAAAGGAGAGCGTGACATTTTTGCCGAGGGGGCCATGTTCTGCTTTACGCCTAGGGTAGTCCTACTGTACCTTAAGGTAGGTATACTTTATACGATATACTTTACTGTACAGTACTGTAAGGTATCTTCCTTCCCTTGAGGCTGAAGGTTAGCCCGAAAGTCTAAAGTATAAAAGTCGGCCCGGAATCTGGGCTGGATAAAGTGGCTCAGTGGCCTCAAGGACAAAGAGTACGAGTATCATATTTCCCATTGGGTCTCCCTACCCATCACCCACACCCATCACTCATACCCACACCCACACCCACGCCCACACTCTTCCTTGTTACCGCATGACTACGTCCCTTCTTCAACTCTCTCCCCCCTAATTTGGAGCCTGAGTCTCCCGCACTCATCATAAGTATCCTGGCATCAGCACAGCAAAGCTTGCGCCTAAGGGCGCCCAAGTCTTCAGCATGTCAACAGATTACAACTACGACGAGCAGGTCCCTGGTCCTGCTTCTCTGGAAATAATGAGGTGCTGACAAAGGATCAGGGCCAATTCTTTCCTTACTTCATTCTCACCATCTCCGCCCTCGTCACCCTTCCCCTGTCATACTCCCTCCTCAAGCCGGACAAAGGTCAGAGCCCCGGCTATCCACTCGCCCGCGAGGAGTGGAACAAAACACTGATGATGAATTAGACATAGAGGATACTGCCCCTAGAATCAAGTCCAATTTCAAGCCTGCAGATGACGCTCTTATTCAAGGGCAGAAAAGGAAGCAATGGCGGCGAGAGAGGAGGCTGAAGAGGATTACAACAGTGGCTATGGGCTACTTGACAATGGCGTGGATGATGTACCTGATCATGATTACAAAGACAACTGCGCCAAAAATATGGGACCCCTATAGTATACTGGATATTTCAAGAGTAAGAAGGAAGAAACCCGTGCTAGCACCTGGACGCTGATTGTCCCTAGTCATCAAGCGAGGCACAGATCAAGAAACGATATCGAGATCTGTCGAGGGTTTACCATCCAGACAAGGCGGTGATTGACGAGTCCAAGAACCAGACTGCCGAGGATGTCAACGATTACTGGGTTGAAGTGTCCAAAGCTTTCAAAGCTCTGACTGACGAGGAAATCCGCAACAACTACATACAGTACGGCCATCCAGATGGAAAACAAAGCTTCAGTATTGGAATCGCTCTACCAATGTTCATCGTCACAGATGGAAACGGAAAATACGTGCTACTGGTATACGGTTTGCTTCTGGGAGTTCTGTTGCCGTATATCGTGGGGAAGTGGTGGTACGGGACACAGCGTGTGACTAAAGAGAACGTTCTCCTCGCCAGTGCGGGCAATCTGTTCAAGGAATACAGGGAAGATCTCGCAGATGGAGACGTCGTCAATGCGTTGAGTTGCGGCGAGGAGTATAAGGAAGTTCTAAGTGGCAATAAGATGGACTCAGGCTTGGGCAAGATCGAGAAGAGCATCGCGCGGGAAAACGGTCCTGATCCCTCAGTATCAGGACTCACGCCTAGAGATCAAGAGAAGCTTCAAGGCTACGAAGGCGCTCGCAGGAAAGCCTCTGCTCTCGTCTGGGCCTATCTCGGAAGGGTAAGGCTGGATGGGTCGTCACTTGATGATGGTCAGTGTTCCTAAAATCTCTCGCCCAATACATAACCACTAAAAACTCGCAGAGAAATACGAAGCTGCACCTCTCGCTTTGAAGCTGAATGAGGCTTTCACTGCCATCACTCTCGCGTTCGGCAGCGTCCCACAACTGCTCTCCACTTATCGCGTATCACAACACCTCATTCAAGCCGTTCCTCCAAACGCCTCGCCCCTCCTCCAGCTCCCACATGTCACACCTGAAATCGCCCGAAGGATCGAAGTACGGTTGTCAAGAGAGCATTTGACCGTCCAACAATTCATGTCATTGCCAGAATACAAGCGGCGCAAGCTTGCTACTGACCAACCTGGGGTTCTGACGCCGGCTCAATACAATGATGCTGTTGCTGTGGCTCGCCAATTTCCTCGACTCAATGTTGAAAAGGTATTCTTTAAAGTCATGGGTGAACGATTCGTCACCACCGGCTCGCTCGTCCAATTCGTCGTCAAAGCTCGCGTGATCCCTCCCGGCATAGCCAACGTTCCTGAAGTGAACGAACTAGACCTTGAGGATATCGATCCAGACGAGGATGATCTCGATGCGCTTCTTGGTCGCAAACCATCTGGGAAGGGTAGGAAGGCGAGACTGCGTGAGGGTGATGCAGCTCCGTCATCGGACGTAGAAAAGCCACTGCAACCGCCGCTGGCATATGCACCTTACTTCCCTCGTGATCACTCGCCACGCTGGCACGTCTTTCTCGCAGACAGCAAGATGGGCAAGGTCGCCGTGCCACCCTTCACAATGACCACCTTTAATAAAGCCTTGCTCGATGACCAAGGCAATCCAACATTCAACATGCAGACTTTCAAGATGCAATTTCAAGCCCCGCCGCATGCGGGGAAGTATCCGTTCGTGATGCATTTGGTCTGTGATAGCTATATCGGGATGGACAGTAAGAGAGAGGTCGTGCTCGAAGTGGAAGATAGCGCAAAGGCTGTCGCAATGGACAATGAAGAGGATGAGATCAGTGAGCCTGAAGAGGGTACGCATTTCCATCTCCCGCCGGCATCGAGACACAAACTAACGTAAAAAATTCATAGATTCACTAGCAGGTCAAATGAATGCCCTCAAGACCGGCGGCGTCTCCGGCCTTGCTGCACCGCCGAAACGACCAAAGAAACACACAGCTACCGCTGAGTCGAGTGACGAGGAAAGTGACACTGAGGGCGAAGCCGAGGACACGAGCGAAACGGACACTGATACTGAAAGTGAGGATGAAAAGACGTGAAATGTGGTCAGGATTCTTCCGCGTAGATGTCAGTGAGAGATCCAGGAAGTACCGAGATTTTGGCATTGCTTCTGGCGTCACATGAGCGCATTTGTGGTCAGATACTCCGCCTAGGGGTGCATTGGCTTGCCTGTGTATCATACCATGGTTCCTGATGGAAAAGAACGGATTTTGAAGTCTTGTCAGCCTTCCTATGGCGATGTCAATTGCGTTCGATATACGAAAAGCATTCGTAGGGAGCGGTGGCATGCTTTGGACATTGCTGGAATACGCTTTTCTTGTCTTTGTTGTGTGCAGCACCGACACTCTTGCGGATTCACTCTACGTGGCATCGTGGGGACAACGATTTGGTATGAATACTTTCATTGCTATCTCAATAATGCTCGATAACAGACTCGCTTGGATGCTTCGAATTGCAGTCTTCCAGATCGGCAGCAGGACCCTCTCTGCCATCATGCAAGGGACCCATCAACATCGATCGTCAATCATCATTTCGTAAAAGGCATGAAACCGTCGTATCATCCGCATTTGAATGTCATGCTCAAACGCAAGAAACCAAATCGCCACAAAGAAAAAGAAAGTAAGTCCATGGTCTCCATCATTCAATCGGGGCCGCCTCAAATATTTCGAAACCATGGATTAGGTGCAAATGCAAGCAATGCAAGAACCGGGTGTCGTAACTGGGAGTTCGAGTGACTGATGCAGGAGCCACCAGAGCTGTATATGGCCTAATCTGTCTCGTCGTTCATCTTTGTAGCGGCGCTGTAGCCGACGTGAATCACCCATTCAGATGTAGAACATCGAATCGATTAATCTAAAAGCTGATCAGCTAGGATCGACAAGAATGGAGCCGTGCAAATGAGACTCACTCCTTGTGGACACCTCCAGTCCAAGGCGCTTCGTTCCAGTCAAATTCTTTGCCTGGAGGCCAACGTCCGTTGACGTATTTTGCAAGATAGCATCGGCCGCGCTCGCAAAGAATGTCGGCGTAGTAAGCAGGTGGGCATATCGACACGGCTTTTGTGGCCCTTCCAAAACCATAGCAGCTTTCACAGGTCAGGCGTGCCTCTCTCTCTGAGATGGAAAGGGAAAAAGGGCAGGAGGAAAAGCTTACAGATGATGAGTGATGGTCTGAAGCTCTTCAGCACCAAGCTTCATCTCATCAAGAATCACGACGTAGTGCGAAGGTTTCGCCGTGCCTTGGAGGGCAGCGTGTGCCTGGAGGAAAAAGTCGACTATTGTAGAGTCAGCAAACCCCTCCGTTGTCACATTCAATTGGTTTGCAAGGACTAAGTCAGGACCATAACACAAACCAAAGGCATGTCTAATTTCCGCGTCATGTCTGGGACTCATGGTCTTGCTCGAAACAGGGAGGAAAGTGAAAGTACTCACAGCCTTTTTCCATGGTAACTCCCCGGTCGACCACCGTTCCATTCACGGGATTGCCTTTATTGTCAGCGGTCCTAGCATCCGTAGGGTAGAATCGAGTATGGTGCCTCTTGCCGACAATTACAATGGTGATCTTTGGCTGAGGCCTCGGCCCATAGATCTCCTTGCAAGCTTCCCGAATCTGCTCCAACTCATCCTCAAGCACAGTCTTATACTGACCCTCAGAGACACCATCACGGTAGATTAATATCTTTTCTGGCCCTCGGTTGTTGGTTTTTATCCAGAGTTTGAGGCGTTCTTGCATCATGAATTTCAATGTCGATACCATTTCCTTCTTAGAATCTTGGCAGCGGATGCTACCAGGCCATTGACCGTATTCGTTGTCAATGCTTGCCACCACCGCCGCAATACTGGGCGATCCCTCCATACTCTTGGGTGCCGGGTGAGTCACATCAATACCGACGACCATCGTGTTCCCGTTGTTCAGAAACCCTAGTTGGTTTGGAAGAAGTTGGTTGACACCGCCATTTTTCAGGTTGAATTTGAGTGCAACGTTGGCATAATATTGTGCGCCTTTGGAGAGATTCTCGGCGAGAACACAGACTGAGTGGATCCCAGCTCTGACGTCCCCCCAATATTTCACGCGGGCGTAGGTGACTGAACTGGAATTTGGCAAAATCACCAAAACCATCTTTATTCCTGTGCTGAACATAGCTTTGAAAACTTTCTCGATAGAAGCGTCGTTTGCGTCCTCTGAGCCAGGGAGAGGAGCTTCAAAGGGTTGAGGAGCGGACGGACCTTCGGTTCCGAGTCCATAATCCTTCAGAGCCCGCTTGAACGAGTCGATGTGGTTGCTCTCAAGACGCACACCACCCAATTTTAAGAACGCCCATTTCGTGATCTTGATTGGTTTTGCGAACTGCTTGCCTCTCATATTCCAAGATGCTTCAGTGGGGGTGATTTGAGATTTTCTGCCATACGTCACTGGGGGTGCTTCAAGAATTCTCCCTTGGATCACAATCATCTTGGAGTCGACTCCAACGCCGAATGCCGCCAAGCTTGGGTTGTTGCCTCGAAATCCAATAACCCTATGAGCGCCGTTCGCTATTCGACGGGCGTTCTCAGCAGGGCCTCTCGCGGCGACCAGAATCATCTGTGATGTCTGATGGTCACTCAGTTTGCCTCTGAATGCTTGACCAGGCATTACTTCGCACAGCTCCGGCGGGATCCAGACGGGCCTATCTCTTGTGCCGCAATTAAGCAGCCAGGCTTGTGCTGTATTGAGCGTGATATTGTACTTATCTTTGAAGTATTTCTCAACTGTTAAGATCTTGCCGTCAAATTCCTCACACTGAAACTTCACCTGTTGTGCGTTCAATGGATTAACCTGTAGATTCCTACGCTTTTTAACGTTCCCTTTGTCATCAGTCACGACTTTGCCCTTGTTGTCAAGGACATCATCCAGTTGCTGCGAGAAGCCTATGATGGTCTTGATTTTGACTGCATCGGTACCATCCTTGTGCTTCATGTACTTTGTCTTAACGCGGAGCAAATGGAGAAAGTATTCCACGGTTAGCCAATCACCACGTCCATGCTGTGTTATGAGATCTAGCACATTAATCGCCGGGTAGAAGGGCGAAGTCTGAGCATTGACATTGAGTAGGGTCCGTAGGGTAGACGTGCGTACACTCGAGTAGTAGCCACGGACAGCAATGAGACCGGCCCCGAGCTTGTCGTATGTTTCGGGGTCGGTAGGGTAGTGGAAGAACTTATTTTTACCACTTTGGAAGACTCCTGTATTGAGGTTGGCCGTACGAGCAACAATGATGTTCAAGGCTTGGACTGCGTCCTCCTTTCCTGTGAAGTCGCTGGGGTCAGTAGGGGTCGAAGCCAAGTATCGAAGAAGTTCTGTCGTTGGGACTAGTCCTCCATATGAAAATTTGAAGGTGTAAAGGATTGGATTTGATGCAGGCTCCCGATCTTCTAGCTCTTGGTAAACAATGACGTACTCCTTGGTCCCATCGCGATCGAGAGGAAGCTCCTTGGATGTGATGACGATTGAGCCATAGTCTGTGGCCACCCCGTGACCTATGCTTCGGAAATCCTGATGCTGGAAGAGGAGCGCAAAAGCTTGCCGACGTTTCCTAGAACGCTCTGGTGGCACTAGGGGTGCTTTAACTTTCCCTGTCTTTTTGTCCTTCTTGGGCTCTTTGTGCTTGGCCGTCAGCGTAAGGGTATACTTGAACAGCTTCTTCCCAGCATTGATCGTCATCTTGAAGTAATTGGTTCGTAGATGGATGACAGTGCCCGCGACTCCGTACCCCGGTCGGAGGGGTAGCTGGAAGTCTGCCAGCGAGAGCGTGCTCAAAGATAGACCTTGGTTCTCTTTGACAATTTGATTTTCCTTGGTCTCAACCTCCGCTTCCGGTGTAATGTTTTCTCCTGGGGGACTGAAGTATGACGAACGTCAGTGAGGAAGGTACCTAACAAGAACACAGGACAAACCTGAAGATTTTGGAGCCTGGAGTGTGCTCATCGTCGCCTAACCTCCTAAACGATGCTCCTCCACGACCGTCACCGCGCCCACCACGACCATCACCGCGCCCTCCACGACCGTCACCACGTCCTCCACGGCCAAAGTCTTGGGGATTTGCACCATCACCACGGCCTCTTCCATAAGGATTTAAGCCCCCGTCACCACGACCACGTGATTGGTCCCCACGCCCGGCGCCTCGTGGACCGCGTGGACCACGCCCGGACATACCGACGCTCCCTTGTTCTCGGAATGTAGTGCTCGTAGTGTTTACGTTGAGCAAGGCGGACTAGATGTCCGGATTGTCGTGCATTTACTCCAAAGACTATGATGAGGATGGATGCGGATCAGCTGATGTAGTAATGTTTGAACAAAGGATAATTAGTTGTAGCAAATCAATGATGATTGATTGAAAGCAGATATCAAAGCAGGCTTGACCTTTAGTAAATGTAGATGTAGGAGGTGGGGAAAGAAGATGTTTTTGAAGGGAGGGAGGGGGTTTAAATAGTCTTCCAGTTACTGCGCTAGTGTTAATTTACAGTGTTCAGGGATTCATTACTACCTTACATTCTGACTCGGAATAGAGGGAATGATTTCTCGTAAATCGCTCGGGAATTGTAATCGCTCTGACGTGATTCGCTCGGAGTAGGAGAAGCCGAGAAGGATTAATGCTCTGCTGTGCTTGCGAGAATAGTCCTCCATCATCTACCTCTCGGAGGGGCTACCTGTTCCGTTTGGGCCAAGTCACCACCACTACCACTACCACTACCACTACAACACCCAAGTAGAGCAGCTCTAGAGTCAACTTTATCGAATCTACTGTTATGAGACGCATAGCTCTTTCATGCAAGGAGCCGCGCTAAAGGAGCCTATACATAGGCGCAGTTCCTAAACCTTATCCGACACTAGTTCTCATGCCGCGAAGGACTCATCTTGAAAGTTTTGAAAAGCTTCTTCCATCTACTGTAAATTTGAGGTTACGAAGCACCTGCTGAGCCGCTGCCGTATGGAGTGTAGCCGGAGCAGGTCGTCAAGGTGCGCTCCAGCTCCCCGTAGATTTCTCCCGTTGCAATGATATGCGGCATTCTCCTAACACATAGTCATTCTACCAGTCCTCTAATCAGCGGGCAGAGCAGAGCACCGCTTCCAAGAGCCGCTGCTTGAAGGTCAGCATTGAAAAGAGCGACAAGTGGAGAATCGGCTGAAGTACCGTTGCAGATGGGCGATTCTACCATTTCATGACCGTTAGCGGAAGGAGCATTGATCATCGACTGCAACGTCAGTCTTCATTGTTTGGTAGAAGCAAGAGAAGTGAAGATTTTGGAAGCTGTTAATCCGGTGTAAATGAGAACATTGAAGGATTAGACGTGGAGGCTTCGTCTGGGGTTTGCAGGAAAGCTGAATGTACATCTTAAAGGCCTGTGCATGATTATAATTATCGATAGGCGTTGTTTTCAACCTTAGCAATGATGCAGCTTGTGAGACACATATGCATCATACCTCTAGTCACGACTCCAAGCAGAGCCTAAATAGCTCCATTTGGCTACTTTCTGATGCTGAAGAGACAAAGCTCAATATCCAAGTACAACGTTACAACAAAGGAATGTGCGAGCCCTTACGAACGTGGCTATCTCCAAGAAATTGACGGTCAAGAATTGCTATATTTTTCCGAAGGAAGGGACAAGAACGCCTTTTGAATGTCGACCGAGTAGCCAACATCCACGCTTGACACTTTGCATCAACCAGGTATAATGGAGGAATTTCACATAATTAAAGCGGGAAAGAAAAGTAGAATTGAGCTTGGGATTTGTTGCCCATAACCGACCTGCACAAAGACTTGATTTGGTTGTCGTGGCAAGTACCCATCATGTCTCTTCGACCCAACCGATTGTCTCACCGTACTTTACTTGCTGTCCCTGTTGGACACCCCATTGCCAACCACCCTTTCTTGATCCCTCAGCCCACCCGTCGTCGAAGCTTTTACGACGCCCTTTGGGTGCTTCGAAGACCAAAACGATAGAGCTCCCTAATTGGAAACCTCCCATCTCTTCTCCTTTTCGCAGTGCATGACCCCCTAATATTCTGCTTGCCTCTCCATAAGTAGCTTCCGCAAACCCTGAGTAAAGCTCTCCACGATTGGATGCTTCTTCAGCCGCTCTATCTGCAGCTGTGTCAGTGGTCAGGCTGTTTGTGCGTAGTTCACGGTCGAAGTTGATCTTGATTGATCCAACATTGGTTGCTCCAACGGGTGTGAAGCTGAAAAACCCCCATCGCCAACGACCCAACAACACCACCCTTTCATTGAGAGTGAATAGTCCGGGCAATGTTCTCTGTAAATATGGCGAGACACTGTAGAGCTCTCCTGCAAAATGGCGGCGCTTTTCGGCAACCCATGACGCGGGAGAATGAAAGCGATGATAGTCTCCTGGTGCTAGATACACCACAATATAGTATAGAGCTGTTGGCGTCCTCGAGGTTGAAGAGAACCACGATTGGCAACTGCCGTCGCCCAAAGCAAGGTCGGCACCAACCTCACTCTCTGACGAGGAACGCGGTGTCGTCGACATGTCGATGGCGCTGGAACCTTCTTGAAGCTTGGATCCTGAGAAGAGATTTGGTAACGTATACGAGATGCCATTCACGGTGGCAAATTCCTCGTCAGCCTTGACGATGTCCTCATCTCCAGCCGTGACCGATGATTCCTTTGGCTTTGGACTCTCTTCCTCTGCTTTTGATCTCTCTGGAAATTCTGTGCCCAGGAGGGCATCAAGGCTATACGTCATGCCCTTGACCTGCTCTACTTCTCCGTTCTCAATCATACCGTACTGCAGGACTCTGCCGTCGGCGGGAGACAGCAGGGCGGACGCATTAGTATCTATTGGGCGTACTCCAGGCTTCAGAGTGCGGTAGAAGAAGGAAGCGAGGTTCTTGTACTGGTGGAGATCAGACTCGGCAGCCTCAGACAAACTGAGTATCCAATCAGCGTGAGTGTCTGCACTGGTACTTTCGGCACTCACTTGACCCCAAAGATCCAAGAATATAGCCTGAAACCGGGTACCCGCAAATAGTAGGGTATTTCAAGCTCATTGAAGCGCCCCCACAATCTTGAGACCGCCTTCAACGGGAGAGTTGACATAACCTGTACCTGCCTTAGAACTTGTCAGCTTGAGAGCTCTTCGAGTTGCGCACTTTTTCCCTTCTACCAGGGGCCGCTTGGCCGTATGCGTTTTCTCTTTCTGGGCCTGCCCTTGCTATCTTTAGTCGATTCCAGCGCATCCTGCTCTGCCTGGTGTCTTTTCTTTTCCCGCTCCTGCACTCTGTAGAATTGTACAGCTCCAAGAAAGCCGATACCAAGTCCAACAGGAATCCTGTACTTCCATTGGACCTTGGTGTCTCCAAAGGCCGTACGTAATCTTGTCCTGAAAGGACCCTTATTCTGATGCTGCTCCTGTCTTGCTCTTGCGGAGGTCGAGAACCGCAGAGAGGGTCGCGTCTGCTGGCAGAGAAGACACGTCCATGTCGAAGACTTAGAAGCGGTCTCGTGGAGCGAAATAGGCCTCTGGCCCGCTCTTCCTCGGAAAGACATGATTCACTTTCACTTTCCCAAGTATATACATGAATCTGCCTCAGTCGTCAGACGCTATTCCCACTTCCGGGTCTACCGTATCAGGCATAGTGCGGAGGGTTTCCGCGGTCAGGTTAAGTTAACAGGCGTAACTTCCTTACAGGCTTTTATAGCCAGTCTATAAATAGTATAGCTTAACTTAGTAAGATAACCTATATCCTACTATAATAGAATTTTATAGAATATATTATTCTTTACTATTTATATAGTAGAATTATTTTATTTAATTAAAGATTTTATTTAGATAATAATTATAATCTTTTAAAGTAATTATTATTATTATAATTTATTTATAGTCTTTTATAATTATTTATTAGCTAGTTAATTATTTATTTTTTAAATTATTTATTCTATTTTAATAGAAAGCTCGAAGAGTCTCTCTCTCTATTATTATTATTTATCTTTATTAAATTAATTTATTTTAATAATAATCTTCTATTAAATCTTATTAGATATTACGACTTTATTATAATTTTATATCTTACTCGCTATTATTATTAACGTAATTATTCTTTTTCTTATACTTAAATAAAGAAGACTTCTATTAAAGAGCTTCTTTTTCTTTATTTATAAAAGACTCTAATAATAGCATCTTTAATAGTACTTATCAGTATATATAAAAGAATAAGGTAGGGCTGAGCTATAAAACCTTGAATTCGTATGTGCAGCCAATCATCAATTCGGGTTCGCTACGCTCTTTGGTTAGACTGGCTGAGTCAGCCCGCTAGCCCTCCCGCGCCTCCTCATCAAAAATCTATGTGTAGAAGTCTTACACTCTGAAATAACTACCTCCCTAAGGATGCTGTTACTTCATAATTTCGTAAATTATAGAGCTCAGTGTGCGCTTTCTAACGCTGTAAAAATAATGAAGTTTGGTCTACTATTGGTGGATTAAATTGACATTCAAATATCGTAGTCACATCAAACGCGTCCGGGATCGGATAATAATCCTTCCACCTGTTTGTGTAACCATTATTCTTCCACCACTCTATCAATTCTATCAATTCCACCAATATGAACACAATCGTCTTCGGTACCCCTCGCCTAAAGGTTACTCAACGTCTAAGGCACGTACACCCCTTTGCCCGCCTCTTAGAGCCCCTACTGACGCCCCCAGGCCACCCCTCGACGAATCCGCTACTGCTGGCAATCGAGGCCGCAAGCGAGCCCAACAGCTACCTACTACTGCTCATAAACGCGTTGAAAGGCCCTCAAAAAGAGCCTGAACGGATTCACAGCCATCGTCCTCCCCTATATACTCCTTCCAAGCCAGCGGTGGTGCCTTTCAACCCAGCGATGCTACCTCCCAAGACGCGTCTTCCTCCTTAATCCATTCTTTATCACCCTATTTTAACCATATTTCTTCTATAATTCTACCAATCCACCAATTATAAATATATTCGCCCTCGGTACCCCTCGCCCAAATGTTGCTAAATATCTAAGGCACGTATCCCTTCCGCCCGTCTTTTGAACCCCTTACTAACGCCCCCAGGCCACCCCTCGACGAATCCGCTACTGCTGGCAATCGAGGCCGCAAGCGAGCCCAACAGCTACCTACTACTGCTCATAAACGCGTTAAAAGACCCTCAAAAAGAGCCCGAACGGATTCACAGCCATCGTCTTCCCCTACATACTCCTCCCAAGCCAGCGATACTCGACCAGCCGCTCAGTCAACACTACCTACCCTATCAGCTCAGCAATCCACTCAGTCAGATCGTCAACCAGTCACTCAGTCATCCACTCAGTCAGCCACTCAGCTAGCCACTCAGTCTAATACTCTATAAGAGGAGGAGCAAGAGGAGGAACTACAACAGGCAAATGCGGAGAACACTGCGGAGAATACTGCGGAGAAATCAAGCGGCAACAAGGCCACCATCGTCAAGAACACGGCTCAGCTCTCCAAGATCCCACGTCACATGCTCTACTCAGCAAGCGGAGAACACCACTGCAACTTGGCCTGTCATCCCCACTGCATTAATATGGTATATCACTGCAATGACGTCACAAGAGGAGGATCTACTGCGACGATTACAGTCAATTGGGCCTCTGCAGAAGGAACATCGGACGATACATATTTGGACGAATTGAAACCGTCCGATGTCTTGCTCTGATAGCTATTTCATCATTCGAAAGATTTCACTGCGGCAGGAGATAATGTGGGATTCACACCACTAATTGGCATGTTGTCTCCATTTCTTTCCGGTATTTCGATACTTCTTGCCATAAGGACATGGCCTTTCTCTGTTTTTTGTGGGCAATTATTACGGATCAATCCTTCACACTCGATACACCTTCCTAATTAGGCCTTAGCGCACCTCTCTCCGCACATATGTGCCTGTATACCATATAGATTAAATCAATTTTGTAGTGGTGGAAGTAGGTCAAAAACGCATAGCAAGCGATTAGAGTTCGATTTGACTTAGGGCTAGGGCTAAAATTCGATTTGACTTAGAAAAATCCAACTCCATGAATTTAATTCATGGGCCTTTACTTGTTATAATATAAAAGTTTATAATAATATATTTATAATATTTATAATATCTATATTATTATTATATTTTCGTAACTTAGCGTAGCTTAGTCTAGTATAACTTAGCGTCTTAGCGTATAACTACTTTCTTCGTTTCTTTATAGCTTACGAGTATCTATTAATTAATTAAAATTATATAAGTAAAGACCTATGAATTAAATTTATAAAGTTGAATTTTTCTAAGTTAAATCGAATTTTAGCCCTAGCTCTAAGTTAAATCGAACTCTAATCGCTTACTATACGTTTTTAATCTATATATAAATATATATATACGAAGAGAGGCGCGCTAAGATCTAATTAGAAAGGTATATCGAGTATAGAGAATTAATTCGTAATAATTACTTATAAAAAATAAAGAAAGACTATATTCTTATAGCAAGAAGTATCGAAATATTAGAAAGAAATAAAGATAATATACTAATTAGTAATATAAATCTCATATTATCTTCTACCGTAGTAAAATCTTTCGAATAATAAAATAACTGTTAAAGTAAAATATCGAACAATTTCAATTCATTCAAATATGTATCATTCGATATTTCTTCTATAAAAACTTAATTAACTATAATTATCGCAGTAGATTCTTCTCTTATAATATTATTATAGTAATATATTATATTAATATAGTAAGAATAATAGATTAAGTTATAGTAATATTCTTCGCTTACTAAGTAATAATTTAATATAAAATCGTAGAAAGCATATAACGTGGGATCTCGGAGAGTTAAGCCGTATTCTTGATGATAATAATCTTATTATCGCTTAGTTTCTTCGTAGTATTCTTTACATTTATCTATTATAGTTTCTTCTCTTACTTCTTCTCTTATAGAGTATTAGATTAAGTAACTAGCTAAGTAGTTAATTAAGTAAATAATTAATATAACGTAAGATCTTAAAGAGCTAAGCCGTATTCTTAATAATAATAATCTTATTACCGCTTAATTTCTTTATAGTATTCTTTATAGTATTCTTCGTAGTATTCTCCGCATTTATCTATTATAATTTCTTCTCTTATAATATTTCTTCTATAAAGACTTAATTAGCTATGATCGTCGTAGTAAATTCTTCTCTTATAACGTTATTATAATAATATATTATATTAATATAATAGAGATAATAGATTAAGTTATAGTAGTATTCTTCGCTTACTAAGTAATAATTTAATATAGAATCGTAAAGAGTATATAACGTGGGATCTCGGAGAGCTAAGTCGTATTCTTAACGATAATAATCTTATTATCGCTTAGTTTCTCCGTAGTATTCTCCGTAATATTCTTCGTAATATTCTCCGCATTTATCTATTATAATTTCTTCTTTTACTTCTTCTCTTATAAAGTATTAGACTAAGTAATTAGCTAAGTAATTAATTAAGTAAATAACTAAGTAACTAATTAACGATTTAATTAAATAGATTACTAAGCTAATAGAGTAGATAGTATTAATTAAGCGGCTAATCGAGTAGTATATAGAGGAGAATAATAACTATAAATTCGTTCGGGCTCTTTTTAAGAGCTTTCTAACGCGTTTATAAGTAGTAATAATTAAAATAAAGTAATAAAGAACGAATTAAGAAGGAAAACGCATCTTAAGAGATAATATCGCTAAGTTAAAAGATATTATTATTAATTTAAGAGAAATCTATAGAAAAGGATATATTCGTTTAGACTCTTTTTAAAAATCTTTTAACGCGTTTATAAGTAGTAATAGATAGCTATTAAACTCGCTTACGGCCTCGATTATTAATAATAGCGAATTCGCTAAAAGATAATCTAGGGGCGTTAATAGAGGCTCTAAGAGGCGAGTAAAAGAAATATATATATCTAAAGCGTTTAATAATATTTCCGCGAGGAATATCGAAGATAATTATATTTATATTAATAGAATTAATAGAATTAGTAGAATAATAGAAGAAGAATAATTATATAAATAGATGAAAGAATTATTATCCGATTTCGAACGCGTTTAATATAACTATTATAACTATTATATTTAAATATTTATTTAATTTACTAATAGTAAACTAAACTTTATAATTTTTATAGCGTTAGAAAGCGTAAAGCGAGCTCTATAATTTAAGGAATTATAAAGTAACTATATATATTATAAGTTAAGTACTTTAAAGTATAAAACTTCTATATATAAATTTTTAATAAAAGAGACGCGGAAGGGCTATCGGGCTAACTTAGCCGGTTTAATTAAAAAGCGTATAGGACCTAAATTGATAATTGGCTGCACATATAAATTCAAGATTTTCAAGCTCAGCCCTATCTTATTCTTTTATATATACTAATTAAGAAACATCTTTCTTCTTCGTAAAACTACTTTTTCAAAGTATATATTTACTTCTCATATCTATAATCTTAATAATTATATTTTATAAATTTTTTATAAATAATTTTAATTTAATTTTATAATAGCTAAAATTCTTTAA